TTTATCCTTGTCCTGGATGATACGGCTGCGAGCCTCGGCACCCATCATGATCTTGTCCTTAGCCCAGTCAAAGTCCTTGGGGCCAACCTTGGTTTGCTTGTTACGGCTGGCATAGATGGCAGCTTGGTTAACAAGGTTCTCCAAATCAGCACCAGAGAAACCAGGGGTACCACGAGCAATGACACCAACATCAACATCCATGCTGACCTGGACGTCCTTCATGTGGTGACGGAGAATATCCATACGGCCACGAACGTCGGGAAGGCCAACAGTCACCTTGCGATCAAAGCGACCGGGACGTGTGAGAGCCTTATCCAGGAGTTGGGGGTAGTTGGTTGCGGCAATGATGATCACCCCGCTGCTTTGGGAGAAGCCGTCAAGTTCGGTAAGCAATTGGTTCAGGGTTTGCTTCACATAGGCGGCATCCCTTTCATTCCTCTTAGCACCAATGGCATCCAACTCATCAATGAAGATGATGGCAGGGGACTTGCTGCGGGCTTGAGTGAACAATTCACGAACGCGCTTGGCACCAACACCCACGTAAACCTCGTCGAATTCAGAGCCAGACATGTAGAAGAAGGGAACACCAGCCTCTCCAGCAACAGCACGAGCCAGCAAAGTCTTTCCGGTACCAGGAGGACCGACCAGGAGAACACCCTTGGGCAGCTTGCCACCAAGCGAAGAGAAGCGATCGGGGTTAGTGAGGAATTCGACGAGTTCCTGAAGTTCTTCCTTGGCCTCATCGCAACCATGCACATCACTGAAACGGACGGTCTGCTGCTGAGGCTGAGCTTCGCTGTTCTGCGGTCCCCTGATGTTCTTCAAAGCACCAGTCGTTTCAACCAAGATCGTGATCATGACCAGAGACAGATAAGCAAAGAAGGCGAAGTAGAACAAGAACTTGACCCATCTGAAGACAGCACTTCCTGTTGACTCCTCCACAACCACGTGCAGCGGATCTTCCTTGTTTCCAGTGCCAGTCTGCTTGACTGCCGTACCGTAGTGTGTAGAATTACCGAATTGTCCACCGTGAAACTGAGTTGCGACGGCCTGGCCGATGGCTTGCAGCCGCTCGGGGCTGACGGCCTGGCCGGACGCAGGGACCGCTACCGCAGAATCCACGCCACCAACGCGTTGCAAGGCTTTCATGTAGAGTTCGTCCGTGGCCGCATTCGTGGCGAAATGACCGCTTTTGTACCGTTCAACAACAATGGCAGGGTGGTTTGCACGGAGGAGGGCCTGGTAGAAAGCATTCTGAGCGTTTGCGCTGCTAGGGTTGTTGTTGGCAGTTTTCTCCTTCTGCGCCAATAGATTGTGAGAAGAACCACCGAACAGAAAACGCTGTTGCTGTAACCGGGAGAGACCTTGTACTTTGGGAGCGTGGCGAAGACGGTTGAAGGACATGGATATCGTGGAGTAGGAACGAGCAGAGGGAGAGGCAAGATGACGGGTAGCGAGAGACGGCGAGGTCCACATTGTGGTTCCTGCAAATAGGTTCAAGTTAGAGCAAGCTTCCCAAGGATATGACGAGAAATGTATACCATTGAGCAAGGAGCGAGACCATCCGCTTTGAGTGGTCTTGCTCAAGATGCTTGCCTTCAACGCCTCGGAGGACACAGTAGCCAGAAACTCCGGCAGCTGGACACTACTTGATCCCTATGTGTATGTATATCAGCGCACCAACTCCATCGTCATACGGCCGACTAGCGAGACATACCGTGGAGGTTGCTTCCGCAACCGCGCGTTGGGAGGGCTGAGGGGCGGCATATCCGGAGCGGGAGGCGTGTTCGACGTTATTTCGGGGCGCATTAAACAACCGTGTCATTGACGGCCAGAGATCTGAGGTCACGGCCGCAAGACCCTGCGGGGAGAGTCATCAGTTAGAGAAATCGAGTTCGAGCGTGGACAGATAGCAAGACTTACCGGCTTGGGGAAGGGGACTTGGAAGGCCATGGTTGTCCGAGCTAAAGCGGCACTTGGCCGCGACGTTGATGATAGTAACCCTTCGGCGCGATAGGGAGAGGGTGGGGCACAGTAACGATGATGATGAGATCAATCCTTAGTCAAGAAACATGCCATCCCCGACCACAACCAGACGACAGATTTGAGATGAAGAGAGGAAAGAAGAGAGGCCAAACCAATGACGATGCTTGGCTGGTCGTTGCTCGGCGGCGAAATTCGACTGCCGACCCGGTGCTCTGCCGGCTGCTGTCGCCCCCCGTAGCCACGCAGCCTGTGTGCCTCAGGCATGAAATATCGGATTCCACGCCATTCCCCAAATTTCCCCGCCCGCATGGATGGGTTCTAGAAGGCCGCACCACCAGAGCTTCCCGGAATTATCCCCGCTGTTGACATGGCCATATATCTGGTTTCTGGTATATCTGCGTCATGACTTCTTTAGTTGTACTCGTGCCATGACGATCATGGCCGCGCACGATCCTCAATCCAATTTCTGGATCGTATACGCAGTACCATACAACATGAGTCGTTGCCTGTCTACAACCCGTGGTTCAGATCGGATACCGATGACTAGAACATCATCATAGAGTCAATCTCAAAGGCGTCGCTTCTTTGTCACAAACTATATAACTGGACACGCGCTGCAGGCGCGTTCACAACGCATCTGCGGACTAGATACTTTAATGCACCTTCCTCTCTTGACGTCTCTGGATCAATCTCTATCTTTGATCTCCCCGATCTAGACGGATCTCCGCAACGGATTCGACATTGGTTTCTGGAGTGAGCAGCAAACGGTTTTCCAACTAATATGCCCTGTGGCATGAACCCCGCTATACGGCATTGATGATGTCGAAAAGGGTCATCTTCCTCATGGGTGCGCCCACGTCGCGGAATCTTCAGTGGAATGAAGAGGAGCTGCTGGACGCACCGATATCTCCATTTCATAGTCTGGATACGCAAAATGAAGGCCATTGGCCTTTCCCCGATACTCAGCCCGTGAAATGGAGACTATTGCGGGATCTACGCAGTCCAGGGCTTCTCCCAGAAATCTACAGGTGGGAACCAGGTCGAGATGCTCGCTTCCTCGCTATACGGGACATTGCAGTCTCTGAAGATACATCACGGACAAAGCCGGACGATTCAGTGCTATCGCAGTTCTACAACCATTCCTTTACCGTTCATGAAACCTCGGAGATCTCGACCCCGGGGTTTCACTCTGGAGATACCATGCGAAGTAGCAGTTTATCGGCTGGGACCTCTTTTGCGACAAGCAGCGAGAGGGACGGGCCAACACCAGGGTTACCAATCCAGGGACCCCTCACCGATCTCCGGGATATCCCCACTGCGACATATCTGAATTCGATCGTGCCACAGACGATGACGGTGAATCTGATTGTGGCGATTATCGCCATCCACCCTCCCAGGCGGGTGGTAACGCGGCAATGGAAGCAAGAATTGGATCTGGTTGAGGTGGTGGTTGGGGATGATACAAGAAGTGGGTTTGGGGTTACGTTCTGGCTTCCTCCCGTGAATCATGCGGTCATGGCTGGGGAAGGTGACGACGAAGGAGATGCGCTGGGAGTGTCGTTGGCAACGCTGCGTCCACGGGACATTGTTCTGATGCGGATGGTAGGACTGAGCTCCTTCCGGGAACGGGTATACGGGCAGAGTTTGAGGAAAGGGGTCACGAAGGTTAACCTGCTGCACCGCCAGCGGGTCGACGTAACCGAAGCAGGCGGGCTCTACAGTGCGAAGCAACTCCGGGATATTCATCAGGACCCTGCAGCCAAGCGTGAGGAAGATCTACTACCGCTGATGAAGGTGAGCAAGGTGCGCGAGTGGATCAGGAGATTTGTATTAAATCCGGTAGGCGGTGAAGGGGGCCGGGGGCCTTTTACACGTGGCTTGGCTGGGAAGGGCCATTCACTGCCCCCAGACACGCAGGAGTGAGCAGGCAAAGCGTGATTTATATATAGAAAATGGCCTGAAGTAAGGTCTGCTGCCTACTGTCTATATACTTATACTGGCTGGGAACTCTGTTTGCTTCCCTAATATCCTTAATCTCTTGATTCATTAATTTCCTTGTTTATCCTGCAGTTCTAAGGCGCTCATGTAACCTGCCACCATCCTTTATGAACCCGTGACCACCACACTGGGAACGTTAGGAAATGGCGGCAACAAAGAAAACAGGGTGATCAGGAGACACGGAATGGAATTGATGCTTATTCCTCCTGCATCCATTCTGGGTAACCCACTAAGGTAGGTACTACGTTGTGCTAAATTGAAGAGGGAATGCAACCCGATAGTTTAAACGCCATCGGTGGCCAAGTACCAAGTATGAGGCCACCCTTTCATTGGATATTATGATGGCGACTGGGGAGTAGTAAGTACATAGTAGTTTCCGAATGGGTTACTAGTTTTTCTGCTATTCCTTCTTTTCTTGCCATTTCTCACCAACGATCAATTTGGGGGGGAGGCATATGCACGTACTGCGTCAATCGTGCATCAGCTGTAATGTAAGTCTACTTCTCCTCCTCATCATAATCTTCATCATCATGATTGTGATGTATGCGAGATTTCGTAACCCAAAGTAAGAATGGCATAATAACCAATCTCATAACTGATCATAATTTCTCCAAAGTCAATAAGAATTAGTTAATAATGTAATTTAGATGAAGAGTACACAATTTATGGAGCTGTTAATTCAGGGGGCACTGCCGCCCCACTGGGGGCACCTGAACCCGCCGCAGTGATTAGCTGGTTCTAGGCCGTACGATACCCGACTATACCAACTATACCCTTAGCGGCAGAGCCTGCTGGGCGAGTGGCGCGGCCGCAAACGTGCACTGGTTGAACCCGGTGTTCCTGGCGAGTGCCATCTTCCAAAGTCACAAGGCTGTACCTCCTGTAACTCTGCGACACAACTGGCCGGTTTAAGGGGTCTTGCCAGTGACCTCTTTTTTTTGACTTGCCCATCCATAGTAACTTACCGGCCCGTACATACACAGCCATTACGGCCCGCTCTCCCCGAATCGCAACGCCAGGTGGTCTCCTCTTTCTCTCTCTCTCTCTTCTCCTCCTCGTTCTTATATTATATCCCGACCGTTCTTTTTCTCCTCTCCTTTCTCTTCCCCGTCTGTGACCATCCGCTTCAATCAATCAATCGATCAATCAATCTAATCTCTCCAACGTCCCCTTTTTCGGATCGTTGGAACAACAGCTCCCTCATCTTTCATACACTCTCTCCACCTTTCCTTTATCCCCCCTCCCCCCTCTTTCCGTCGGCGGGCTTTTGTTCCACCTGTCCATCTCGTCTTTTGCTCCGGTCATTCGTTTGGAGCGACGCCTCTCCCTCCCGATCGCTACTCTTCCCTACAATTAATTCCCCCCTACAGCAACCATGAAGGGTATGTATGAGTCTACCGAATTGTTACTCCAGACTCGCTGACCGTTGGCTATCTAGCCCTCATTCTCGTTGGCGGTTTCGGTACCCGTCTGCGTCCTCTGGTGAGTTGATCGCCCCCGCCGACGATCGTGACGTCGAACATACCAGTCGATTCATGGATGGACCGTGGGAAAACGCACACAAGCTAACCGTTCTCAATGCTGCTTAGACCTTGACTCTCCCTAAGCCTTTGGTCGAATTCGCCAACCGGCCCATGATCCTGCACCAGGTTGAGAGCTTGGCTGCTGCGGGTGTCACAGATATCGTCCTGGCCGTCAACTACCGCCCCGATGTTATGGTGTCGACCCTGAAGAAGGTACAATTGCCCTAGCTGCACGGATTGCCGTCCGCCTATGCTCACAGCCGCCCCTAGTACGAAGAAATCTACAATGTCAGAATCGAATTCTCTGTGGAATCCGAACCCCTCGGCACGGCTGGTCCCCTGAAGTTGGCGGAGAAGATTCTGGGCAAGGACGACAGCCCGTTTTTCGTCCTGAACTCCGATATTATCTGTGACTATCCCTTCAAGGAGCTGGCCGAGTTCCACAAGAACCACGGCAACGAGGGTACCATTGTGGTCACCAAGGTCGACGAGCCCTCCAAGTACGGTGTCGTTGTCCACAAGCCCAACCACCCCTCGCGCATCGACCGCTTCGTCGAGAAGCCTGTTGAGTTCGTCGGCAACCGTATCAACGCCGGTATCTACATCCTGAACCCCAGCGTGCTGAACCGTATCGAGCTGCGCCCCACCTCCATCGAGCAGGAGACCTTCCCCGCTATCGTCAAGGATGGCCAGCTGCACTCCTTCGACCTGGAGGGCTTCTGGATGGACGTTGGTCAGCCCAAGGATTTCTTGAGCGGTACCTGCCTCTACCTCACCTCTCTTGCCAAGCGCAACTCGAAGCTGCTCGCCCCCAACAGCGAGCCTTATGTGTATGGCGGCAATGTTATGGTCGACCCCTCCGCTAAGATTGGCAAGAACTGCCGCATCGGCCCTAATGTTGTGATTGGACCCAATGTGGTGGTTGGTGACGGCGTGCGTCTGCAGCGCTGCGTCCTGATGGAGAACAGCAAGGTCAAGGACCACGCGTGGGTCAAGTCGACCATTGTTGGATGGAACAGCTCGGTGGGCCGCTGGGCTCGCCTGGAGAACGTTACGGTGCTCGGTGACGATGTTACCATTGCCGACGAAGTCTATGTTAACGGTGGTTCCATCTTGCCCCACAAGAGCATCAAGCAGAACGTTGATGGTGAGTGAATTGTCTACATGAATATCGGCTTCATTTGCTAATCTTAATTCTAGTTCCTGCTATCATCATGTAATCCTTTCGTCACGTCGACATGCCCTTTCACCCTCGATATACACCACCTACACCTGAAGTCACCAGATGCATAAAAACCGGAGTTGATCGTGTCTTTCTTTCGAGCAGTGTAGAACCCAGCTGGGGTTCTAGACAACACAGGACGCTGCTTGGATACATTGCGGTCTACGCCTCTGAACCCATCTCCCATCACGCACCCGTCCATTCTTACTTTTCGTCTTGTGCTCGTCCGTGTCCGCATGCTAGAGGCCTTGATGGTAGAAGCGTGTCTGATTCGGGTCATCCTTACATCCCTTATAATCGATCCGGAGGTCTCTGATCTCTTACCTTGTTCTCCCGCATCTTTCTCCGACGTACTGCGTGTTACCAGTGCTGTTGCTTCTTTTATTTACCGGCTTTTTTCTTTCTGCTACCTTGTTTCCCCGGGGGATGGTGAGCACATGGACTAATACTCTATCTGATTTTAATGACGTATGTGGACATGGTTAAAGGAATGTAAATACGGGAGGCAGGATCAGAAAAAAATCAATCATCAATTAACTCTTATCTTATCTCTCTATTATGCAATATATAGTATACAGTATACAGATGCAATATGCCCGAAACCATGCACCACCCAATCCTACCTGCCTAAGCAGCACCGCCCTCCCTTTCCTCCCTCTCCAAGATCTCTTCCCACTGCACCCTCAACTCCTCCATCCCCTGCCAACACTTCCTCCCCAACTCCTCAAACTCGACCTTCTCCTCCGCCGTCAAATCCTTCGCCCCGCGCTTCCTCCTCCGACACCGATCCTCCATCACCACCGCCTCCCCAACCACGCCCCCATGTCCCCACCCATCCACCTCCGTTGAAACAGCCTTATCCCTCCCCAACCGATCACACGACGACCCCCATTTAACCTTCCCCCCACCATGAGCCCGATACACCTCCTCCGCAGCATCCAGCTCCTCCTGCCGACTCACAGCCAACCACGTCGGCGCACACGCCCCCGCATACGTCGACAGCGTATGCCACGGCGATCCCAGCAACCGCGCAATATAAAAGGACGCGATCATCGCCCAGAACAGCGGGAGCGCCAGCGGCAGGATCCCTGTTCCGCAGACACCAGGGTGCGAGAGGTACATGCGTGGGCGTGTACCTCCACCATCCCCTTCACTCTTCTCCCCATTACTATCAGGGGGGGTATAAAACCCCTCTATCCATTTCTGAGTGGAAGGCGACTCGGCCGTGAGCGCGAGAATATCCGTAAGTGTCTTCGAACTCTCATAAGGCACCTTCGTCTTCAATCCCTGGATATCATCGACATTGAAGTGGTTCACGGTGGCCTCGATGCTCGATACCCAGATTACTCGCCCCGGCTGGGTGGATTTCCGCAGTAGGCCCATGACGTTATGCGAGAGCATGTAGTGTCCGAATACGTTCGCCGTGAAGACGCTTCCGAGCCGCGGCTCCGAAGGCTGTGTAGTTTGAGGAGGGGTGATCATCCCCACGGGGGCTATCTTGTGCGCGAACCACGATACACTATGTACGAGGTCTGTGAGGGTTCCCCAGATTGCGCGCGGCCAGTCGATCCCTGTCCAGCCGCCGATGCCGGCGTTCAGGACGATGGAGTCGAGTTTGGGGATGGTGGTTGTGAGTCGCTGGGAGAGGGCGCGGACGGAGGGGAGGGAGGAGAGGTCGACGGTTTCGGGGTGGAGGGTTATTCTGGAGGATTGGGTGGGTGAGGATATAGGTGGGAGGAGGGTTTGGAGGTGGTGGAGGGTCGAGGAGGCTTTTTTGGGGCTCCGGGTCGTGAAGATTATGGTTAGGTGGTGGGTTGATGGGTGCGTGGTGAGGAAGTCCGTTATTAGACGGGCGCAGATGGCGAGGCCGAGGCCGCTGGCGTATTTGTTAGATTGTTTGGTGTGCTGCGAGGGGGGCGTGGTGGTGAGGTGGTATGGAGGGATGGGGATGGGGATAGGTGCAATTGAGGGATGGGTACCTGTTTGCGCCGGTTACTAGTACGTAGAATTGATTCTGTAGATCATCTTGTGATAGTTCGGCCATTTTGAGAGCCTACTCTTGATGAGTTGGAGGGGAATTGCTGCGGATTGCAGGTGAAGCTGGTGCTGGACAGCTGGGATTAATTGGGGATTGTATAAATCTCCGATAAGGGGTGATTACATAAGGGGTTGATATGGGATCCGTGGAAGGGGTCAGGTGACCGTAGTATTGAGGTATATTGCTGTGGGGGGAGCATCATGTTGATTGTGCTTAGATGTGTAGTAGATAGGATAATACTTAATATGGTGTGTAAGAGTATAGTCGAGGAGGTTAGTTAGTGGTGGGAGGATTTTGTTAACACTATCCTCCTTCTCATACTATATGGCATATGGCATATGAAGTATGGTCTGAATAGCTTCACCACACACCCAATCTAGTATACAATGGAATGCTTATATCATCACTCCTACATAATAGATGTAAAACATCAATATGTATTTGAAAAATACTCAAAGAAGAACACTCAGTAAAACCAACTACAGACGCCTTCAAAATCTGCCTTTTCACCGCCAGTATACATCCACACATCTACAAACCAAACTGAACCCACCATTCCCACCTCATGACCAGATAGTAGCACTAACCACCAAAGAAACTTATCAAATCACATTCAGCTTACATCCTACGAGCCTCACCACCCCCTCCAACTACCTGTTCCTCTTGAACCTAAATCCAACCCCCTCATGTCATCCACCAACCAAGCCCCCTGTTACCTCGTATACTCGCATCTTTATCATCTGATATATCATCATCCTCCTAAGTAGTAAGTTCATGCATACAGACCACACACGATAGGTGATAAGTTTATCAACACCATGCGGCTCTTACACCCATCCATTGATCCATTCATCCGTTTCATCGCCACTTGAATGGCCGAGAACCTTAAATCATAATTAGGGGTAAGTGAGTGAGTGCGTTAGATAACGGTGTATGTAGATATGATGTGGTGCGATGTGCTGGTCTTACTCATGCATCATCTATTATTTTGCCACTGTGCATACTACATACACAGTCACTAACGTAGTGCCTAAAGTATGGATCATCAGCAGCATGGAAGTTAGAATTACTAGTTAGTTATTCGTGAACACAAAGTGGCAACAGGTCACTGTTAAATTTAGAGTCATATTGCCCTACAAGGTAGTACTCGACTTAGAGAAGTACTGAGATTGTGTATAATGGCAGGGATACTATATAGATGGATAGATTAATGGCTGGCTGAGCCTAGATGCCTCTTCGCTGCCTGATAAAGGTCTAGAAGCCAGTCGGAACCACTCCGTAGGCAGAGATGCATATAAAGAGGAAATGGGGGATACATATTGATACATAATGATTGAGTTGAGGCATAAATGGCTGGATGGCTGGCTGGAAGGCTAGACGCCTCCAGGTGCCTGTCAAAGCTTAAGTCTTAGGATGGCGAACAAGAGAAGGGAGAAGTAAATTGGTAATTTGGAATGCACGTATGTATGTATGTGTTCTCGGGATTTGGTTGGTAAGGTTTGTCGGGATGTGATTTGTGCGGATGGTATTGATGCATGGAATGGGTCGAGAATGTATCGAAGTTCAATATACTGAGAGATGCGGTGGTGATGGTGGTGATGAGGCTCGAAGATACTTTTTCCTGTAGATGAGATTCATTTGACGGTATCTAGATGACTGTCTGATATCTGAGCATTGGTAAGCAGCCAGCCAGCTAGCTAGCGGTGAGTGATAAGATAAATAGATAACTACTGTAGTCAGATGGAGCCATAAGCTAGAGCTATATGAACAGTCTGATATAAGCAGCTACTATTCCAGAGACCAGAAAAGATGCGGGGCGTCCATCCAGACCACTCGAAAAGGGCAACCTGCGCGGGTCTGCGAGTCTGCGAGTCTGCGAGTCTGGAGAGACAGTGACAGCGCCACCAGCTAAACCAGTTCCGAGTCTGACAGGCGAGGCGTCAAGACGCGAAGGAAGGACCCGATCACTTTCACCAAATCGGGGTCAGCCCGTCAGCACCAACCCCCCTTCTTCCGTGTTGTTATTTTGATTTGCTTAGCAAACAAGAACAAGCAGCGGACCTATCGAACCCAGACCTCTGTAGACGAGCTCACATGGCTTTTGCCCAGCCTGTCATGGTGTGGATTATGGAGTGTTTTGTCCAGGATGAGACACAGCCACGCCCGAACAGCTGCATCCTGTCATTAAAGTTTGGGGGTGGAAACGATTCAATCAGATCGTCGACTGAGCTCGGTAGAATATACCAGGCCCTCCTGACCAATCAAACTCGCGACTGCATAGACAAACTGGAAAGGAGGCAATGCCGGAATTAGAAAAAAAAACGACTGTTATTCAGGGCTGATGTTGATGGGCGACGCGCGATCTCTGCAAGCGAACCAATGCAGTAGCAACGCCGATTGATCAGAATCTGAATATCTTTTTTTCTTTCTCATCAGGCTGTCGATTCCATCCATCCACAGCGCCCTCTGCAATAGCCTATTCCAGAACCCAGACCGTATCGAAGCCGGGGACCTGCAAGGTGGGGGGGGGGGGGGGGGCAGAAAGACGCGCCCAGAAAATCCACGCTTACCCGGCGCGCTGCTAACGGGATAACTTGGAGGGAGGGGAAGAAAGAGGATTCTTTGAAAAAAGAATAAATAAAAAAACACACCTCCAGGATGGAGGGAATGAAGCGGCCCAGTGACGAGCACTCACCGACTTATTGGGTTATTTCAGGCTTACGAAGGACCGGGGTGGATGGATGTTAGTTAGACTAGCGATGCTTCCGTATAGTGGCGGTGGCCCACGGGAAGGAGGGAGGGTGTGTGGGTGAAGAGAGACAACAGAAACGAAGGAGGGTGAGCCATGAGTAAACCAGCATCATTATTGAAAGCCGGCTGATCGAGTCGCTGCCCGGTCCTTGGCTTTCTCGTAAGGCTAACATGGTCGTGCAATCATCATCTGCGCCTGTGGCAGCTACGGTTGCGATTCGCTTGGTAAATGTCGCGATTGAAATTAATCCCCCTCCATGAAGCCGGGCCGAGAGCAGCCGTTTAAGCAAGCAGGCCACTGGCAGAAGGCATGCGTGGCCAGAGCTTGCGTTGACCAGGCGCGCTGCTTTCTTGGGATTGGGAGTTATGTATGCACATCGGAGATTTTTCTGGGCAATTGGATGCCTATCGTCCGAGGTGCCGAACGCATGTATGTCTAGCATCGTCAGGGAAAGAACAGGTTAGTGGTGAGTAGTCTAGTGGCTAAGTAATCTAGTTACCTAGTAGTTAGTGGTTAGTACGCAGTAGTGGTTTAGCGGGCCGGATGCAATGCCCTGGTGCGACATCGCGTATAGCTCCGTTGCGCATGATGCTTTGAGCAGATACTCCATAGTGAGCAATGGTTTAGTCCAATGTGGTCGGTCGCTCATATGGGGAAGCGGAGTATAGTACAGATGGGACCGCTAAAACACCGGCGCGACACAAGAAAGGGTTGGACAAATCGAAGCTCCGCCAGTCCACCAGCGAACTTCTGGGATGTGATGAGCTGGAACTTCTTTCCGACATCCACCCGGCCGGAATTAGCGCCCAACTGTCCACGGCTGCTGCTGCGCGTCATCCATGTCGCCCCTCTTCTTCTCAAATGATAACGAGGCAGCGGTGACGGAGATATGGCTAGAGACGTCCGAAGTCGAGACACACCTTCCTTGAGTATTATGAGACACTGACGGGAAGACGATGGGTGATTGTTTCCTTGGCCTGAGGCGGATGGGCAGCAATGAGCAATGAGTGGAGGAGAGGGGATATTAGACAGGACTAGTGAGCGAGCTAAGTCGAGAGTAGTCCTGCCTTGCTAAATATACTAGTAGAGTAGTATATAGTGTAGTAGATGAAGGTTACATACCATTCTTTACCAATTTGCTATCCCCAGCAAGTGTCAGTCACTAACTACTAGTAGTCTTGTAGACTAGTAGACGACGAACCGGGGTGACACTAACTCCGGATTCACCCAAGATGGACGACGTTGATGGTAGTGATGATGAAGGCAGGAATGAAGCTGGGTGTGACAGACACGGTGCTAAAGATGCTAAAGATGCTCCAGAGCGACAATCCTCCCCCAATGCGGGGTATGTAGAAGAAACTGGACGAGGCAACCAGCAGCTCCCGATAGATAGCGAGTTAAGGCTGGAGGATTTCATTTCCCCTTCTCCTCCCGACCATCTGACACCCGTCCGGTTCCCTCTTTGCCAGCATCAAACTAGACCGGGATGTCATTACTAGAGGTTACCAGGAAGTGAAGGGACATAACTTTCCTCTCGGTCATTATTTTTCTTCCCTCTTTTCCTTTCAAATTACATGTAGTTACTAGTTGCTACTCGCTTTTCTTTTTCGGTTACTCTCTCTGTCAGCCCAGCCTTATTCGGATATACTATCATTCAATCAACTAACTCACCGGACCTGTAACCATCCTTGTGTATCACTTCGGAGTTCTTTTCTCCTTCCGCTTGTTACTAACTAAACTTCTCTCGCTCAGCCTATCTTTATTAGTCTGGTATAGTTACTAGACAACTAGTTGTAGCGTGGCCATGCATGAATTCCTAAAGCACTGCCCACACTTTCCCCCTCCCCCCACACCCACTTTGTCTCTCCCTCTCTCTCTCTCTCTCTGTCTGTCTCCCCCCCTTCTCTCATCCAGCTTACGGATCACGAATTACGAATCACATACCCCAATCCCTGGTGGGAATAAGCAACCCACGACCTAATCTCGGTCGAGCTCGGCTAACCATGTGTCTTTCCCACGGACATTACGTCAATCGCGACCGGGGGACAAGGGTTCAATTTTAGTTCTTCTAGCGAGGAGAAGCCGCTCAGACACATGATGCCGCTGGGCTGCGACTACGGGTTTACCGCGGCGGATGAACCACCGACCAGGTGCCTGGGATTCCTTTCCCCAGTGCTAACGGAAGCTGTTGTCTCAGGTTGATGGAGGATGCTGTAAGCTGGTCGACGTCATCATCAACATCATCATCGTCTCCTCCGATCTGGTCGACGGATTGATTGCATGCCAGTCCAGTCCGTATGGCATGAATGCTTTCCTTAGTCCTCCACACCCTCGAGCCCGGATGTTTTTCCCCTCCTTTCCCGTTCGTTAGCTGCCACGCCAGTTGACCGGGGAGATCTTCCCAAAAAGCGGAGAAGCAGTGTCCATCTCCCATGTCAAACCAAGGTCTTGCAATCACCAATGCGAAGCTTGCCTCTTCCGGCCTCGCTTTTGCTTTCTTTCTTTATCAAGTTTACCCCTCGTCTTGTCAATCCATTGCCCGTCCCTTGCTGATTTGTCGTTTCGTTCATTCCTCCCTCCAGTCCATTCCTCCCCCTCCCCTCCCCCGCCGTTGGTCAATTTCCCCCCAGCCGGGTGCTAAAGTAGACACTTCAATCTTTTCGCCCATTTGACCACATGCAAGTCACGCCATTAGCACCGTCTACAGCCTTTGGGTCCTAAGGATCGGCGACTTACAGCATGGTGCAAGCCCTGGCGTCACTCCCGCATTGCCAGTGATGCGACCAGCTGTCAGCTTTGGGCTTTCATTGACCGGTCTATCCAGTAAGGTTTTTGGTGCAGGTCGACCAGGAGGAGCTGTCATGTATCTGTGGTGGCACCAGACTATAATGTAGATAACCCTACTTTCTGTATACCGGGATTATGGGGGTGCCGCCACTAGCTCATCTCCTGGACGGCTCATTCGGCGATACCGTCAGTAAGCCAGGACTCCCTGTCCGTTGCATTGCGTGGATGTACCAGGTACATGTAGGGGCAAATAGATTACCAGCCCATCTGTAATCTATTCAATTCCTTGGCCTCGTGATAGCAAGCAGGGTACTCAAAAAAAAAAACCCCCATCTTGTCGCTAGTTGGCACGCTGCCTACCTCATAGCCAGTTTCATATCAGATCAGACAAGTGAAAAAAGTGGGTGATAACGGGATGAGCGATCCCCCTCTATGGCTCGGCTTGGGCTCACCTCGCCAGCACCGGATCGGTTGGCAGCAATTCCTGTTGGGGCGGGGAACAACACTCGACTGCTTACACGTACTCCTAGCTGTCTTGCCTACCCGGTATGCTGACGACCAAGTCATTGCTGGTGGATTGCCCCAGTCTCAGATGACTCGCGTTGAGTACTTGGTCACAATCCTACTGGTTAGCTCATTGACTGGTGCGAATTTAGTGAGTATAAGCCTATGGCGCCACTACGGGAGTCATCTGGAACCAAGAAGTGCCGGTCCGGACGGGGGAAACTAGAAAGGGAAAAAAAAAAGCAATACGAGCATCGTCGCAAGCACACCCTACCAGTCGAATACTTGCCCTCGTACAATTCTTGGTAGCCAATTCGCGGTCGAAACGGCCCCTCCTTGGCATCCACTGGGCTGGCCATAGGCGGTGTCCATAGTTCTTCTAGTTAACCAAATCATTGTGCCTGACTCACAAATGAGTGGCTCAATGGCCTAGTGTGGTATAAGCTCCATAGCAAGTCGAAGATCCCGGTCGTGCAAACCCCGAAAACCCTCCCTGATGACAGACGGGAATTGAAGAGTCGCCGGGCGGAACAAAGCCCGCCATTTGCTGGAAGAAATTCTAGACGAAACTCTATCGTGTGAAGACGATGATCTATCGAGTGCGTGCTATAGACACTATCGACTGTTAATCGCTATCTTCGCATGTATGTCGTACGTATCTAGCCGCTCATTCGAGTGCGATGGGTCTCGGGCTTCCAGGGTCCAAACCATGAATGGCCAAAGTCTAAGTAAGCGTATTAAACTGCCTTTGCTGACGAAAAAGCGGGCGGCGATGGTTGTGGCCTGCCTGTTCCATGGGTTCGACCCGCTGCCACTATTCGAGATCCACTGGTGCTAGTCGACTTACAGTTTCAAAGCCTCACGGCAGTCCGTGAGCCTGGATAACGTAAAAGGGAGATCTATCCATGTACCGCCAGTAGATTATATTGAGGAAGTGTATCCCGAGCCTGTTCAGTCAACCACAATCAATAGGAAAGTAGGCAGCCCCTATAGTTCGCTGTCGATGACGAACAGACAGCATCGGCGCCAGTCTCATGGCTCCAGCCTTAGAGAAATCAACTGATCGTCATGAGCTTAATTGGCTCCGGGGCTCATGACTGCCATCGTATCATATTAATAATTATCGCCGTGGACGGGCGGAAGGAGGGGAAACGGAACGGCAAGTGAATCCCGCTGGTCCCTTGTCGGGGACCCATCACTGATGGAGCATTACAGACCGCGATCCAGATGAATTCTTGAAGCCGCCACGTGGAGTAGACGAAGGAACCAATATCACTCAAAACAGCTGATAGAGGCTTGATGAAGCGCTCCGTTTGAGTTTACGGCTGGCTGTCATCCAGCAATCGAATCGGTAGAATAGCCGCAGCGCAGGGCCACCGAGAATACCGTGGCGTTGGGGGCGTAGGCCTCGGTTTTTCCCAAGAAAGATAGCCAGAAGTACGTCCAATAGCAACGGGTGAAGGTATCATGGCCACTGTAGAGGGACCTACTGCCTAAGTAGGAAAGGTGAGTTGGACGATTGTTGTTCGGAGTGAGGCCGATAGCAGACCCTGGGGATAGCTGCTGCTCTGGGCCAGTTTCAGCATGATGCCTACTGGCCCAGAAGGGAAAAGCCACACTCTCGGTTGTTGCATCGCTGGTATCCCTTGCTGATAATTTCCGATCTGTGCTGCCTGGTCGGCCGGCTGGTGTGACATTGTTTTTTGTCCCATTTAGCTCTCAATACTTTTTTCTTTTCTTCTATTCCCTTCCCATTTCTCACCTCCATTGATGCTTTTAGTAGACGGCCGAACCGTGATCATTTTGGGGAAACGAAGGGGGCCGTCAGGAACTTAATTCCAGCAACAATTTGTTTAGAGAGAATGGCTCCTACCACCTTGGTACTAGAATGAACGGAGTATCTATTCCCAGCACCTTGGCGAGATGGATCAATAAATCAATGGAAATAAAAAATGAAATAAAATCGAAAACAAGAATAAAAATAAAGTAACAACAATGTACATAGCAATAGTCATAATTGGAGTCAGTACGAGAGTAGGAATAGGTAATGATCATTTTGGGTAGGTACGGAGTAGTTCCATCGGTTAGCCCACGACCTAATCAGACCTTCCATCTTACACATACCTACTATGTACCTCCCTTTTCACGGTCGTACAGGATATCTCATACATAGACACTGCTTGTTGTATTGGCGTGACCCTGCTGTGATCCGCCTCAGCTCTGACTCCTTTGGAGCGCCGTTCAATTGTCTCCAGTCGTGGTTCTTATCCAAAATGTTATATGGCGGACTACTGTCTCCTCCAGCATCATCATTGACTTAAGTGAGTAACTTAAAAGAAAGGGAGAGAAATGAGAAAAGATGGATGGTCACTTACTACCACTTCTTACCCTTACCTAGTGGAAGTACCTAAAAGGAAGGTACCAGGGACGTACGTGTCAAGGTACCTGTCAGTAATTTTGACCCGCGAAAGATGGTCGATACGAGCCAAATACGGTAAGCGATACTAGCGGTCCGTCGAGGTTTTGCAGCCAGGATGCAGGCAACTAGACCATGTTTGGACTAGCAGATTTCTTCCAAGGCCAGGCTCTCCCCCGGTCACCGATGATTGGCCGAGTCTATATCCTAACCTTTCAGTGTTCTAAGGCACAAGCGGACAGGGTGGGGATCGGTGTTCCCCTCTTCCCCCAAGCCATCTTGACCGGAAGACGGTTCAGTAGGATGGGAAACCTTGGGTCTTGGGTAACTTTGTCCTGGGGTTGCTAGCTCCAATCTTCCACACTTTCTATTCCCCCCTCCTCTTCCCTCCAGAACATCGAATCGACAGCGGGACCCAGATAACCCTGGCCTGTCAGTCAGTCTAAAAGAGATTCCTAAATTAAGTGCCACTGCTTGGTGCCCGTAAGAAAGTTAGTAGGTAAAAGTAAGTATGTATGTATGTACCTAGTACTTGGATACCTTAGTTTGATACCGAGTGTTTCCCTCCTGACCTTCCAGGGTAGACAAGAAAGTAAGTAAACATGGTAACCCATGTTCAGTAACGATGGGGTAAGAAATACTTAACAAAAAAGAAAATAATAAATAATACAAAAAAAAAAAGGCGTTGACTTGATTATTCCTTCTTCTTCGTCATTCTCCTCCACTTTTGCATTGGATGTGGAAGTTTTCTCTTTTCTTTTTTGGTTTTTATAATCGCCTGGTTTCTTTTTTGTTCAGGTTGGTCTGGTGAAAGAAATTCCACAAGTGGTCCGAAGGAAATACTTCAACATAGTATAACCCGATCTTTCCGGGGTAGGGGTAGGGGTACAGAAAAAAAGTGGCCAAGTCTCAAGCTAGCCCGGCCGGGTTACTGGCCAGAGGGGAGCTCCACCGGCTGGAGGACACCAAGAGGAGGTTCCAATTTATTATTTGATTACCGCTGGACAGTACTTAGTAGTGAAGGAGCTTAGCAGCCCGCAGTAGCAACTAGGTACCTGCTAGGTAGAGCCAGAACGATGCGGCGTTATAAAAATTACACGGCCTGCTCACGAGAGCCGGAGAGGCAAAACGAGGAAAATAAAAACGAACAAGAGCTTCCATCCCATCGGCCAGTCAGCTAGCTTTCTTTCCTCCTCTCTTCGTGCAGCAAATCCTCCTCATCTGGCTCGTCGAGTATTTCTTTTCCATCTGCCCCATCTGGAGCAGGTGTTCTTTACTTTCTCGTCTTTTCCTCACCTTCAACTTTTCTTTTTCTTTACCTTTCTCCTTCTCAACAGCCATCATCATCCCTTGACTTGGTCTGGCTGCGTACCTGGAAGGAGAACCGCCTGAGACCCGCAGCAGCTGTCTGTGTCTGTCTGTCTCTGTATCACAGAAACGTTGCAACCTCGCCCGGTCCGAACAGTATTACTGAACTACATCTGAGAAACTCGTTGGGATCGTGCTTTGCACTTTTCTCTCTTCTGCTTCTCTTTCGCCCTCGTCATCGCGTCAATTTTTTGGTCTTTATTATTTTCCACCTCTGCGTGTTCGTGCTTGATTGTTATTATTATTAGATCCATTGTTAGGTACGTCTGGAATACCTCCCTGTCGGCTATGCTGGACCTCCAGGGCCAGCCTCACCTCCATCCATCCACCTTCACTGCGTTTCCCCATTTGATCCATCATTCGGTCCTGCGACTTGGCTGCCAATCGACCTGCCTGTCCAGACCTCCAATGATTACTGTTGAGGCTGCATGCCGTCGGACTTAATTTGCAGTGACATTCCTGCTCCCTCCGCTTGTCCAGAACTCCTTCCCTCTTCTTTCTTTTCCCCTCCCACCCGCTCTCCTATTTTCACTCCACCATAGTAGCTTTATTACTACTATTACTAGCCATACTTCCAACCGTTTTTCTCCCCCTCTGTCGCCTGTACCATTTCCTGTCGTGTTTGCCTGCTCATACTTTTATTGCAAACTATTGTTGTCGCTGTCACTTACTTTTCTTCTTTTATTTCGGCTCTGTTTTCATTTATTCGCATCTCCTTTTATCTTCCTGGGATTCGTTGTTCGCTCCCTGTGTTCCTATCGCTAGCCGGCCCACTCCCCGCTATCCTTCTTGCGACTCACCTCTTCAATAGCTTTTCATTCTGCGCTTGCATTCCCTCACCATGGCGCCTGGTGGTGGACGAGATTTTAACTGCACCTGGGAGCATTGCAACAAGGTATGGATCGACTCGATGCCGCGTTATCTACACCTTCCGCTGCTCTATCGCTTGCTTGAGGGCGTTATAGTTCCCGTGCTAATGGCAGTAGTCCTTCAATCGCAAATCAGATCTGTGCAGGCACTATCGGATACACACCAATGAGCGACCGTATCATTGCACGGTCAAGGACTGCAATAAAAGCTTCATTCAACGGAGTGCATTGACAGTGCATTCGCGAACGCATACCGGAGAGAAGCCTCATGTCTGTGATCACAGAGGATGCCACAAGGCCTTTTCTGACGTATGTGCATCCTAGCTCACTAATCTTTATGTATGCTGACCACCACAGTCATCGAGTCTCGCTCGTCACCGAAGGATCCATACTGGAAAGAGGCCCTATATCTGCCAAGAGCCAACATGCGAACGAGCGTAAGCATTGGCCTGGTTCTCGTGCTAATCTCTTATCTAACAACGTGAAGCTTCTGCCGCAAAACGACCTTGACCAAGCACCAACACCGCTCTCACCCCCCGGGATCCATGACTCGCCTGCCCTCCGAAGATGCGGTCTCTGAACACTCGTATCAAGGGCCAGTCGCCGTTCCCGTGCCGAATGAACAGTATCTCTTAGCCCAGCAACCCTACTACCCTCATACCCCGACGCCGACTCATGAGTTTTACCCCCACCAGAGCCTACACATAACGCCGGTGCCCATACAAGAACAACCACCGATCGTGACCCAGCACATCCCTGTCACGTCACCGGTTGATGTGCAGCGTGCTCAGCAACACTACATGCAGCTTGTGCAGCAACAGCAACAGCAACAGCAGCGGTACGATCCTGGTCGGCAGGGGTATCTGCCACCGGAGTTTCAGCAACCATACCATGCTCTACCCACAGCGGATGGTCCACCCCTGATGGTGACTAGCACTCAGAGTGACTACAAACCGCCGGCCCGCATCCTGAACCAGCCCGAGGGAACGGACTGGGGCTTCCTGGGGGTTGGCTAATGAGCCGACAACGAGTGCCTTTGCATGATTCGACAGCGAGTGTTTCAGACTAGGAGTTACAATGCGTTTGTGCTTTGAGTGATGCCCTATCATGACTGTCATTTACGAGCCCTTAATTTGGTCAGACGCCTCATCCGCTGCTATTCTCTTTTTTTTTTTTCTTTCTCCATCTACGGCACAAACGCCTTTTAGTGATATTCGCGGACTATGATGTTTTTTTTTGGTCAAGTTGCGCCCTCCCCTGTCAAAAGGCTGCGAAGAGGTTCTTTCTTGTCATATTGATTCTTGATACCTTGGCAAATGATGCAGTTCGCTTTTTTATACCAGCATAGCCTATACGTTCGCTTTGAATCTGGATGACGTGCCGCACAGCTGGGAGCTGACCGGTACGTATGCAGAACATGGGTGTATGTACTTATTTCCGAAGCTTTTAATAATGCCTTGCCCCCTTCGGAGTACTCTGTTCCCAGTGACGCTGACAGCGCGCGCGCGACGTAGGCCGTGGATCAGCACCTACCACCAGAAACACAAAGCCGTGCTGACAAGGATTCTATGGACCGAGGAAGTAGTGCTTGGCTTGGCTCGGCTCGGAGGGGAAAAAAAAGAAACATGGGGGCGCCCATTGTTGTCGGGCCATTGTTCTACGAAGCTAGGCTGTCAGGAGCTTCCTTAAGACCCCTACAACCAACGTCAGCCAAGGATCGACGGCTGAAACGGTTGGGGGTGGAAAAAGAGAGGAAGGGAAGAGGCTCCACATGTCGATGGCGCTTGTAGCAGCGAAAGCCAGTCATGGGGCTGAAGTCTATCTCTTCTCGCCTTCTAGGTCGGGGCAGTAGGCCCCGACTGTCGTAGCGCCTGATCGACCCATCCAGCCGCCCATATGGTTTAGTCTGGGGGTGTGGGAAGGAATACACGAAGAGGAGAAGGATGAGCAAGAGGATGAACGAAGAGAGGAGGGAGGGGGGGGTGCGGCTAGACAGGGAACTTTCGATGGTGCAGTGCAGGTGGGCCGACACCACAACACGCACTCACTCAACACACTTACACACCATAGCCCGAAGCTAGATACCTTAGGGCGAGAGGGTGTGTATTGTGTATGAGAGGAGAAAAGGCAAGAACGGAAATTGATTCGATGACCACCTGCGTTGGTCTCTTCGATCGACTGTACATACATGCATGCGCCAAGTGGTGTTTTTTTACCACACGAAAAGGCTGTCATCGCTTTGCTTTTTTCTTTTCTTGGCCGGCTGGCTGGCCATATAACGCGTCGTCAAACCAATTTCTTTTCTATTGTTGTTGTTGTATCTGAATTATAGACAGAACAGAACAATTGGAAAGCGGATCCGATCGGGAGGATAGGATAGGATAGGATTAACAACGGGCAGAACCGGACGGAGCTCTCCGACCCGAGATCCCAATCAATCATATTCCTGAGGAGAATGTATCCGAGATTTGGTTAAGGAAAGGGAGGGTGTGGGTAAGAGAAGGGAAAAGGGGATTAAAAAAAAAAGAAAAAAAACTTGTTTTTTTATTTTTCTCCTGTTGTGTTGTTGTGTAGTGTGACTGGACTAGTAATCTAGCCGGGTGGAACTAGATTATTTAGTTAGTTTTTTTTTTCTTCTGGTTGGTATCAATAACTCAGTTAGGATAGGATGGGATGGAGACGCGACACGGTCGGGAGTAAGCGCCAGACAAGAGGAGTGGGGTGGAGAAGGGGGGGGCGAAGACAGTATACGATGATGATATCTATCTAGTTAAGATTGATTTGATTGAGTTGAATCCTTTTCGATGCGATGCGCTTGTATGGACGGATGTTTGTACCTGATTGATTGATTGATTGATTTTATTTTAGGCGGTCAGTTTTGTCTACTTTACTTTGCGTTTACTAGTGAGGTAGTTTCGAGAAGAAAACTTGGAATTGCTGCAGCAGCTGGGAATAGATGAATCATGGTCAATATGGATATTATTTCCGTGTGACAGGGAGGAAAGGAGGAGGAGGGTTTGATTGACATGAATGACGGTCTGACATGAATACTGAATAGATAGATGGGGGAAGTGTGATCGACCGACTCTTTTTTAATTTGTTACTTTAGTTTGAAAACTTGGATTGATCCTGCGTGTGTCATCTGGATGAGATGATGGATCTCGTGTTGGGATGTACTAGCTGCGAGACCAAGAAGGAGAATCGAGAGTCTAGATGGATGGGCTGTGGGGATGGGATGGAAAAAAAGGCTGCGGGGGGTTGCCTTGTGGTGTTTCAATTTACTCCGTAGTCTGATCTAACTAACTACTTAGTTGACAGGCATCTTTGTTGTGGATGTGGATGTGGATGTACATGACAGGATATGATATGATATGAGGTATCTATAGATTCCGATAATAGCTATGAAGTTCAACTGTCATTTCTCAGTACTACGTACTTACTTACTCCTCCTCCCCCTTAAGTGTAATTGTAATTGTCAAGGATGATTGAAGTAGAACTAACATCAGATATAGTATATTGTCTTACGACTGCCGGATCCACAATCCCAAGCTACTACTAACTAGCACTTAATCGACAATCGGAAATCCAAAAAGCCTAGAGTTAGATACTAATACTTAGGTGGCAACTCTACTCATTTCCCAAAATAAGTCTGATTTGCCGACGGGACTTTACTACTGTCTGTTGTGATCGTCAATCCGTCGCCTATCTCCGTTATAGTGGTATTTATGGTGATACCTACCTACTTTTTCTACTTCTGATCAGTTAGACTGGCTGAAAAGGAAACTAAGCATGCGAAAAAATAGATAAAGATAGTAGTAATACTCTAGTAGATAGGTAAGTCTGTCCGTGGTACGTAGGCTTGGTGATATCACTTCAATTCCTGCGGTTCGCTTAGAGTTGAAATGACATGGCTGAGTTGAGATGAGATGAGATGACATGAGTTGGGTTGATACATACGTGTAATATAACATACTTTGTGTATTACCAGCCATATGTATTTGTAAGGTGTATGTATGGTAACATACATATAAATAGATACTACACTACACTACTAAGTTATCTATGGTGATGATGATGATGATGACAGCCCAAGAAAGTAAAAAGAATGCGAAAGGATTAGATGTGATGATGTGATGGAATTGCTTTTGCCTCGCAGGTAGATGTCTGTCTATCGACCAATCATGCTGTTGATCAAACAGAGTAAGATAGTAGCAGTAGTGGCTTGTCGGGGAATTGTCGGGTCGTTCGACTTGTGGTACTGGTGGTGGTGGTGGCACACCATACCACTCACACGGCTGGCATAAGCAATCAAGCCACCACCACCACCATGGCTTATGGGCTGTGTTTGGGTGGTGGTGGTGGTGATGGTGGATAAATTCTTATGCCTTGATCTAAAGTATCAAGATAATGTTGTTTTGTTTCTACTGTGTGGAAGGGAAGTAAGTATAGAGGAGAAAAAGTAGACTAATATCCATAAAAGCCTCAAGCCTCATACATGAATCAAAAGTACATACATTAGTATGTACCCCACAGCCAAATCCAAAGTATCAGACACCCCATAGTATCCACAGATAGATAGACCAAAATTGAGACCACATCCTACCACCATCTGCCTAATACACGAACCAGCCAATCCCACAGTAGCAAAATCAACAAGGATACTGATTGTACACGTAGCTACCACACAATACTCCCTCAATCTACATAAATAGTTGCTTGACATATAATACAGAGTTATAAGAGACCACGCCACCAGGCAATCGCTGTCATATGTTGGGTTGAACTCCACTGGAATGGACAAAAGTACCTTGCATGCATGGGGTAGACGGTCAACTACTAGTGTTGGTTGACATGGGTGTGGGGGTGTGCTGTATCTTTTCTTTTCTTCTTTTCCAGTATGCTCATATTTGGGAATAACTTGGTCGTGAGTGTGCTATTGTTCGTGGGGATGGTGATATGTTTCAGGTGGTTGTGTGAGGGGATATATCGACCTATCAGATATTGGGGAGATACTATTACTAGGTAGTAGTAGGGTATGAGTATTTATGAGCAGGTATAGAGGTATCAACCAAGTAGCCAACTACAAGGGTGTCGATGTCAGATGTCAAAATCATAATCAATCCAATACACGCATTGTTTCGAGTTAATATATATGTGTCGAGCAGGTCTCATGATCAACTCGTCTGATCACTCCTAGATTGTATCTATCCGAGTATCAGCAGCTGCACATCCCCCCTGTAGCTATTCATGATCTATTATCTACGTGAATACCTATTCATCTTATACCTAAAGCAACAGCATAAATACCCAACGGCATGACCATTGGATCACCGGCACGGCACAATCCGAATGACAGATGGATAGCTTACTGTTCCACAACCCCCTCTAAACGCCGAGGCATATCCACGCCACGGGGTAAGCTCCTCATGATCATGAGAAAGTCGTATTCAGTACCTGGCTGTGTTACCTTGTGTGAGTGTTGTTTATTCTCCGATTAGGTTGATTGATAAGGGGCTGTTGGCCCGAGGCCGAGACTGAAGCCGTTGAACGGTCTGGTGTAGATCCTATGTATCTGAGCATCTCTTGTAGATTCATTGGTAGAGTAGTGTATATGTACTGCTGCTGTACTTGCCGTGCATTGATTCTTATAGTATATGTATGTATATGTATCAATCAACTCTTAATCTTGACGTATATCATCAGCGGGTTAGTCGTCTAGAGAAAATAGTAGCGAAAAGTAAGCTTACAACTTTCCTCTCACAACCAAGCCCATCATCACTAATCCTATCCATATACTGGCCTCATATCGACAGTCTAGATGCTCAGCTGCCATTTCATATCAACCATAGGAGTAGACCCTGTACCACGTCGGAATGTATCCATCAAGGACAGAGACAACTCGAGACCGGATCCTCGAGCATAAAAGCACTTGGATCTCCTGTTTCCTCGAGTATCGCCATCAGCATCACTACTACTTTTATCAGGTATTGAAATCAAAATCAAAGAAGTGACAAAATGCGTTTCACTATCCTTATTACCCTCTTTTTCGCCGCCCTGGCCATCGCCGCCCCGGCTGCGGAGGCAGACAATGAATCCGGCGCTGCAGTGTCTGAGGACCCTGCCTTGGCTGATGCGCAGCGTTGTCGGCCAGGATATAGACAGTGCATGGATGTATGTCTCTTCTTTTGACTTGGGTCTTAATAAGACGTGGTCAGCTAACCAGGTGTAGAACTGCAACCGTCACCACGGAGGTGACCGTTGCTTCCGGGTACATCCACCTTCTTTATCGTCTCAGTCACACAGTACCTAACAAGATTTAGGCCTGCTGGGCTCACTACTGCTAGTGAATTGCCCCATACACACCAGAATGATTGTTGGGTAGTCGAAGGACACAGCGATTGATTTGATATTGTGCTCGTTCCGTTGACGTCAACGCAAGCTATTGTCCCTCTTTAACTAAATCGAGCTGTTTATATGAGTCTTCTCCCTGATTGTGATCCCAGGCTTAGTAGCCAGTAATACCGAATTAATCAAAGCAAGCACATCAACAATGACCAATAGCCCACCAGCCATCATGAATCTCGGACAGAATATCGCAAAGAGCATCAGATGACGGCGGAGGATACACGCCCATAATGCTGTAAAGGCAGCCCAGGCAGTGTAAACAGTGCTATGAGTGGCCAGAAAGCGTGCTTGGCTCTGTTTTTCCCCCGAATGAAGAAGAGGCACGGCGCATGCTGCAACGATTGGCGCGGCAAATGTATTGATGATCACCAGCAATGGTGACCAGGGATACTGCGTATCCCGGAATGGGATGTAGGCTGACTTCCATTGGATGCTGGATAAGGTGGCGTTGTGACCGGTGCTGAAAAAGTGTAAAGTTCCGAGGAGCGCTGCGATGGTGGGTTTGATGGAGCTGTTATTGGGGACGAGATGCCGTAGACTGATGAGCTGGTAGTAAAGGATTGCCAAGGACAATCCGCCTGCTGGGGTGCTTGAGAGAATGCCTGCGAGGACCACTGCTGTTGTGAAGATGAGTGGCCGTTCGAGTGACCTATGTCTTGGAGTGGTTGTAAACGCAGTTGCTAACCCGATGAAGACAATGGCCAGCACCATTCGTGCAACAGTCATGCGCACAGTTTTGGAGGTGTCGTCGCTAAGGAAGTCCACCAGCCAGCCGTTGTTACTTGCTGTTTCTAGGATATTGAAGACGGTGTCGAGAAGCAGTGCACTTGGTATGCCGAGTCCGAACCAAAACAGGTTTCTAGCCGTGTGGTCTTGCAGAGCCATTCGAGTAATGTATACCACGGCTACAGCGGTAATGACCGGGCTTGATAGCTGCCATATCGAGCTGCTCTCCAGACGATAGAATGACGTTCTGCAGAATGGCAGTTGCTCTTCACGACAAGCCCGACTGAGCGAGGCAACTCGGCTCAGCAGCGTGAAAATCACTGAGAATGATGTTTCACGTATCCCTTTTGCCTGGTGTAGCCGGCCTGACGTGCCAAGAGTACATAGCCCGAATGTCGACAGAAAGAGCAACACCACACGGTCCTCCCAGATGGTGTAAGAGTTCGAAGCAAATCCGATGCCGAGAAGCAGGGTGAACATCACAGTCTGCCAGCCCCAGACTCCCCCCGGAAGACACTGCACAACACTCAAATCAGTCTGCCACATATTCCACACAATACTGCCCAGAGCAGCACCCAGGATCACACCATCAAGGACAGAACCACGACCAGTGTCTGCCAAGGCAACATGACCAGCCACGGCAACAATCCCCGTCACGGTTCCCGCTACCATCCCAGATCTCTGCTCTAAATCAGGCCAGCTTTCACTCACCTGAAAGCATAGCAGACTCACAACCCCCAGCAGTAGAACCACCAAGCCCTCAATCATCCTCAGCGGATCAAACTGAGCCCAAATACGCTTATACCCCTCTAGCATCCTCCCTTGATATCTCCTCAACCTTTGATAGTACTCTCTTAACGCCAGCTCATCCCCAAAGTCCACATCAACCTCATCCCATCTATCCCACTCAACCACCCCCTCCCCTCCATACCTCTCATATTCCCTCGTGAACCTCTGGATTTGTGCCACAACCAAAGCATTAACCTCCACCAAACGTCCCCAATCCCTCCCCTCCCTCCCAGCAAACACCTCCTCAATCGGCCGACCCAGGTTATTAAACGGCACCGGCACGCCCATCAGCAATGCCAACGTCGGCACCAAATCCACCTGCGGCGTATCTCTCCCCACGACACCAGTAGCAGCAGCATCACCATCAACGAAACCCCAAACCTCCCTAGTCGTATACATCCACAGCGCAGCCCGTACCTCATCCGCCGTCTCACCCCCATGATTTCCATTCTCATCCATCCCGTGATCCCCCATGACAACCAACAGCGTCTCGTCATCAATATCCCCTATCACTTCCCTAATAATCCCATCCATTTGGACCAGTTTATCCCTCATTTCCGGATGCCCCGGTCCAAACCGATGCCCGACGTGATCGACGCCTAGGAAATGGGCGATTATCACGTCCCACTCCTCGTTTCCCTTTGTATGTCTACTTCGTAGTAAAGGTAGAAGATGCTCATATACCCCATCATCAACAGTATGTAAATCCTCAACCAGGAAGGAGCTATACGGGCGTGATAGCCCTGTATCAAATTGTCCCGGGAATAGTTTCACCCATGTGTCATCGCCCAACAAGACGAGACGTTTCCCTGCGTCATGAAGCTGAGATATCAGGTTATCCTCTGTGATTGCTGATCCGGCGAAGTTGGACCCCGCTTCGATGAAAGTGGGCAGAGTGCCGGTCGTGAGGGCTTTCAGACGCTGGAGGGTAGTGGTGGGAGGATCAGCGATGAAGGGGTAGAGAAGGGCATTGTGGGGGGTGTGGAGGGCTGTGGTGTGGAGGATGGTGAGGGCGTTGTGGTATGTTTCGTTGGAGGAGGTGGCGGGGATGGTGAAATCGTAGCGGAGGGCGTCGATGAGGAGGATGATGGCTTTGGTGAAGGTGGGTGTAGTCCAGCAGGTGGTGCTGGTGTTGGTAATGGGAATGGGAGGGTGGGAGCAATTGCTTCTCGAGTCGAGGGTTTGGCGTGTTAGGAGGAAGCCTTTGGTGAAGAGGTATAGGCCTGTAGTGTGGAAAAAGCTGGATGATGGTTAGTATGGTCAATTGAGCTGGGATATGTAGAGGTGGTGGGGCAGTATACAGAATCCAGAGGAAGAAGAGTGGGAGATGCCATCTTCTGCTTCCTGATGGGCCCATTGTGCGCTGCTATAGATGCTGCAGTGCCTATCAAACTATACTATCGTATCGTCCAACGACGAATGTAAACAGATGATCATCATCTTCTTCATCCAACAAAAGCAATAATAATCAACGATCAGGCAGCTCTATTTACAATCTACAGGCAATAGTCTCCTTGGTTAGTCTCCTTGGTTTTCTGTGGCACAAACTCTCCCCTGTGTAACCATCACTCAATCAAATTCACTTCAACCTTCATCAAAACCGAAGTAAATGTAAGTATACCAATACCATCCAGAAAAGGAAATATAGTAAGTACCGTCACGTACCAATACACACCACTCCCGTATTTCCATACCAATACTCACACCAAGTACATACTTACGTAACCAAGTTAGTTACTAACGAACTAATCTACTGCAGTCCTGACCAACTAACTAGGTTAATAATTCTCCGCTGCCAACCAAACCAACCCTCGTCTTAGCGAGGTGGATAAGTAATAGATAGATAGCCTGAGGCTAACTAACTACTTGCTGCTTGCTGATCAATAGCGATTCTTTCCCGCTCGTATTGGGACAATCTTAGCCCGATGCGGGAAGCATTAGCGAGGACGGATGTGGTTGGTCGGTGAGGGGAGAAGATCGTAATCAACCTAGGTATGTCTGTAAAGTAAATCGAGATGACACTTAGTACTTTCGTTTACTTGACAGGTAACTGCGAGTAGATTAGGTAGCTTGGGGTTTACCTGGTTGACTTTATCTAGGTTGTTTGGATGTGGAAAGAGCTTATTATTGACTTCACTGGGGTTTGGGGGAAGCTTTGAAAGCTATTATGGAGTACTTCCGTGGGTCGGATGGGGATGGGGAGGGTTATGCTTAATGGGAGAGTGGATGGATGGGATTATGATGTGGTCTGTGTAATTGTCTTGGATTCTTTTGGGGAATAGTTAAATTGAGAGGGTTAATGGTGGGACAAATTCAGTGTAAGGTAAGCAGCTGTGATCCCATGCATGTTCATTGGTTCCTTGTATATACCTATTACCCATACCCATTCTATGTAACTCATTGCTATACAAACATAACCCCTGTCATCATCATCATCATCTTATATACGTATACCACCCAGCTGCCAAGCAACAAAGAATGAATCCTACCAACTCGTTACCCCCCTCTCCCTATCAAACCCACCCCTCAACTGCTCTCCCGGCTTAACCACCTTCCCCTGCAACACCGTATACCTCACAATATTCTCACAATCCTGCGGCCTCACCCTCGCAAGCCAGATGCCCTGCGCCGCACCCTCTTCCTCTGTCTCTCCAGCTCCCTCCTCCGTCTTCTTATACCACTCAAAGTCCCTCCTTCGATAAATAATCACATTCGCCGCATACTTATGCCCACCAACATGATTAATAAAGTAAATCCCCACACCACCGGGCCTCTCATCATCCATATCCCGATACAAGCCTAGATGGCGCAAATGGCGCTCGAACTCCTTGCGGAGGAGTGGCGCGGACTGCCCGCAGCGGGCGTCGCGGGTGCGGTGCGAACAGAGCAGAATAACGGCGGAGTGAGGGGAGGGGCGGGAGCGGAGGGAGGTAAGGGTATGAATGTCGATGTTTTCTTCTTCCTGTTGTTCTTCGATTGAGGGTTGTTGTTGCTGTTGCTCATCCTCATTGTTGTTTCCAGTGGCCGCAGACTCGGATACAGCACCGCCTAGAGGGGTAGTAGTCGTCGGCGACCGATTAACAAAATACTTGATCAAATCCGGCGCCAGCTGCGGCGTAACATGATCAACAATGGTAAACCTGGGCAGAAGCAACACAGTCGTAGGCTGCTTGCCCGCATCATGATAATGATACTCGTCCGGGACGGGCATATTGGAGGCGGATAATTTCAGTTTCTAAAGCAACACACAAACACCCGATTAGCTTCCTTCCTCACAATTCTTCTTTTATCGCGCAGCCTCAACAAACTGCAACTGTGACGGTGTCTTCATACCCCATTACTAGGCACCAGTCCCCCCTTCTCAATAGCCTCCATGACACTACCCTCTTCATCCGCAACATCCCTCACCCAATCCGACTTCCCGGTCGCAACCAGCACGTGCGTCGACCAGCCATTGATATTCCCATACATGTTATCCTCCTGGTCGACATCGAATTTAGCAGGGTATTTCACCGTGCAGGACGCACAGTCGTGCAGGCATTCCTCGCCGTCCACGGCGGGGTCGGTCTTTGGGAAAAGCGTGTCGGCCGAGGGGGCTGCATCATTATCCTCCTCGGGTTTGGGGCTGTCTTTGGGACTATCCTGCGGGGTGGCCGAGGGGGTCGGGGTGAAGAATGAGCGGCCTCGTTGGAGTATGGATTGCATTGTGAGTGAATGGATCGGGAATGTGAGGAAAAAGAAGAAAAAGGAGGAGGAGGGAAGGTGAATAGGAAATAGGGAGGGGAATGTTTCTTTTCTTTCATTCGGACTTTTTGCGAACCGCCAGATCTTATCAATCGCCGCCTTGCCAAGGACGGAAAGCCACGCCGACGTGATGCGGCTGTCGGCTGCTGCCGGACCTCCGATTGGCTTACGTCACAGCAGGAGCACTCTTTGCCGATTTCTAAAGTGGGGGGTTGTTTTGAGGGGGCAGTTCTTTTTTGGGCGTTGGGGAAACACAGGGCAGGTGGATATGACCTAATAAGGCCCAATGAGAACTGCCGTGTAAATAATGGTGGCATATTGCGAATATAGGACAGAAATCACATCTTTATTCGTATAATTATCCAGAATGGGTTTCTCCAATTCTTATCTATGTTTGAGGTCTACCGTCGACGCGGCTGCTGCTGCCAACATTATAAGCGTACGGTAAGTCCGTCGGACTCCGGGTCTCGACCAGGCGAATCACGCTTCCTCCGGAGCTACCAGACACATTCGATTGCACTCGCCGAAGCGACCGCATTGATGGCGTCCGAGGAGGCGCCAGGGTTCGCTGCGCCTCCGAGCGTCTCGACCAAACAGGCGACCAGCGACCCTGTCTGGCGCCCTCCCAAGTGGACGCATTTGAAGGCCGCAGACTATTACTCCGGCCCCGCGACATAGCTTCACTATCTCCATAGGAATCCACCGTATCGGTCTCGCCTTCCTCGTCCGAGGGCCCGATAAGAGACTCACTCTCAGCCTGGGAACTCCCACCCCGCAACTCATCCAAGATCTGGGGATCCAAAACCTTCATCCCCCTCAGGAGCTCCGCAAACACATGCATCAAAGTCCTGAACTCAGCCTCGTGTAGCTCACGCGTCGAAAAGCGCGCCCGCTCGTACAGAGTGACAAATTCCATCCCAATTTCCGGCGGATCAATCACATCCAGTGCAGTCAGATGCTGCAAATATCCCCGCAGACCCATCGATGTCGGCCGGCGTAGTACTTCCACTACCCGCGTGTCAGGAATCGACTCTTCGGTTTCGGGGAAAGGCGCGTGAAGCGCCCGCTGAGTGGCCGTGAAGATTGGATCGGGAGGAGCTAGTGACACGGCCTTGGCCTCAATGAGATGAGGCAGTTCCTGGACCACAGTTCGATACGGTAGGTCGGGCAAGTCAGGACACGATGGCGAGGACCATCCGGGGTGCTCGACCTGACCCCAAGGCGGATTGTCGTAGTCCACCAGGAGTGATTCATAGCTTGAGAAATCATATCCGTCTGCTGCAATGTCTCTGGGTCGAGCCTGGTAGGCTATGATCGCACTATGCGCCAGACCCTCCTTAACCAGTCGGCGCACACTCTTGCCAACGTCTTCTCGCTCGACGGGGATCCATGCTTTAGGGATGCCGGAGAGAACGGTTCGGTTGGTATATATACGCGTGGTGTAGATCAAGACCGCGAGGATAAAGGTGACAACGTAGCCGCCGGTGATGATGAAGATGTTCGTGAGGCGCTGCGTGATGTAGCACTGGTAGATCGCATCGGCCGGAGTCAGAATGATGCAGAGGAACAGGACCACGGAGAAGAAGGTGAAGACGGTCAGGTTCAGGACGCGCTGAACGTTGATGGCCATAACCGCGAGCACGTCATATTGCGCAGCAGTTCCAGCTGCTTTCAGGTGCAAGCAACTGGACGGTCCAGAGAGAGATACTGAATAGCTAGGATTAAGGGGATGGATGTCCTTTGCGACCGCGAGATGAGCCGGGTATCACGTGATGCAATGTGGGCTGCGATCGGCATTCGTCGTCTCCCTGTATTGTCTCGGAGGCACAGCGTGGACAAGAACAAGCTATTCATGCCATATCTATTATATTTATAATGAACAAATCAATTATGGCTTCTCAAAGGTATATATATGCCCTACGCTGATGCTGTCTTCTATTGCTCTACGTGTATAAATGCTAGGAATCACGACCCGTTTAGTCATCCTGGACAGCCACCTCGTCCTCCCACTTGGGCTCGAACTGCGCCCGAGCCTTACGGATGACCCGCTCGATACCGTCCAGACCCATCTTCAGAACATCCATCTTCGGGCCGTAGCTCAGACGAACGAAGTGGTGGCAAGGGCTGTCGAACAGATCTCTTCTGTGAGCGGGGTTAAGGTCGAAGAAGATACCAGGGACCACAATGACCTTCTCGGTCAAGAGGGCGTTGAAGAAGTTCAGTCCGTCGGACAGGTTGGCCTCCTTGGGAAGAGGAGGGTCCAGGGACGTCAGGTCAAGCCAGATGTAGAAGGTGGCCTGGGGCACGTCGTCGATGCGGAAACCGATCTCACGCAGGCGCCCAACAACAAAGTCTCTCTTCTCGCGGAAGTGCACCTGCAAGGCCTTCATCTCCGCGCGCACCAGCGACGGCTCGAGCATGGGAACGGCGGCTTCTTGGAAAGGCGCGTTGGCACCACCGTCCAGGTAGGAACCAGCAGAGCCCAGGGCATCGACGAACTCCTTGGGGCCCACAACCCAAGCGATACGCCAACCCGGAAGACGGAAACGCTTGGTCAGACCGTCAATCAAAAGCACATCTGTTAGAGTCAGCATGGCAGGAACAACCTGCACCGGTTCTCGTTTGTTCAGGGAGGGTCAGCGGGCGAACCATCTTTGTTGACATCTTCCACGTTGGTGGCACCACTGATCGTGGTTCCGTCACAGTCGGTAGTGTAGTTGTAGCCGCCGTAGAACTCGTCCAGGATCAGAGTCGCACGATCTCTGCAGATGTCCTGGATCTGAGCCAGTTCGGGGTTGGAGACAAAGTGTCCGGTAGGGTTACGAGGGTTGGAGGTCAGCAACACAGACGTTCCACGAGCGATCTCCTCGGCGATCTTATCGGGGTGGATGTGGTAGTGGTCGTCTTGGGCGAGGGGAATGGGAATAGGAGCGATCTATTGAATTCCAAAGTCAGCCCAGATAGGTCCAGTAAACTAAATCATGACCACAGTCCTCCAACGTCAGTCACTAATTGCACTCACGTTCTTGAACAGCGACAACATCTCCGAGTAGGCCGAGTAATCAGGGATAGGGAAAGACAAGTACGAATTTCCCAGAATAGCAGCAATACGGATCAGACCCGCACGACCACCGGGAACAATGCAGACGTTCTCCCAAGTGTACTGACTGGCCTTGCCCTGACGATAGTGCTCATTGTAGAGGCGAGCGACGGCGGCACGCAGAGGCTTGATACCGGCGGTCGGACCGTACTCACGGGCGGCGGAGGTGATGGGGATGGAAGTCGGGCGAGGGAAACTGCCCTCGATCTCATCATCGGCTTCAGGCGCACCCTGGCCTAGGTTGGCCCAGGCGGAGGGATCCTCAGCATAACCATGTTCGGTGGCACGCTCGGTACACCAGACAACACCAGTAGAGGCACGGGAGGCATCAAGACCGGCATGGGGACGGTGACCTTCGTGGGCGCTACGGAACTGACGATGGGTTTCGGAACGGAGTTCTGCATGGCAAGGATGTTAAGTCAGTTGGAATGCCTGCAATAGTCTGCTTTTGACTAGTAGCTTTTGTTGTTGAAGAAAACGGAGGAATATGTGCCCCTCATGCACAAGGCTAAACATTCAGCCTTGCTGCGATGCAAAACCACATCTCCGCATGATCGCGGCGGTAGACATGGAGCAAGAGTGTAGAGTACAGAGCATACTAAGAGAAAAGAAAAGAAAAAGAAAAAGAAAAGAAGAGAAAGAAATAAGACGATCGACATACCGTTCTCAGACAACTCCTTGCCGACCGAGAAGCGGCGGTTGGAGGGGCGCAGGATGCTCAAGCGGCGGCCGGAGAAAGACATGCTGGGCTGCTTTTGCCAAGTCGCAAATTCTGGGGAAGAAAGCAATCTAGTGTATGCAAGCTATCGGAGTTCCCTGGACCAAAGGGTAAGAAAGTATTTAAGAATTGGGGTTAACTTAAGAACCGTACGAATAGAACAAGAAAAGATTAGGCAAAGTAGCGCAAAGATAGAACTTTCTCTCCAAAGAACAGGAGTTGGAGAAAGAGAAGCAAGAGGGGAGAGAGAAAGGATATATCAATGAATAAATAAGAATGAAGACGAAGTCAGACAGGGAAGGAAAAAGGAAACAGAAAAAAGGCGGCCAGAGAAGAAGGTACAGTGGTTAATTTTTCTCTTGTAAGGCGTTAAGGATGGCTCCTCCAACTGATTGCTTGCTGTTGGAACTTGCTTTCTCCAACTTTTCCTTTCCGCCCAATCTACGGATATCGCCTTCGACCCAGACCCAGACCCAGACTCAAGACTTCAACCAGGTACATCCATCAATCGATTGCCATTCTCCTTTTCCTACTCCTGTCATCTGCGACAAATAAATGCCTACTAGTTTCAGCCCGCAGGCACCAGTCAACTGGGACCAAATTAGGAGCAGAAATAATCGCGCAACTGCCGCCCGGCCAGGGAAAGAAAAGCATCCTTACACAGTAAAATGCCTCACTAACTGACTAGTTTAGAGGTCGAGGGTCAACTGCCACCGCATACGTGACGAATCGTCGAAGCCAGAATCGATAGTGACCCAACCGTCGTCCAGACCGCAACCATTTTCCCGTGGCTCAGTCCCGATCGACGGGCTCCAGTGGACTCTCTTTCGGCTGGGATCCGACACCGGCTCCAATGAATCAAATCATCTGCCATACCCTTCCGAGACGATGCAAAGTACTCTCCATACGTAGAATCGATTTCCGGCCCCAGCAGCAAAAGACGAGTGGCGGTGGCTGCTGCTCCTCCTCCTCCTCCCCCTTATCCCCTATCGATCTGTCTATCTATCTTTGGTATACAATCGGATAGACGGCATCTCAGAGGTGCGACCTGTCTGATGACAGGGACTAACTGACGGACACCCACACCCCCCTTTCAGCCCTTTCAGGCCCCGTTGGTTTGGACCGTGGAGTGCCCGAAGTTCCACTTCTCGGTACTGATGGATCCGTGGAATTATGGCGCCCGCCAGGTACTGACTGACCTATCTCCTATCTACTTCTACTCCTTTCAGTTTTATTTTTGGAGCAATTATCTTCGGCAATTGTTCACGCTCTATATCTGCACCCAGTACCAAGGAAATCTAAGGTCGTAATACTATCATTGACAGGGCCAGCAGGGAAGCCAGCAAGAAAAAGTAGAAAGCAACAAATCAAGACACAACAGATGAGGTACCGCAACATCAAAGTCCATCCCAAGGCCAAATATGCAGGAACACTATACAGCTCGTCTCTTATGACCGACATCCGTCCTGCGCAAATAGTAAAAAGAAGAGAAGGGAAAAAAATGAAAAATGAAAAACCAACAGCGGTATACATACATCATGCAGTCATGGTAGATCAGATCAAATGGAGAGTCATCAACATTTCCCAGAGCAGAGAGCCGCCTCTCCCAAATCCCAACAGGGTGTCCGAAGCAAACTCACAAAACCGGCTCCTTGCCAGGGACCATCAAGAATCTCAAGCGCCCCGGCCGTTAATCTTTTTTTATTTTGCCTCTCCCTTAACCCATGCGAATAGAATCAATAGCCTCTCCAACGCTCTCCAGCCAATCCAGTTGGATGTGAGTCGTCGAGCGAACCAAGGAGACAACGCCGGTGACAATGTCTCGTCTCTAGCCAACTCACACAGAATGAGATGCGGAGAGAAAATCAAATGTAGCGATGGTCGGAGAACCAAGGACGAAAGGTAACAATAGAAAACAAAATAAGGTAGAGAGAGAGAGAGAATAAGCAGAAAATAATCTTCAGTACTGGAACATATGCCATTGCCCCAGCTCTATCGTATCTAAGTCTCCACTGCCTGACAGTAGAGTTGAATCTCTCCTACTTGACCCCTAGCGAGCATGTCACGCTGTTGTTCGCGCCACTCCATGAAGGCCAGTTGAACGGCCTCGTCGCTATCAATCGTAACGAAATCTCCGTCTTCGTCCCGGTATCGTAGCCTGACCGACTTGCTGCCAATTGAGCGGTTGGTGAATCGGGCCAGCTTGGCGTCCACACGATCGATGAGGGAGCGGAACATAATGTTGCTGGCAATGACCAGCGTGACGTAGTTATCATCGAAATTCACCTTGACCTTTAGTTGAGTCGGCATGAGGGGCTCCTCATCCGGCTCGTGGCTCAGTGGAGACGTGGGCTGATCGGTGGCCGATGTGCTAGGACGGTAGTCGGAGTATTGGGGCTCGTGGAAATGCGTTTGCGGGACATGCCGGGGATCGGAATGTTGCTGAGAGTTGGAAAGGTGGTTTGCGTTGCGAATGGGGAGGCTGGCATTGGTGGGGGAATTGTTCTGGCTGCGGTTGGGAGGCGCCATCATGCTGGATATATGAGCGGGGATTGGCGGGACGGGCACATTGTCGACGGTCTGCATCGTATGGGCGCCCATGTAACGACGCATTTCCGGGTTGTGGTTGTGGATATCGGGGCTACTTGCAGATCGCATTCGCTGGGCCATGCCATTTGCCGCCTGAGCCCCTGACATCGGAGGGAGTGAGGGTCGTTGAGTACTTCGTCCATTCGGAGCACCGCTGAAATAAGGATTTGAATTAGGCCCATCTCTTGACGTCGCACGGGACAAAGCCGGGGCTGTATACCGAGCATTTTCTTCATTCCAATTAGCCGTAGGTGTCACTTGACGACCATGGAAATATCCAGTAGACTGGGAGCTGGACCGCGTAGACGGAGTTTCGGCGACGGGGGAGAAGTAAGACGGAGCATTCCTCTCTGCTGGCGACATACTGCCTCCAGAAAGATGAGTGTGCAATGACAGATTCGGATCGGGTACAGGTATGCGAGGGCGACCGGAGCTACCGCTTCCTCCTGTTGCTGAACGGGTTCTGAGGCTGGTGCTGGAGGCGTTACGGCTCATCGGGAATTCCGAGAAGAAGCCAGCTTCCTGCGTGGCTGCTTGTTCTTCGGCATCGTACTCCTGCTGATACGGGTTTGGCATGTTGGCCATGGATCTCATGTACGTAAATTCGGTCTCGGAGGTGCCGGTGTTGCGAGCGCTGCGCTGCTCTGCCTGAATCGCCCGCTGTGCCTCGATGTCCCTGCTCCATTTGCGCATAATGTCCTCGTTCGAATAGCGGATGATGAAATTGTCCACGACTCCTGGATCACCCTTCCAGAAGATCTGAATGCGATAAGAGCCTGTCACAGAATCATTTAGTCAAAGTAGCCCCGTGAATGGATGACCAAAGGTTCTCGTACCTGGCTTGGGAAGGCAAAGCACATCTGTCACGTTCGCCATGTAGATGCGGCCTTTGAGCTGAAGTCGCGGCCTGCCTTTAATCGTCGCAGCGGGCTTGTCTTTGCCTAAATTCAGTTTCGACTTTTGCTTGTTGGGGTTAATATCCTTGCAGCAGAGGAGAATCCGTTCGAAGAGATAGATATGATACTGCCAGAAGTTAGCTGGCTACGCTTAACAGAGCCAGAGAAAGGCTACAAACCTCTCTCTCCGAGTCTTTGCCATTGTCACCCTTGATTACCGAGAAGGTGCCAAAACGGAGAAGGTCGCCAAATGCTTCAATCTTCAAGGCCTTCCAGTCATCAACTCGTTCATCGAGGTCTTTGACGGCTGACTGCAGGTGCTCTTTGTCAATGGCATCGTTTGCCGAGTCTAAAACGGTCTGGATAGCGTCGATGGCTCGTTGGATATCAGTCCGGAGGTCCGGGTTTTCTGTCTGCTTTAACAGTTCCTGCGTGACAGTCAGTAACGTGACTGAATGGTCATGTTCTAAGACGAGGGGACTCTTACTCCTAACATCAGGGGGTATTTAGTCAAGCGCTGGAAAGGCTTGACAAAGAAACCGTTCAGGGTTGCGGGTTGCGCCACCATCTGGAGCAGGTCCTTCGAACGCGGAGCCATGTGGATCTTGTCCCAATCTCTGAGACAGATCTCATCACAGCGCATCTGGTTGGCGATAAAGGGCTCGTATTGCCGGAAGGCCTCCTCGTGCTGGATAAACAGCTCACCCCAGTTTTGTTTCTCTTCGGGCAGCGCATAGTGCTGTTCGATACGGATCAAGAACCGCTGAGCAAAATCAAGCAGATTGTTGAGATTCAAGAAAATCTGATGGCTAGCATCACCATTCACGGCACTTGTCTCTTCTAGTTCCTTTTTCAGGGCCTGTAGGTTCTGGAGATGATGAACATAGTCGCGCTCCGTTTCCAGTAACTCCTTGAGAATGTGTTCCCGTTTGGTGAGCTTGACGGCACCTTTCGCCGGGGCCCCTGCTCCAATATCCGACGGTCGCTTCAGCTGTCCCTGCATCTCCAGGATGTCCAGAACCCGGTTAACCATCTTAATCACTTTGGTGAAGCCAGTGGTGTTTTCGCCGTAAAGGTCCGTGATAAGGAAGCAGTCTTGCTGAGGGAATCCCAGCTCCTTCAGAGACGCATGGAGGAATTTGAAGGTGGCGGCTTTCGGGCGTTTGGCCTCGGCAACTTTCGTTGTATCGATCTCCAGGAACTCTTCGGGGTCGGAGGCATTGTAGATAGTCAGTAAGGGATAGCCCGTCCGGAGACAATTCCACAGCGACGCCACCGGGTCGGTGTTCCCCTGAGCCAAATCGGCTTCCTCCATCTCTCGCATATGGGGCTCGAAGTTCGGTACTTCGGCCAGGCGCTTTTTGAGGTTGACGCAGCTCTGATAGATCGATTCGCCGCCGCGGCGGTTGATGATGTTGTCCTCGGCGATAGGACCGCCATTCATGGTGATGGTCTCAGCCATCTTGACGGGAGTGGTGGCCGACTCGGACCGTAAGGAGTGGAGGCCGGCGACAATGTGGGGGAGGAGCGAAGGACTTCAAATCTGCGCAGCAGACCGACGGAGGAAGGAAGAGGAAGGAAATGACAGGCGTGCTTGCACGAGGATCAAGTCGAGCATGGGTCACTGGATGCGAGCCGGTGGACCGATGCGGGATGGATGGGACAAGCGAGCAGCTAAGGAACCTTAGGAGTGGAGATGGTGGTACGTTAACTATTAGTTAACTCTCCCTAAAAAGCTGAGTCAAACCGCGAGCTGTTGTTCCGTGTCTCGACCCTCGTCGCCAGAAGTTGATCCAAAGCGTTGGATTTAAAATAAAATACACCCTGGGTCGACGAGTTCACGCGACGACTGGATGTTGGTTTTTGTAATTCGGGGAAGCTCTGCGCTTATAATAGAAAATTAGTATGGCCTTGGCCAGGGACAAATCTCCGGCCCTTGCTGGCGACAGCGCCCTTCCTGATCAAAAGATGGCGAACCCGAAACCCAAGAAGGATCGAGAAAAATAGAAATGCTGGGTGTGGGGTTTGATTTGCCGCTGCAGCCAGGCAAGCGCAGGCACGTAGTAAGCAGGAACCAGAGAATGAGCAGCAGTAAGAGCAGCAGTAAGCAGCGAGGTTCCAGAGAGGCGGATTTTGCCCCTCAACCGAGAACAGCTGAAAGGTGGAAATCAGATAGATTGGGAACGGGAAAGGATCCCTGGAGCGGTACCGCCGGGAACCGTAGGTGAAGGTCAATTTAAATGGAAAAAAACTAATAAAAATAGCTATGATACGAAAATAAGGGTGGAAAACAAACCCGGAAGGAGAGAAAGAAACAAGAGAGGGAGGAGGAGGGGAGGGGATGGATGGAGGGGGAGGTGGTCAATGGGGAAGAAAGGAGGGAAAATGTGAGAAACCAAAGGATAGACACAAGCAGAGGGACAAGAGATGGAAACACCGGAATGGGGAAGGGTAAAGAAAGAGAGTCCAGGCCAGTCAAATGGTCCAGTTTGCCCGACTGAGTGGTAGCGCGCGTCAGCTCCAGTCGACAAGTGAAGAAGTGACAAAACTTCCCGACAACTACTCTGTACTAACTGCTTGGAACTAGTCAGTCGGAAGGAAGGACTGACTGACCAGGACGGGATGATTAAAGGGGGGTGGAAGAGAGAGAGAGGGGGGGAGGGGAGAGAAAGGTGGTGTTCGGGTGAGTGGGTTTTGGAGTGGAGAGAGGAGACCGCAGTAGATACTACTAGTCAGTATCGAGTGGAGGGGGGAAGGGAGAAGAGTGGAGGGAGAGAGAGAGAGAGAGAGAAGGAGAAGGACAAGAAGGAGGCGGCAACATACCAAGAGGAGAAGCTGATGAAGAATCAGATAGTAAAGTAGATAGCCGATCGTGAAAGGTGGGAAAGGCAAGTATGAGAGTCGCGCAATTTCATACAAAGTATATACTAATAATAATAATAATGGGAGAGTCCGGGCAACGGAGACAGGAATGAGGAGCACCAAACAACAACAACAACAACAACAAATTCAAAGAAGTTACGAAGTAGAATCTGGAATCTTCAAGAGCCACTTAGCTCACTTGGGGGGAATTGATGGTCAAGTCATATTTGACCGACTTTAGAAGCGAAAGATTTGAATTTCAACAAGTAATTCAAATTCAGGCCGGAATTGGCAAAAAAGCTGGGGTTGGCCCCGGTAAGGATTCGAGAAGACCGAAGCAGATTGGAGGTGGCATCGGCTGCATGAAGACTCCTCTCACACCAACTGTTTGAGATTTGAACTAGTCCCGAGGCACGCTTAAATTGCTGCCCCATAGTTGGTAGTCAGTGACTATCTACACACAGCATTACACAGTCCACCTGTTGTAGCCATACACCTGGAACTAAGACTAATCTACTGTGCCTAGAAGATACCATACTACCACACTGATTCGTCTTCAACAACATCATCATCATCATCATCATCTTCTTCTTCTTCTTCTTGCCAAAGTCGTATCAGCATCGACACTCGCACATTTTTCCCTATTTCATGTATCCTCAATCACTACTAGTGCTTTCCCAGGGGTTAGGGTGTCCGACCTGCATACAATCCCAGACAGGAGGAGAGCATCATATACCACCTGGCAGGTACCAACACCCGCGACACCATGTCTCTAACTATTCCCAAGTAGATGGTTGTTCCTCTTTAGTCGCGATATCGACCCCATCGGAGCCCTGGGCACGGCGCCTTCATTGGTCGGGGAAGTGACAGAAGTGGGTGTCCGCCAGTTTCAGGGCTGTGGTGGTGGACGATGATGGAATGATCCAAGCCACCGACGAGCTGGATCCTTATGACAAAAATCTAGTACTTCGAGTTTTAGCATGTAATTGTTATTTCCCACGATGATGACAATTACGGAGGTTTGGGGGGTGATGATCCCAAGTTGCAGGATACATTTCACTAGCTCGTAGGATGTTGGAGAGGACCGGCTGGGAGGTACCTTGCCGCCCCCTCCTGCATCGGAATTAAAGGTACTGGTTCCCGCCAACTCGGTCAGGCACAGGGTGTAAGTTACATCCTGCTCTCCCCTTGCCTAGGAGTGACAGCCTCTATCCCGGTGGTTGGGTCAGTGGGATGTGCATAATTCGTACTTTGATAAATCTCTCTCTTTTGGATACAGCAAAAGTAAATGAACACCCCTTCTTGCCCCGGTTGATCGTTATCGCTTTGTAGGACAGGGTGAGCTGCCCGAGTCAAGTGTTTGCCCCACCCAAGGTGCTCGCGCCATCAAGACTTATCATCCTGGTTGATTCTGTGCTCTTATTTTCTGTTTCTTTTCGGTTCGATAGCTGTTTCAGCAGCCACTGCACATTGTGACTATGGGACTGGAGGTCTAACTGGCATTACTTCATCAGCATGAAGGTGGGTCTTAATACTAAGTCGTATACTATATATTATCTCGCATATCGTCCAAACGATGTTTAGGTGTAAAGAGAGTAAGGACGAATTTCTTGAGCATGGCCGAAAGTCAAAGAAATCGATCATCGCATGCAGACACGGTATCTTCACTAGGACAAAGCAATATCCTGTTCAAGAATCTCTAGGTTAGTTGGAGCATAAAAGCGATGTGACTGACTCATTATAAAGATGTGCTACCTAACTAAATATCTAGTATGACCAACCGTTAGAAGAGACTGCTTTCCGCCTGGAATATCAAACATTCAATTAAAGCTTGAATGCAAAAGAACAAACTGGTATTTTAGAAGAGCAGGGGCATAATTTCAACGAGTGCGCCTAGTAGTTGTGGCTAGTAAAGAGAGACCGTAGTAGCCTTATGACAAGATTAGTGCTAGCTAAACCGCTTAGTAGTATATAATCAACATAGTACGCAACAGTATACAGTCTAGTAGTAGACTGTCAATCATGACCGTGTGAATTATCATAGATCTCAACCCACAGCAGCATCGGAGATAAAGCAGACGGGCCCAACAAGGTTACTGAGTTGTCTTTATGAGAGCATGTGGACAGGAACGGTTCGATCAACTGCTTGGATGGTAGAGGGTTTCATAATGGCTGGAGGTACAGACTGCGACGAAGAGCTACTAAGTAGAAAGGACTGTGGATCGCCTAAGAGCAAGCCAGGATGATTGCTAATGCAACATATATATAGATTTGTTACCTTCTCTCAAATAGTACCTGGTATATGAGCTGCCCACCTTTCTGAACTAGAAGTGGTGGTGCCGATGTTGGGCCGGAAGATACGATGAGGGGAGATTCTCGAGAGTTTAGACATCTGACCTATTCGGCATCAGACTTATGACCCATAAATTGCCGTTATGAAGAAGTTCACAATAGCTTAGGTAAACAGAGATCAAAAGCTGAGATTATCATGAACTATGCTCTGATAGTATGGATGGAGGTGTAACTGCTGGGAGAAGTGAGAGTTCTCCCCGGTCAGGTAAACAATACCCGTCACGCCATGATTGCTTTGTGTATTATTGATGCTCCACTCTCCGCGGTGTCAGTTACTCCCTCCAAAACGTCACTTCACCAGCTTCCCACCCCAACCACTCTGCCTCATCCATCAACCCGCCATGCCTTGCTAGTTTTCCATTTTTTCTTCTTCTCGGCCTTAATTCAATCTGGTCGCTATTGTCCTTCTTTATGTGGTTGTGCCAATAGCCATCTCTGTCTAACCCCATAGAAGGAAAGGGTGGTGTCCAGCTCACCTCTTTGCTTCTCACTGTCCTAGGAGCCCTAGCCACCACAAGCCTTGCTTCCTTGCCGGAGCACCTAGGCCCATCCTATCCTTGTCGCCCTTTTGTCTGAACGGAAAGGCCTCAAGGAGGCTAGAGAAACTGAGCTAGGCAAATTTCCCAGCGAACCCATGGCGAGGGACACCGCGCAAACTCCGATCATCCCTCGTCCCCGGCTGCTTCAGGGCGCCGCCAGTTATCCCTCCGATCTCACCGCCCCCTCGCTGTCTGCGCCCTTCAAGCTCGACGAGGGTTATTCCGATGAAACGAGAAGCCAGCCCGACAAGGAGTTTTTGAATTCGCCCCCCGATGATGTGATGCCGCTCCCCGACTGGGTTAATGCTTATAGTGAGGCCGAGCGAGCCGGTGAGTTCAGCCCCCCTTCCTTTGGTCCCGTCCGGCGCAAGGCTCCTCTTCTGTTTGGCTTCTTTAGCGCGATCATCATCGTACTGACAGGCTGTGGTGTTTCATGTAGAGCTCGCCTACAAGCTTCTACGCACCTTGCGTGCTTCCACTGTCGCCTCGGTGGTTGAAAAGCTAGCGCCTCTATTGCACATGGATCCCGTGCTGAAGTTACCTCCGGAGATCACCGCCGAGATCTTTTCCTACCTCGACCCTCAAACGTTGGTAACAGCTTCCTTGGCATCTCGCTCCTGGCGTAGTCGCATTTTTGACACCCGCCTTTGGAGAGACTTATATATCAGCGAAGGCTGGCGGGTCGACATTGACGCCGTGCATACGTACGAACAGGAACACTCGGGATTGGAATCCCCCCAGCTCCGAAAATCTCGGTTGAGGCATATAGACCCGGATCTCGGTGAACCGAAACAGAAGAAGCGCGTACCCCCCAGCTGGCTAGACTCTCGCGCAGCAGGATCACTGGATAACAATGAGGCCGTGCAAGGAAATGGGCTGCAGCCCTCCGCAGCGGCGGATATTGAAGGCGATCATCCCATGAGTGATGCGTCAAACGATCGAGGACTGGCGAACGCAGCTGGGCAACAATCATCTAGCGCCCGCCATGAGTCGTCAGGAACTGCCCAATCGAAGTCACATTTGCAGCAAATTTCTACGAACTCTAGCCCCCCCAAGTCGCCACTATTAATTCGAATGCCCAATGGTGCTGCAAAGATGAATTGGCCGCATCTGTATCGGGTACGGAGGCGGCTGGAAGAGAACTGGACCAAGGGCCGTTTCACGAACTTTCAACTGCCCCATCCGAATCACATGGAAGAATCTCACCAAGAGTGTGTATATGCGATCCAGTTTACCGAGAAATGGTTGGTCAGTGGTAGTCGGGATAAGACTGTTCGAGTATGGGACCTGGACACGAAGCGACTATGGCATCCGCCTCTCCAAGGCCACTCAAAGTCGGTTCTCTGTCTTCAGTTCGACCCCCGCCCATCTGAAGATATCATTGTGTCGGGAAGCAGCGACAAGAATGTGATAATTTGGCGCTTTTCCACTGGAGAGAAGCTTCACGAAATTGCGCCAGCTCATGATGACTCTGTCCTGAATCTCCGATTCGACGAACGCTATATAGTAACTTGCTCCAAGGACAAGCTTATCAAGGTCTGGAACAGGCGTCATCTCACTCCGTTGGACAAGGACTACCCCTCTGTTTTTCAGGGCTCGGGCGTCTCCTATCCGTCGTATATTGTCAACACAAGCGACGTCCCCGCTTTCGTACTTGAAGCCGAAATCGCCAAGAATCACATCAGAACTTTAGCCCCATACTCATTGCTGATGATCCTTGACGGACATACAGCCGCAGTGAATGCTATTCAGCTCAACGAGGATGAGATCGTGTCCGCCTCGGGCGATCGCTTGATCAAGGTCTGGAACCTGCGCAACGGCGCTTGTAGAAAGACAATGATAGGCCACGAAAAAGGCATTGCGTGCGTGCAGTTCGACAGCAAACGTATAATCAGCGGAAGCAACGATGATACAGTTCGCATTTTCGACCACGCCTCCGGTGCCGAAGTGGCCTGCCTGCACGGACATGCCAACCTCGTTCGAACAGTTCAAGCTGGTTTCGGAGACCCACCGGGAGCCGAGGAGGCCTTACGACTGGAAGCTCTGGCTGTCGACAACGAGTTCCGTGACGCCCAGCGCACCAATGCAAACGTTGATCTTGGCCCTAGTGCCCTTCGGCGCGCAGGATATCAGCAGAACACCAACGGGTCTCGGAACCCCAGAGACATCAAAGCACTGGGCGCCAAAATCCCTCCAGGGGGAGGCGGAAGCCAATGGGGACGAATCGTCTCCGGCTCATACGACGAGACCATCATCATCTGGAAAAAGGATAATGAAGGCCGCTGGGTTGTAGGCCAGAGACTCCGACAGGCAGACGCCGCTGCGAATGCCTCATACAGCCACTTAGATTCCGCTGCACGCCAGACAATCGCACGAGCCAACGCCTTTGCTCAAGCGCACCAGGCGCAACAAGCCCAAGCTACCATGGCAGCCGCCGCGATATCAGCAGGCGGTGGAGCACCACAGCAAGGCCAGAACCAGCAGCATCAAACACAACCACCACGATTGCCTACAACCAACTCCAACACCCACGACCTCTCATCACATAATGCACCCTGGCCCGCGCACCTAGCCTTGAACCCGGCCCTCCTCATCTCCAACAACCTTCCCCCCACCGTCCAGCAAAACACATCTCAAGCTCAAGCTCAAGCTCCAGCTCCCCCGCCCATCATGCATGCCGGCGCTCCAATGAGACCACCACCACTACCACCGCATGCTCAGCAACAACAACACCCCCGAGTGAGAGCCTTCCCTGCCGCCCCCCATCAACCACCTACCTCGAGGATCTTCAAGCTCCAATTCGACGCGCACAAGATAATCTGCGCAAGCCAGGACCCGAGAATAGTAGGGTGGGATTTTACTGCTGATGATGAGGAACTCAAAGAAGCGTGTCAGTTCTTTACGGGGCTGTGACCGTCGTATATAACTATCGTCAACGTTGGGGAAAGATGATGTGGTATAATATTCGGTCTAAGTTATATTCAGTCCTATGTGGCTCATGAAGATATTCTTTTCGTTTTCTTCTTATCATTTCATTTTCCAAAATATCTCCTTTTCATTTCTCTTGTGCATTAGGAGCCTGTTCTATGTTTCTTTTTGTCTCTTTTCTTTTATCATTGCCCCATGGGTGATCTGTCTATATTGCATGAGAATCATCTCGTTTATTCGCCTCTTCTTGTGGAGAATTTATCTATGTGTGTGGGTAGGCCTTGACAGGCCTTGTTGTGTTCTGTTCATATCTCTTATCTTTAGAGCATTTCGGCATCGGAGCGATGGAGTCGGTTGGTTCATGTCAGCAGAGACGAAATGACTACAGCTTGTTGTTCGCTTATGACATTGATAATGACTTTGCCAATGATGAAGACTTGAAGTATGCAGTCACATTTCTACAGGCTAGCGCTAGTAATTCGAACAATTGAGACAAGACCCCTGGATGGATGCGCGCCTTGCATATGTGCCATTCGATGAGCGTTGGAAAACGGAGAAAGGTTCAAATGTATCTGGCGCATCCCACTCCAATAAATGAGCTAATGAAAGAACAGTCGTCACAAGTATGCAGGTTATGGTCCAAGCAATCATTGGTATATGAATCAGGCCGACATCGGGCTTGTGGCTGGAGAGCTGCGAAAAGGAAACGTTTGGAGCGACCTCCAAGCTCCAGAGAACCACTTTTGTAGGCTCTGTGCGTGATCTCGAGGGGCATTGGGGTGCGAGTGTTCAGCTGCATTAGATGAAAGGTGGCTCCTCGCGGTGGCGTATGTGTCATTGGAAGTCGTGTTGGAGTGAATGGCGGCGTTTTGCTCATCACGAGCCCCCATGCAGCAGGACAACCAAAAACTGACGCCACGCAGCGATCGTAGCCAAGGACCCGAGTTAATGTTGGTGGACTCACTTTCTTCCTGTGCCGTAAAGACGGGTGGTGACTCCGTGGGCGCAAGGTAGCATGCCGCAGAATCTCCCACGATCTCAGTGCCTTGGGCATCGAGGCTTCCCATGTGCCTGGGTATGCCAGGCATTTGCGAACGAGAAGCACAGGTGTAAAATGAGTCAACCCTACATGTAGGAAGAGAACCATTTGCCGAGGCCGGCCGTTGAGAAGGGTTTGCGAGAACTGGGTGAGGCAACGGTAATAAGCTATTTAGGCCTATCTGCGGGCGATGTCTCTGCATGCGACTGCCTGTGCCTGTGTTTACAGAATCAATGCTGTCGGCCTGATCTTGTTTCGTGTCTGGGAGCCCTCTGTTGATTTGTCCGTCTTGTGTAGCACTGCTATCAATCTCTAAACCATCTTCGCAAGTAGCTGAAATGGCAGTTCGGTGAAATGGATGGTCTTCCAATCGCCTAGCCAAATTCATCCCATGACCACTCTGTCTATAAGGGAAGCGGCCTTGAACCGCAGTACCATCTTCGGCTCTTGCCACGGTATATGTCTGTCGCCTAGGCTGTGGCGGGGGAGACGATGAGAAGCTGAGTAGCCGCCGTAGCATCCCCCCGTAGGATGCAGTTCTAGAGCCATCAGCAACACGCCTGCCCGCACGCCTAGGCGGGCTTGTACTGGACTGCTGCGCTCGCCCACTGGTGGTAGCAGAGCGGACGGGGAACTGAGCAGTATAGTAGACAGCTTCTCGAGTCCCGAATGAAGGAAGCCCAGGGGGCGTGGGCGCTCTTACTGGTGGAGGATAAGTGGGAAGTGCAGGGCTGACCGGCGAGTCAAGACTACCGGGCCACTTGAACGTTCTCGAAGTATCATCTGCATCGTTGAGACTAACTGCCTTCCTAAGGTGCAACGCGTCGAGCAGGTTCTGCTTCAACGATTCGTCTGGAGGTGAGGCTACAACCGCCTTCCCTTCATCTGTAGATAGCACACGGTTGTCCAAGGATAACTGAGGATGCCAACCAGGGGGTTGAGTGGTTTGTTCTGGGCAGTATTTTGGCTCACGGTTCGCCCGCTGGGAAGGGACCATTGCTTCTGGCGCAAGGGGCACAAACATGGCCATATTGGCAACTATCCTGCTATCCAAGTTGCCACGAGATTGACATGCTGAGCCAAACTTCGAGCCGAGGTCTTCAGTGCCAGAGTCTGTCCTTAGGGCGTTGAAGATGGAGCTCTCCTCGCTCATCACAGATTCTGACAAGGTCGCTTTGCCTAGTGGTGTAGCTTCTCCCAAAGGTTCCACCTCCGTTGCCGAGAGTTCATCTTCGTCGGACGAGCCATGTTGAGCGACTGGGGCGTTCTGACACTGCGTATCCATGATTTCCATACAAGCGGGTTGCTTTGTGTATTAGGCTCGCATCGACAGGAAAGGGATATGAGGTTGAACTAGAGAACATGCCACAAGGACTCGAGAGTCCTTGGAAAGAGTATCTGTCCATTGCACCTTCCCTAGATTGTGCAGTCCTGGAGGAAAGTGCACAGCAGAATGGAGAAGGCATGATCTTGTGTATAGTACCTAGACGATCATGGGAGAAGCTTGACCGATTGAGTGACAGAATCAAAAGCATGTGGTGCCACTGATGGGGCGCAGATGTTTGGAAGATTCTCCGAGAGAGGAATGTGATGAAGCTGAGGTGAAAAGGGAAAACGGGGATGGATAGGATTGTCGCCTCTGCTCCCCCAGTTTGTCCTCACCTCAACTCACGTCAACTTCCTGGAATTGCTTCTCTACAAAGTTGCATCCATATTGAGCCATTGTCATGACAGTCGATGGACGAAACCACTGTACTGGCTGTGGGAACGTGCGTGAGCGATGAGATTAGAAGATTATGATTAGATCCGAGCGCCAACCCCGGAATTGGAGTGAAACATCAACGGGGCTGCTCCACTCCAGCTCAATCCTACGAACCACTTGGGGATCTTATGCGGTCGGATATCAAAACTACCCACTAGCTTGGTAATAGATGATCATGATCTGTCAGTGCAGAGGGACTATACCAACGCAAAATATAGCCTGTTGTCCCTATTCTCCTCTCACTTCTGGGATGGCTTGGTTGATCTGATATCGGGCGGAGGTGCGACTTCTTCCCCCACCGCATGTGTCGATTTGGTCGCGTTGACTATGGTTGTTGCAATGGGAAGTTTGGCTAAAGCAAGATTCATCTCGCAGTTGACAAATGAAGAATGTGCAATATCACGCAGCTCTCCGGCAATGCATTCACTTCAGCTGCCAACAATGACACCCCCTGACCAAGGTTGGGGTTCAGCCGAGGTCGGATCGTCGAGACCAGAACACGATGAAACCGGCCATCATGAGACAATTCGACCTCCTTCCCAAAAATGAAGGAGCAGTGCAACCCAACCTCGGACCGCTTCACAAATCGTCTTATCTATGGACGCCATCGTGTCTCGGCAAGAGGCTAGGATAATACTAAAGCCACGGCGCGATCCGTTCGTTGGTTGCGGTGAAATTGATTTAATTACCTTTCCCCTCATTTAATGCTCCGCTCCTCGCCAGCTGGTCACGCAACCCACCGGCTGCTTGTTGTCTCTCATGGACTCCAGAGCACCCCAGGATTCAGCAGGCATGCATCATGGCTCTGCCACTGCAGCGCCAGCAGAGCTGCCTCCGTCGGGCCCTGTCTACAAGGTCTACAAGCGGCGGTTCTGGGGATTGGCCCAGTTGGTGCTGTTGAACATTGTCGTTAGTTGGGATGTAGGTTTCCTCTCTGCCGCCTCTAAGAATGTGCACTCTTCTGATACCAGCCATCGTCTAGTGGTTAACATTTTCCTCGATATCGACTACTGCGGCTGAGCATTTCCGCGTTTCTGAGAGCGCCATCAATTGGATGAGCACTGGTTACCTCTTCGCTTTTTGTGTTGCCAGCCCGTGAGTTTAGCCCTGAATATTTCCAACTGTCTGCGGTGCTTGGAAGCGACTGGAATTCACGCTCATTCTTGCTCTCAGCGTAGTGATCTTCACTCTCAATAAAGGTGGCCCTAAGCCCGCCATCATCACCACCTCAACCCTCCTCCTCGTCGGCAACTGGATTCGATATGCAGGAACCAAAGCGAAAGGAGGCATCTTCGGTGTTGCCATGTTCGGACAGATCCTCATCGGACTGGCGCAGCCATTCTGTTTGAGCGCTCCAACGCGATACAGCGACCTCTGGTTCTCTGACCAGGGCCGGACCAGCGCAACGGCCGTAGCCACCCTTGCCAATCCGTTGGGTGCAGCATTGGGAGAGCTGATCGACTCTTTCTGGGCGACCAAGCCAAGCGAAGTCCCGAACATGGTTCTGTATATCTCTGTCATCGTAAGCCTTCCTTAGATCCCTCCACACATAGATAGACTAAGCCAAGCCGGCCACAACCTGTCCCACTCACCAACTAACAACCCAAAAGGCAACGATAGCAGCACTCCCTTCATTTTTCATTCCCTCCAAGCCCCCAACGCCTCCAAGCGCTTCTTCTGCGAGCACCAACGCCTCCACACCTCTCCTCCCGGCCATAACCCAACTCCTCAGAACCCTCGAGTTCTACCTGATCCTGATTCCTTTTTCCATATACGTTGGTTTCTTTAACAGCATCTCCTCGCTGCTCAACCAAATCCTCGAACCCTACTCATACACCGAAACCGAAGCCGGCATTGCAGGAGGCCTTCTGATCATTGTTGGGCTCATAGCCTCAGCCATCATCTCTCCCCTCACAGACCGCTATAAGCACTACCTCGCCACCATCCGCACACTTGTCCCTATCGTAGCAATCACCTACATTGCCCTGATATTTGCCCCGCCCAGCTCCGCCGGCATCGCACCATCGTATGTCGTGTGCTCCCTCCTCGGAGCTTCCTCCTTCGCCCTCCTTCCTGTCGTTCTGGAGTACCTGGTCGAAATCACGTATCCCTTCTCCCCGGAGATTGGAAGCACTATCTGCTGGACGGGTGGGCAGTTGCTGGGCGCCATATTCATTCTAGTTCAGGATGCATTGAAGGCCGGAGAGGACGCTAACCCGCCGGCCAATATGCAGAACGCGTTGATTTTCTCTGCTGTCGTGGCGGCTGTCGCGGCGCCGTGGCCGTTGTGTATTGGCTGTTTTGGACGCGATGTAAGGAGACGGAGATTGGATGTTGATCGAGGCGTGGAGCTGGGCCAGGAGGAGGCGGGTGAGGAACAGGGCGATGAGGAACGTAGAGCTGGAGTTGGAGAGGATGACAAAAAAGGATTCTTTGGGTTGAGTGTGGCGTGGAGGAAGAGATCTGGAGATACCTGAAGTCAGTGTGTACAGGAATGTGATACCCGGGGTATTGGAAACCATGTCCATCGAATTTGTCTATAGCAGGACCTCTGTTGTGCCTAACCTGTGATGTGTAAATAAAGATCATATGATGCCCGAGACAAAAAGAAAATACCGAGCAGAGTCTAGGACAAAATGACATTCATCTAAAAACAAAAGGAAATAAAAAATAATAATAAAAGCACAAGTTTCAAACAAGGCAGAGACCAGCTATCTGTACATACACAGTTGAAGGCGACCGCCCCCCTTCTTAACCATTTCCATATTCCATGCCATCCATCTTTCATAGAGATAAAGTAACAACAGCATGCATCATCACCGACTCGCAACCCGTATCGTCGAGGGCGGGCAGCGGCCGAGACAACACTGGATGTTCCTTTCTTTTTTGATCTTCATCAACGGCAGGCCCGCATGGCCATCATTATAAATCAAATCAAGGGGATCGATCGTAATACGCCTTTCTGGTCTTCCTTCGTCGCGGGTGAGGATCCATTCTAGCTTATCATGCTTGGTCGAGCAAAAAGGGAAACGCGACTCGCGGAGTAGGGTGGAGGAAGTAAGGGAAAAAAACGTCTTTATCTATCGATCGATCGAGAGTGATTTGATTCGTTTATTTGAGGGCCTTCCAGAGCTTGGGGGCGGCGCACTGGGTAGCGCAGTGGGTGAGGTGGAAGACTAAGAGGAATGGTGTGTTAGTTTATCGATTTCGTTATCAATTGTATGATTGCGATATCGTGTCGTGTCGAGAATGAAAATGTCATGGTGTGCTGGTGAACTTACACTCCTCAACGCAGTCCTCCTTGGGGCCCTTGTAGTCGGGGTCCTCCTGCTGCTGGGTTACGCGCTCGACGCACTCATCGAAGTGGTGCTTGTAGGGGGCGCACTGGGAAGAGTTGGCGCACTCTGAAAGAAATAATTGATCAGTGAATGTTCGAATTGATGAGTTTGTTTGCCATGGGATGAGTTGTTCAGAGTCAATGGCTCAGAATCGCATGACGTGAGGGTCGGTCAGCGTGCATCCTTCTGACCGACTACCCATCATGTTGTCACATTGTCCGTCTGGAAGGAACTTTCCCCCAAGGAAAGTGCACTGAACAAGTGAGATATGAGACTGGCAGTAAACTTACCCTCCTCAAGCTGGGGCTTGATGTCCTCAGGCTCCTCCTCCTCCTCTTCCTCTTCCTCTTCCTCCTCTTCTTCCTCCTCCTCAGCGGGCTCCTCCTCGGCGGACTCCTCCTCAGCGGGGGTCTCCTCAGCAGACTCCTCGGTGCTCTCCTCAGCGGCAGGAGCGGCCTCCTCCTCGTTGTTCACGGCGGGCTTCTCCTCAGCCTCGGTCTCCTGGCTGGGGGTGGTGGTGGTGGTCTCCTCGGCGGGAGCCTCAGCCTGAGCCTCGGGGAAGCCGAAGGAGGACATAACGTCGGAGAAGAAGTCGGAGAGACCCATCTTGTCTTTGAAAGTGGTTTCAATTGGGAGAAGAGGGCGAGAGGGGGGTGTGGGCGGTGGATGTCGCGGTAATTGAGGATGGGGTTGGTTTTAACGAACTCGAAGCTTTGGCGTTGCTGGTTTCTGCCGGCCCTGGAAAATCGGAACACCCCGGCCGCCGGGCGATGGTCGCAATTATCGTACACGTGATTGGCCGCTCGGGTCGGCCGTGACTAATGCGGTAATATCTCGTTTTCTTACTCTATCAAATTAATTAATTAATTAATGATCGTGCCGTTCCGTTGTTGTTATTCTGAACTATGGGTTTTACTATTTGTGATGCACTGCATTTCAATAATAGAATTTCAAGTAGTATACAGGAGAAATATTAAAAAGGCCGCTTGGGCTTGAAGCTCTCGCTGGAATATGTGTGGAAGGAAATTGGAGACTATCTAGTCATGGAAGAAAGCATGGAAGAACGCACCAGCCCTGGCTTTAATTGCCTAGACGCAGTCTCTCTTCGAATGCATCCACCACACTTTGCTGCTGCACCTCTTCATAATCCGGTGGGGGCTCCATTGGCTCCGAACCCGCCTCTGGCCCTGTGTGATGAGACTGTGAACTCACAGGTTCCTGTGCAGTGCTGTGGACAGCCCCAGATGTGCCACCCGATGGCCCGGTGTACGCAGGTAGCTCGTCGAGATGGATTGCAGACATGTCAACATTTTGGGCACCTCGACTGCTCGCCTGCGTATTCTCGACAGCCTGTTGTAGACGCTCCTTGATTCTTTCAAAATTGTTATGAAAATCGAACGCCCCTCCTTCTTTGAATGTCACCTTGAGCTGCACAGCAGGCAAAGACGCAGGGATGCCTCCTCCAGATACCGGCTGGACCAGAGCAATCCATGCATTGGGCCCAAAGAAGGGTGCAGTGACATGGGCGTCATGGACATTAAGTAATGGTGCGGAAAACGATTGAAACTCTTTCGTTTGTTGCGCGGGAATGTAAACGATCTGACATTCTTATGTTAACGAGAATTTGTCAGATGATAGGGTCCAGAAGCAAGACAGTACCCTCTGATTTGTCAGGTAGACTCGGCCAGCATTGCTTTGCTTGGAAAAGGAATCCTTGCTGGCGGTAGAGCCTAGGGGCTGCAGAGACAGAGTGGTCCGCGGAGGAGAGGCGAACAAATGATGCTCATTGGGTAGTCGAACAAAGCCTTCGGGGCCTTGCAGCATCACCCAGCTGTTATGTTGGGTATTATAATTAGCATGAATTTCTCAGCGAACTACCACCATTTTGGCTTGAAAGAAGTATACATCGCAGGTGTTCTGACTGAGAAGTGCGCATGCAAGGGTGTCATGGGATGATGCAAGAGAGTCAAGGGAGAAGGAAGCTAATCCTTCTGACACAGCATAACAGAGGTAATAAATCAGAGGTGATGAAGTGATGAAGTAAAAAAGATCAATACTAGACGCATGCAGAACAATAATCAAAGTAGCTCAACTGGGCATGGTGGGGAACATCTACATACTTGATCGACATGTTGTCAAAGCCACAATAGAGAACGTGGTCTGTGTGGCTGAGTGCAGACTGCGCCGGGATGCAGGCTAAATATCGTGGAATCCAGATATTATATCGTTCGAGGTTGAGTTACTGGAGGGATGAATTCAAAGTGCAGGATGAAGACAGGATAACATTGGCTGAAACAATCCACCAATGGGTAGTACCAAGGTCCAGTTTCAGGTGAGACGATCCAGGACTGCTTGGCAGAACGGAGATGATGAAGATTCTCCAAGGGTTGGTGAATGTTTTCCGATCGTTGATAGAGAGATACCAGGCAAAAAGATTGGCAGATGTGGTATTCAAGATCACAGTTCGTTGATGGCGAAGCACCCGAAAGTGGCACTGACGGGAAATGAGGCGATAGCTAGTAGCTGCAGCGGACCACTTCCGTAAACGACAAATAAGTTGAGTGTTATCTTTTCTTCTATTTGTGTGGTAATAATATTCGATGAGAAAACAGACCTCCTAGGGGTTTTCAACGATGCCCAGGGATTCCTGAAGGGAAAGCGAGCCAGTGAAGCCCGAAGGCGGGAGACGCAGCAGTCCGCGGGGCGGCCGTCAGGCGGGGAAGCTTTTCCAACTCTCCAACTTCTAACAATCAAGGTGTCTCGGTTCGAACGGCTGGCCAGCTTGGGATTTTCCTCAACATGCCGGACATGCAGTCGCCATCATCTCGGCCCCGAATCTATCAGGGAAGATTGGGAAAACAGGAGAATCCGAATATCCAAATTGCGATCATTATCAGGCCAGATTGGGCTTCCGTCTTCCCGGCCTTATCTTATTCTAACCATGGATGGACTAACTAGGGACTACTGCGCCCGCTACTCGCATACTTCCTGTACCCCCTCGTTCGGAAATCCAATCGTTCTCGCATGCGATATAGTGCCTATATTGCGATTGGATGAATTGCAGAGTGGATGTCAGTCTAGGAATTAGCACCCAACAGGATGATTAAGCTAATAAATATCCCATTTCTGTGGATGGAAGCCCGCATACTCTATCCTCGTGCCGACGTCCACGGACCTCGACTGTCGATGGTTTGCAGCAATATTCAAGCACAATCATGCAGCATTCAGGGATATGGACATGGATTTTTGAATCAAAGTGTTATTAGGGAGCGCGTTTCTGGGCAGATAACACGGACCTCTCGTGCTTTCAGAGGCGGAAGACTATTCGGTGGTTGGACGCATGGGCACTATCGGCACCGTCAGATATAGTTACTACCTGAATATCTACTAGCTAGCTAAATCTTCGGAGATACTGTTTTTTGGATTAAGTAGCTTAACAGTTCTGCACCAACTCTTTGTGTCTTTCCAGGTATAGACCTATGCTTCCAACGTACTTATAAGCCACAACTATTCGCGAACAATCCTATCGGGCAACATAGAATGACTCGACATTCAATGGAAGCCCCATACTAAGTTCGATCATATGGGAGAGCTTGACTGACTCCTTGCATCAAAATGGTAACAGTTAGAGATGAGATTGGGTGACGCTAATGTACAAAGCTAATCTTGTTCTGAGAGATGTCCTCAAACAGACGGTGATAAGGACGAGAGCCACCCATGCCTGCTGCCAAAGTTACTTAGATCTGGCCAGAATCATCGGGATACACTTTCTGTCCTGATATCTGCCAACGTGGCTGTCATGCAAGATCACAAAGCGATGGCGGCTGCTCGGTTTAATCAAAAGCTTGTCAGCTGACAAGGCAAAGTGGCTGCATGTGGCCCAGGAGAATCTTCCCCGCGTGTCGCTGTGAAGTTTCAGCACCGTTTCTCTACAAAGGCTTCTCAGATGACTTTTCTTTCTGACCGTTCGGGAGGTCAGGATGGCCGTTGAGGCAGCAAAAGGCATCCTCAGGCATGGCCGGGCCAGGCTGGGGGGCCTCGAAGGCGCGGTTACGTTGAGCGCTGTTATTGGGTATTTAGTATTTACACGTGGAGAAAACCGTCCGATCAAAGTCACGGCCGACCCACCCCGTCTTCCATCCAGGTTACGTTTCCCCCTTCTGCGCTATTTCCTTTGCCTCTTCGCTCGTTGTCACCGCTTTCTGCGACTTCAATTACCTCTTGGACCATTTTGCGGTGTTCTGTCGCTCCTTGAGGGTCCGCCGAAACCGACGATCCCCGTTACCCCCGGGAGACGATCCAACGCGAATAAAAAAAGAACAGTGTAGCCTGATGAGCACGGCCCTACCGGGCACATCCCCAAGCTTACATTACCCTCACTATACCTCTGGTGGCCGTCATCTCTTTCATATCTGCTCTCCAGTTTGCTAGGGTGCGGCTGCTTGAGCTCACTTGTCAGGATATCGAGATACTGCCTGGTGCATCGCCCCTGCACTACACGGACACCCCCCGTCTTGCATCGTGAAACGTCCTCCGCATCTTTCGCAGCCTTCCACAATTCAGCCCTTTTCGAGTCGGAAAAGCTTGTCATACTTTGAAATATACGCATAATCAGCCAAAATGTCGACATCGATACACTTGTCGAGGTTCCGGAAATGGCTCCTTGCTTCGCCGCCAATCGAGTTTGCCATTGGCCAACTCCGGGACCTCTTGGTTGGAGCAATCCGTCAGGGTCCAGTTCCACAACATATTGCCTTTGTCATGGATGGTAACCGGAGATTTGCCCGAACGCACGGGATTGAAACCGTAGAAGGACACAACATGGGGTTTGAGGCTTTGGCAAGGGTGAGTCCGATGGAGTTCGGTTCATGGATAACTTTTGCCTTCCGCCAATATCAGCTGCTGACTTATACCGATGATTTAGATTCTCGAAGTCTGTTACAAGAGTGGCGTCAAAGTGGTTACAATCTACGCCTTCAGCATCGAAAACTTCAAACGCTCCAAATTCGAGGTGGATGCATTGATGGAGATGGCCAGGGTGAAGTTGTCGCAGATGGCTCAGCACGGTGAGATTCTGGATCGCTACGGGGCCAAGGTGCGGATATTGGGTCGGCTGGACTTGCTCAGGCCGGATGTTCTTGCTGCAGTGAACCGGGCCGTCGAAATGACCAGTAACAACGGTGACTGCGTATTGAACATCTGTTTCCCGTACACATCGCGCGATGAGATTACCACGGCTGTTCGAGATACCGTGGCTGAGTACAGCCAGCCTCTTCCGTCGACTCGTCCGTCGTCCATCTCCTCGAGGACGCCCTTCTCAGAATCCCACATTACACAAAACATCCGAGCACAGGCGCAGGTTTCGAAAGGAGAAGAGGTACCGAGTGACTCGGAGGCGGCATCAGAGTCATCAGGAGACGGCGAAACGACGAAGCACAAGACACCGAACGGAGTCTATGAAAATGGATCTTCGTTCTCTTCCTCGTCGACTCTCCATCTCGCCGGTCAACAAGATGCTGCCAGTGGGAAAGCCCCAGCAACGGAGCCCGCCGTCGGGAAAGAGAGTCTCGTCTTTATGTCCCCCGAGACGATCACGCGTCAGACGTTGTCAGAACATCTATTCACCCATGACAATCCCCCTTTAGATCTGCTGGTCCGGACATCTGGAGTTGAGCGCTTGAGTGACTTCATGCTTTGGCAATGCCACGAGGATACGGAGATCGTCTTCCTTGATGTCCTGTGGCCGGACTTTGACCTTTGGCAGTTCCTGCCCGTGATGCTGAGATGGCAGCGTCGAATCTCCAAGTCAAAGAAGAACCCGGATGCAGAGGGGAACTTCGACGGCGAAACATCTGACTCTGCGGAGGAAACTAATGGCAAGGTTAAAGATCTGTAGATGGTTGTGTTCCCTTAATTCTTTTCTCTATTGTATACATGGACTGGGTTACCAGTCTGGCATCCATCATTGGGAGTTTTGGAGTCATCCTTGGGTGCATCGACGAATATTCCCCCATTTGTCATCTAGAATTTATGCCAATGAGCTGAAAGGTGAAAAGAAGAGGGTTTCCATGAGCTTATATAGATGCAGGCAGCGCACATAATTATATGGGACAGCATCTCCACCTCGAGGAATCACGGATCATGTAAAATAATCAGATAAAATAGAGTGTCCGCTATCGCAGCCTCCGATACCGCATCCGACCAAGTGGGCAGCCCCACGTGACTCACACTGGCGGGGGAATCGAAGCAACCACTCGCAACACTGACTCAACTCATTTCCTCTCCTGATATTGTTTTCTTCCTATTTTCCCAATTTAATACCCTGATATCTTCTCAATTGTCATCATGCCTGTCGCCGGTTCCAAGGTTCTCCTGTTGGGCTCGGGCTTCGGTATGTCCCCCATCTCTTCTTCCCCCCGGACCCCGCATTGAGGGTCATTGATGGATTCCATTCCACTGACAATGTCTCGATAGTCACGAAGCCCACCGTTGAGGTTCTCAGCAAGGCTGACGTTAACGTCACCGTTGGTATGTGCAGCTCAATTGATTGATTTTCTCCCCTTATCCTATACTATCCGGTTAGCACCCAACATTAGCTGACCATCGTCCACTATACTCCCAACAGCTTGCAGAACCCTCGAGAGTGCTCAGAAGCTCTGCGAGGGCTTCAAGAACACTAAGGCCATCTCCCTTGATGTCACCGATGATGCTGCTCTTGACAAGGCCCTGGAGCAGGTCGATCTCGCCATCTCCCTGATCCCCTACACCTTCCACGCCAATGTCATCAAGTCCGCCATCCGCACCAAGAAGCACGTCGTCACCACCTCCTACGTCTCCCCCGCCATGATGGAGCTGGATGAGGAGTGCAAGAAGGCCGGCATCACCGTCATGAACGAGATCGGTCTGGACCCTGTATGTCTACCTATACTAATCATAATCCTTACTCAATAGTGAACTAACCCAGCTTTCAAATAGGGCATTGACCACCTCTACGCCGTCAAGACCATCTCCGAGGTAAGTCCAAACTTACCCATACCACTGCTACCACTTAACCCATCCCTAACCCACCCCTTAGGTCCACGCCGAAGGCGGCAAGATCACCTCTTTCCTCAGCTACTGCGGTGGCCTCCGTAAGTCAACCAACTCCCCAACCTCATAATCCACACAATCCTAACCCCCCTCAACCAGCCGCCCCCGAATGCTCCAACAACCCTCTGGGCTACAAGTTCAGCTGGTCCAGCCGCGGTGTCCTCCTTGCTCTCCGCAACGCCGCCAAGTTCTACAAGGACGGCCAAGAATTCAGCGTCGCCGGCCCCGACCTGATGGCCACGGCCAAGCCCTACTTCATCTACCCGGGCTTTGCCTTCGTCGCCTACCCCAACCGCGACTCCTGCCCCTACCGGGAGCGCTACAACATCCCCGAAGCCCAGACCGTCGTCCGCGGCACCCTCCGTTACCAGGGCTTCCCTGAGATGATCAAGGTTCTGGTTGACATCGGCTTCCTGTCCGACGAGGGCCGCGAGTACCTCAACACCCCTATTGCCTGGAAGGAGGCCACGAAGCAGATCCTCGGCGCCACTTCTTCCGCTGAGAAGGACCTCGAGTGGGCCATCGCCTCCAAGACGGCCTTCGCTAACAACGATGACCGCGACCGCATCATCTCCGGTCTCCGCTGGATCGGCCTCTTCAGTGACGAGCAGATCACTCCCCGTGGTAACCCGCTCGATACTCTGTGCGCTACTCTCGAGAAGAAGATGCAGTATGAGGAGGGTGAGCGTGATCTGGTCATGCTGCAGCACAAGTTCGAGATTGAGCACAAGGATGGCCAGAAGGAGACTCGTACTAGCACTCTCTGCGAGTATGGTGTCCCCGGTGGGTACTCTGCTATGGCTAAGACTGTTGGTGTGCCTTGTGGTGTTGCTGTTAAGTTGGTGTTGGATGGTACTATTAACCAGAAGGTATGCTCCCATTCTCTTTGTCTTTTGGAGCTGTTTCTGTTCCGTATCGGGCAGCTTTGCTAACGGTAATTGCTACTCTAGGGTGTTGTTGCTCCCATGACCATGGACATCTGTGCTCCTCTGATCAAGACCCTCAAGGAGGATTACGGCATTGAGATGATCGAGAAGACTCTTTAAAGAGGGGTCCTTCTCTTATGATTCTCTTCTATGATGATATATTAACGACTTGGGAGACGGGTGTTAGAGAAAACAAAATAGGGTAGATCAAAATTCAGATCGGTTTTGAAGCAGTATTTCTTGCAAGAACAATGGAGGTAATATATGTAACAGGTACCAGAAGTGTAGAAGTTCAAAGATTTATATCTTCTTCCTATCGTGATTGTCTCATCTACTAATATGTTCATGGTCTGTCTATCGTGCATTCGTTGGACGCATACCCCCAATTGCTTGGAGGGGAGGAGTTTTATATCAGGTCAGGTGAGAGGTAAGGATGAGTCGGCGCAAGATGCCTGTTCCCAGAAACACAGTTTGTACGAATCCAAAAAGCAGTTCGCTACCCCCGTCTTCTACAGGACGCGTGGATGCAAACAGGATCCTTTGTCGCCCTCATACCCCCCAAGTGCTGAATTTAGATCATGATATGGTCATGGTTTCGCGGATGCGCTCAGAGAATAGTGCCAAACCTATACCAAGAAGAAGAAAAACAACCATCAGCAACTGTCTCCAAGAATAAGAAGATCTGACAAGCCATTGTGAGGAAGCAATTGGCTAAATGGCAAAACAAGGGATTAGAACATACCCGAAAGTCTGCTTGATGCTGCGGACGTAGTACACATCCCAGTTCTGCTTGGTGACATCCTCCTGGCCGACAGGAACGCCGGTCCAGGTCACGCGCATCTGAGTGACGCCGTCGACATCGTTCTGGTCGAACTTGATCTCCAGCGTGCTGAAGTGACCGGCGGGCCACTGGGCCAGACGCCACTTCTGCTGGATCAAGGTAGGGGCCTCGAGCTTGATGTACTCGCCGGTGACGTTGCCGTCGAAGATGGCGAACTTTCCGCCCACCTGAGCGCCCTCAAACTGGCGAGGGGGGCCGCGAGTGAAAGCAGCAATGCGCTGGGGGTCGGTGAATGTGTTGTACAGCTCCTCAGCCGTGGTGCGGAACTCGTCCGAGGCGGTCACGGTGGTAGTGTTGACCGAAACCTTCTCCGCGGTAGTAGTGGTGGTGGTCGTAGGAGCAGAGGATTCCTTCTTGGAAGTCTGAGGGTGGTACTTGGGAGCAGCGAACCCGCTGGAAGGGTTGACACCAGGAGCGTGTTGAAGGTCCTTGCCGTGTTCAGCAATGAGGGCGGGACCAAGCTTGGCCAAAGCCTGTCTGAGCTGAGGAACGAGCTTGGAGCGAACCAGATCCTTCACGGCCTGCTTGGAAGGAGAATCCGAGTAGTTCTCAATCTCGAACTAAAGAGCCATGGGGTTAATTGGCTGGACAGCTATGGGAATACGAGGGGCTAAAGGGAACATACGACGTACTCATCTTCCTCGGTGTCATGGGCAACCTCGGGGATGGAAATCTTTCCACTAACGGACTCGTCGTCCGTAGTCTTACCTGTCAAAGGTCTTAGTGGTGTGCCCTGAACAGAGAGAAACACTATCATTGCTTAATTACGAACCTTCATACTCGAGTTGTACTTTGACATCGAACAAGGTGATGACCTTGCCCTTTCTCTGACTGACGTCTACATCGCCATCCATGCTCAGCAGGTTGGAGATCTTGGCAGAGACTCCGTTCTCCTCCACGGAGAGGACGGAGAGGTTCTCCTTAAGGTAGTCCTTGGCCCAGCCGGAGGCATCCTTGTTCACCCAGTGCCAGTTGTTGGGGTTGTGAAGAACCATGATGGTGGTAGTTTATTTTATTATCAATTGGTCTAACGATCTCGATGGAAAGAAAAGCTGCTCTATTGCGGGGCTGAACTTCGCTAGTGGGTCAATTTGCTTAGCGAGTCCGAGTCTTTCTTCTTCCTTCTTTCGCCAAAAAAAGCTGTTGTTCTGTACCATCGCACACACAATATTAGCATTCATTCGTAGCCATAAAACGTAGTGCGATAATGTTCAAGTAGGAGTGGAGGAATCGTTTCAGGATCCGGATAGCGTTTCCCGGACCGCAAGCTACTCAGCATGGAAGATGAATTCGTAAAAACATCCCCGTCTGACTGGTGCCAGCTATGAGTTCTCATCATTCGATGGGATGGCCCTCTCCAAGACAGTGTCCCCTCATTGTAGAAGGGCAACCTGGTCAGGATTGGGAAGGAGAAGAGTGTGCAAGAATGGGTAGAAGAAAATTCAGAGGCAACTTACAGTCTCAGAAAAAAACGTCTCACTTCAAAGACGCTGGAGCAAAGACAGATCAATCAAGTCCCAGGTGGCAATGGGAGAGTAGGAGCAAAGAGGGATGGTACCGTGGAAGAGGGGGAGGGGGGAAGGTCCGTATTAAATAAGACTACGAGTGGTTTAGTGAAGGAAAAGGCAAAAGGGGAAAAAGTTCGAGGATTCGGAAGGAAACCTCTAGAAGCCGCAACGGTCACGTGGCTACCCGTCCGGTCATCGGCGCGGAGGAACAATCTTACCAGGTTATCTCCATTTATTCCAATCATTCAATCAATCATCAAGTGGATTCGCAGCTGCAAACGAATGTGGGTATCTTCTAGCGACACAGCAATCAAATCAATCAATCAATCCATCAACCAGGAAACAGCATAGAACAACATTGCAGAAATAACCTCTTGATAGCCCCCTCGTCAGTCATCACTCGTTAACAAACAACAACTTTGCTTCATTTATGCCTGCTCCAATTGCTCCAGATCCTCCCATCCATCTTCCACCATTAGCTGCTCTTTCACTCGCTCGCGTAGGCGCTGAATCCCACTTCCCAGGGCCTCTGCCCACTGGCCCTCCACGGTAGCAACCTTGTCTTTTAGATCGCTTGTCAATGTGCGCTCTTCGTCCGTACGGGTCTCCTGCATTTCCTGCTGCACCTTGCCCTCGGACTCGCCCAGGCGGATTCGCTCTGCCTCCATGAGGTTGCAACTGGCCCTCATAACAGCGGACTTAACCTCGTGTAGTAGGCAAAAAAGGTTAATTTGCGACTCAATATACTGGTAACTGGATTTTTCCGCGTGAGATACCAGCGTATACAGGTACTGCAGCGGATGTGCCCGGTAACTCGGGTTCTCCTCGTATTCGTTGGCCGGAATCTGGACCGTAAATCCACGGAGTTTCTCAGGGATCTGTTGCACCAACTCTGACAGAGACGGCGCAATGTCCCAGAATGCTGACAACTGTATCTCCACCCCACGCGCTACATTTCCCTCGATCACATCTAGGAAGGATTCGAGACGTGCTAAAGCATTGGCCTCGTAGTCCACCCGGCGATCCAAGGCATCTTTGACAAAGAACTCATTGGTCTCGCGTACTTTGTCCTCATTGGAGGCTTGCTTATAGGGTAGTAGGACCACGGCTCTATACTTCTCGTCGCGATCGCTGATTAGATCAAATACCTCGCGGTGTAATTGCTCACGCGCTTCAAATAACCATTTGAGTTGTGTGAGCTTCTCCAGGAGCTCTGGCTTCTCATCCCCTTCCTCCTGTGTTTGGTCAGGGGTCTCGGATCGTGCGTCGTCAAACAGCCTGCCACGTAGCTCGTCAATGCACGCCGTAGCCCTGTCAATCCTGTCTGCAAGAATCGCACGCATCGGCTTGAATACTGATTCTTGGTATGTGTCCAGCCCTCCCTTTATCAGATCTCTTTCAAGCCGGTTTTCCTCCACAATCAATGCAGCCTCTGCTTCTGCCGCCTCCGCAAAGGTGATACTGCCTTGTTGGATTTGACTCTGGATGTTGGCCTTGAATTGCCGACGTCCCTCTCGGACTCGTGCTTGGTGATCTTGGAACAGCCCATCCATTTCCGTTTGGTGTCGCTGCCTGGCGGTCTTGATCTCCGATAAGTCTGTAATTGATCGCACCAATGTGCGATAAGTAACGAGGTCAGGATGGCTGTTGTTGACCGCAGGATAGTGTCGGGGATACGGTGGTGGCAAGGTGATCAGTCTCGAGACATCCATCCTCTGCACTTCTTCAAACCGCCTACTAGATCCGAGGCGGACATTGTTGGAGTAGTCTTCCAGGGCAGGCTCCTCGTGCCACCCAACCTTTTCGGGAGGGTATTCATCGGGACCATATGCAGCGTACTGATTACCCCCATTCGATGTGCCGGCATTCCCTGTGTCAGACGAGCCCTGACTTTCCTCCCATAGCAGAGCCCCGCGTGATAATCCCATATATTTGGTCTCCCTCTTTGACCTCTGCACTCTTCGCTCCCCCCCTTCACTGCTAGAACCAGTCTTTGACTCCCACCATCGACTAGGCGCCCGTCCCCTCGAGCTCATCTCGTCATTACTCAGCCCAAGACTTGCGATTGGTGAGAGGCACGGCTGATAATTGTTCCACCAGGCCGATTCTGGACGTACCTGGGGTATGTCCAGCTTAGGCGCCGTAGGGTTGGACGCCCTTCTAGAAGATGGACCGGGTACTACCTGGCTGGTCTGTGGCACCGGCGCTGGTTTGGGAGGGGAGACAAACAATTTACGGCGTACACTTTCAACATCAAAAGAATCCAGGTCCCATACTTTAGCATACCTCTCACGCCGGATCTGGGACTCTGAGATGATGAAGTCGGCAAACAACCGCAATGCTTCTTTCTCATCCACCGTGCCGGCCTCCTTCTCAATGAACTCACGATGTCTCTGTATAGCGTTCCGGACATAATCGTCATCGCGTTTAATGACAGAATCGAGAGAGGGATTTTGCTGGGCCGACACGCGACGTGGGGCTAAGGGGGAGACTGTAGTCACAGGCTCGTTTGGAAGGTGTAGTATATGTGAGACTGGTCGTTCTTCTTTGGACCCAGGCCGAGACGGTGTAGTTTCTGAACCAGATTGCAGAGGGGGCGTCGGTAGGGCTTTGGGAGGTAGTGCTGGCGATGTACGTTTGGGGAATGCAGACGACCTTTCTGTGCCCGGTGAAAATGGCGGCGTCTGCGCAAACCGCGAAGTTGAGGTCGGTGCTTGAGGACTCGGCTCAGGCTTGGGGGTGGAACAGGACCGGTTTGAAAATAGACCTCCAGAAGACGCCCTAGATCGTGATGTGATTTGTGGGCCATCAGAAGAAATGCTACGAGTGCTAAGAGGTGCAGCTTTGGCCGAAGTCGGGTTTCGGCCGTTATCCGTGTCCACGCTCGATTCTCCCAAGACTAGGTTGGAGGGTTTTAGTTGTTCGAGAGCTTCAGCCCAGGGGTTGCTGCTCATGGAGACAGCACTGAGGCTATCAAGCACCTGGCTTTGCCTGTTCCGGCGTTCAATCCTCCTTTCTCGGATGCCTTTAGCATTTGGGTCTTTGATAGCTGGGCTCCGAAACAGACCACCACTATTGGGATTATGACTTCCGCGAGACGACTCTAGAGATTCCGGCCCGTTCGTATTGGATGTAGTTGCCGTGTCAATGGTTAGTGGTTGCCTCTCTGTCCTGGGTTTAACATCGATTGTTTCATCGACCCATCCAGCTGGTGTTGGTGGAATGCTATCCAAACTTGTGCCTAAAACCGGAGGCGGCCGTGCCCTGCCACCCCTAACAGGACCTTGCGAGTTCCGGGATGACGACGAGTCAGAGAGACCATTCACGCTCTGTGACCTTGTGGCCGGCGGCGGTCCTGGTGGGGGTGGAGGAAGGGGCATTCCCGGTTCCCAACTAGTTCCCGGAGGGGATCGTGCTCCAGACTGACTATGAGCTCTTGATGAACTCGCACTGTTGACGGCTGGCCCAGCAGATACGGCCCTTCTTGCAGCTGGGGGCCGATCCGTATCAAAGGGTTGAGTAGGCTCAAGCATGTTGCTATCGTCGCTCAATTGTGTCGAGTGGAGATTATCAGGCGAGACGACAATGTGCGGCCCTGGCCCTGCCATAACTGACGCAGGTTCTCTATAAGTCTCTGACCTATTCTGGGATGAAGACCTAGATGAAAGGCCTGGTGGCAGCGGCGGAGGCGGTGGTAGTGAAACTCGTCGATTATGGCTCGACTCACTTCCCACGAACATCGACAGAGGGCGAGTACGGGGAAGACGGCGTTGTCGATACTCTGAGGGAGCATCCGCACCTGCACGCACCGCCCCATTATATGAAGAGCTAATGCTGGGTGACGTAGAGCCCATTGATGATGTATTCTGACTGACAGTTTCTCTCTGATGTTGCTGGCTTGGCGGAGAGTATGGTGGTGGAGGCGGCGACAAAGATACATCTACAAGGTCACATTAGGTTCGATTGCCTGGTCACCGAGAATATGCAGCAAGCTAGAAATTCCAAGACTACAAAGGGCAAAGGAGTACAGGAGTATGAGGCAGTCAGAGAAGTAGGGACAGAAGAAAAAACAAAGACAGACCTGAGTGAGGACCGGTTGACCGTGGCTGAGAGACGATCCGCAACATGTTATTTGGTGGCGTATATGTAGCTTGGCCAGCATTCATTGAGCCACTGCCCACTGGACCCCAATCCTGAGGATTGTAAGGTACATTGTATTGTCTAGAAGCCATTGGTGATGATCCGATTGCCGCCCCTCCAGGCGAGCCTACGGCGGGAGACTGGCCTTGTGTGAAAGGACTAGACAATGAGGTCGACGAGAGAGGGGTGGAACTGTAGCCTGAACCCAGCGCGAGCCCAAGCCCTTGGAATTGATGACCACCCAGCGATGTTGTCAGAGGAGGGGGCTGTACAGCATGCTCTCGACGACTAGGAGACGGCTGGTTACTGGAGGTAAGAGGTGTCGGCCAGCCGCTGTAAGAATAAGGACCAGACGGCGGCTCGTCGCCAGCATTGCCCGACGATCGCCAGCTATAAAGAGGCCGAGGATCAGTACCTTGCAGCGTCGCGAGACAGACACGAGAACAAGTCGAGGACCACAGCGTGTGAGAAAAGCTGGGCGCACCTATTCATACTAACGGAAGGATGCAGGGCCAACCGAACACGGAGCCATGGCTGAGGGCTGAGGGCTGAAAGGCAGAAGGGAGATTAGATTGTGCCAACACGACGAGCGATTGAGAAGGAGCCAGAGAGGGCTGAAGCGCAGACCGATTTCTATTCTTTGCAACAGCCTCTGGTCCAACCAGGTGTGGAGGAGGCTTGCAGGCGCAGACGGGCCAGTCGGTACGTATCAACGGTTCGACGAGCATCGTGGGTTTCGATCGACTGACCAGGGAGGCCAGCAAGATGCGTGCTAGAGTCCCTCTAAATTTTTAAAAATAGCACAAGAGCCAACAAGCAGCGGGCGGGGATAAGAAATGGAGGTGCAGGTCTTGACTCTTCAGAGAACTAGTGCATCCCGCGAGATGCAGCCCGGCCGGTTTGATCACAGGCGGCGTGGATGCTGGCGCTTAACTTGCCCGTCCGCGCCCTCTCACAGGCCCGTCGCCCTCCATGCTCCCCCTCGCCCAGACCCTGCTCCAACAAACCAGCATCGCTATCACATCGGCCTATGACCAAGATGGTCAAGACTAGTTAGGCCTGGCAGTAGTCCAGACATCTCACAGGGTCCGCGATAGGGCGAAAGGTTTGTCCGTTGGCGAATCGGGCTCGCCATGACAGGGGCACGGGACGGCATTTCGCCTCAGGCCATGAGCGCCTACGCAGAATAACAGGACATTACAGGGTTATCGATGGAGACAGATGCAAGTACAACCAGGGATTGATTCTTATTATAGTAGCTATAGACTTGGACTACTGCAGGCCTAAGATCCCGGCGGAAAGAACATGCCAGCATGTTGTACGACTCCTGCCCGCATGGACAGGATCGTTGCCCCAATACAATTGGAGCATGTCGATCAAAGATTTAAGACCTAGAAAATTACTGAAGTCATGTCAGCCAAGACTCCACACATTATGTGCAACGAAAACAATCATAATGAGAAAGGTGCATGTCAGATCCAATGCCCTGTCACAGGCGGTGGTCATCAAGGTTAAATATTTATGTTGACCGTCGTGATTATAATAGTAGTAAATCATCATGTAAACGAGGGGAAAGGGAGTTGCAAAAGAGTAGGTGTGTACTCACGTTTTACGTATAAGTTTGCAAGCTGTTGGCTGGCGATGAAACTACTGATAACTACCACGCTGGTCAGTCACCATAGACGCGTGAGGTTGAAGATGACGTAGTGACAACATGTTGACTGATCAGTCATGACGATTGTCGTCCCGGTCGGCAAAGCCAACTTGGACATATGCTTGTCTTTATTTTGTGTCGTTTCATCATTGTGCGATGTGGGCTAGGCGGAGAATAGAGGTGGTAACATACAGATACCTGACTGTCAGACTTATACTGGGGATAGGTTGTCCCAATAAAAGTTCATTGTACTGCATATGAGTTAGCTTTGGTCTGAGCCAACTGATGCAACGTTCTATTTGAGAACAAGTATTTCAGAAATGCATGAATGGTATAAAAAAGATGTTGTCTGCATCGATAACTCGAATAAGACTCGTCATCTAGGGAATCATCCTCTTGTGATGGGGAATCGCAGGAACGGGGCTTGAAGTTTACCTTTTAGTAGGTGCCGTAGGGAGAAGATCATAGCAAACTGTCTGCCACTTTAATTACCAGTTAGCTTCAAGCCAAGAGGTCGTATTGTGTGAATCTCAATGATCGAGAGTGTATCTCAGTGGGCGAGGTTTTCTAGGCCTGCCGCAAAAAGGGCATATCCATCAAGACCGGACGTTATGTCTGACGCCGTCGGAGCCCAGTGCCGTTTCATCTTCGAAGGGATGGAGACGAAGGAGACAGTGAGATTAAAGCTTACCCTTCGCCAATCAGATGTGGAGATAGAGTCTGTGAGATCTGTATATATTCTTGTAACCGTCAGCATATGCGAGCAAAATTGATGACAGTGAAAACAATGGGCAGTTTGTATGACTGATCAGAAATAGCCAATTTTTATCGTCGATGACCCGAAGGTCTCAGTCGGTAATTTCCAGCGTATATATTGTAAAAGAAGCATCATGCAAGTCATGGGAGGAAAGAAAGGAGGGTATGCGGAAAGCTTACCATTGAATCAGACAGACTCGCACATTGTGCTAGGAGCTAGATGAGAGTATTAGTGTCCTATTGACCGTTAGCATCCTGCTTCGATCAATGCCTGAAAAATTGAACAAGAATGTCTTGAGCAAAAGCATCAGACTGACGTGCAAAACAATTGAGTTTTCATGCCCTGAAGGGGTCAAAGACTCTAGTTTGAAATGGTTGTAGGTATCATCATAAAGAGGGGAATGGGGAAGAAGATGAAAGCGCTGGCAATTGTGGCACTTACCAAGTGATTCCTGTGCGTCGAAGCCAGATGTGTCAGTTCAACAACAGAGGTGAGCAAAGCCACGGTCATGTGGTGATCTCTACAGATATGTGATGCATGCTTCCACGGGCATTATAGGAAGGCATCACACAGTGTGGGATGTTGTTGTGTGGGAAGAAAGCTGGAAACCCGCGTCGAAGTTTTTCAAGCATTCCGGTCGGAGCTAATTTTACCGAGAAGCTAGCCCCAATCTGGTCCGGTTATAAGTGGTTTAGGTAAGCATCTAACCGACAAGCGTTCTGCCGTGGCTTCCTTCCCTAAAAGGCGGAATGAAAGGCGGTGGAGCGTCCCCGTCTTACCTTCCGGTTTTGATTTCGGGTTCCCGATGGATGAAACTCGCATATTCTTAGCCTAACATGGGGATCATACTACTATTCATGTCCAGAGCAATAGCTCTGGTCTATTGGGCTCGACCAAAGCTTTGAGACATGCCAGTAGCCCATCCCTTGTTGATCAACGGAGGAGGTGGTACTACTCCGGCTGTTCAGGGAGGGATCCGGAATCGAATCATTAAACAGAGCGGGCGAGACTCGAATAGTTCGGCATAGTTTGACGCGGATTATCAAAATTCGCATGTCTGGTGACCATCCGAAATCCACCCGCCGCGATTAGGTACAACGGGCTGCGAGATAGGTATCCTTTCTAGCTGCGCTTATGCGACATTTTTTTTTTTCTTTAAGCCCCTTAATACGAGCCGAGGGAGTCCAATAGTCCGGGTCAAACCAGCGTGGGGTGGTTTATCGCTTTGATTACTTGTTCCTTCGAACAGAACAATGAATAAGGGAAGTGCTTCTAGATACCTGGTATATATGAAGCAAAGGAGCTTGACAGCACTACTAGAATTAAAAGTATCCTACATAGTATGCGGGATAGACTACTCCGTACTACTGGTAGAAAGAAACTCCAGATCCCAGCGCGGGGAAATTCGGGGCTAACCCGGGCGAAGGCAAGAGAAAGAGCCGGGAACCCGCCCAAACCGGGTTAGAGTGGGGGAATGACGAAAACCATCTTTCCCTTCCAGTTATTGCGTCAGGCCCAAAGGGAGAAGGGTTCTGGATGCTCTCTCCACTCTCTCTCTCTCTTTCTTTTGTAAAAGTCCGGTTTATGCTGGCTTCTGACGTTAGGTTCCTAACCCGGTAAAAGATTGGTCCTGGCTGGTCCCGACTCTCTTACTTAGATAAAGGATGCCCCTGTTCACCTGGGATGGAGGATAGATCACTTTCTTCCTGCAGCTTCTACTCATTGACAACTGTCCCTCCTCCACTTGTCCAAAGTACTTATTTACTACATCTTAACCGCTCCTTCCAGCTCATTCCCCTCCTCTGTACCCTGGTTATCTCCGCATCTTCCTGCTTTCCCCGTTGACCCGAGGTTCAAAAGCCAAAGTTCTTAAAAGGATCAAACCCCAGCGCCAGACTCGATTGTCTCCGCTTTCCACTTGTACTACTGCTTCAAGAACCCTCTCTTCACTCAGATCAGACCACACACGCTGCACAACATGTCTGCAAACGGCAATGGCGGTGCTCCTCCTGTAGGACAAGAGAAAATCAACACTGATATTGTCACCCTCACCCGCTTCCTCACAGAAGAGCAGGCCAAGGTTCCAGAAGCCACCGGTGACTTCACGTGAGTCTTCCTTCCCCCCCTCAGTCTGGCTGTTTCTCTTACTAAACGGAATTCCCCCTCTGTCCAGACTACTCTGCCACGCTCTTCAATTCGCATTCAAGTCGATTGCCTACTACATTCGTCGCGCTTCCTTGATTAACCTGACCGGTTTGGCTGGTTCCTCGAACACGACTGGCGATGATCAGAAGAAGCTTGACGTCATCGGCAATGATATTTTTATCTCCGCCATGAAGGGCTCCGGCAAGTGCCGTATCCTTGTTTCCGAGGAAGAGGAGGAGGCCATTGTCTTCGACGAGCACCCCAACGCCCGCTATGCCGTGGTCTGCGACCCTATTGACGGTTCCTCCAACCTTGACGCTGGCGTTTCGGTTGGTACCATCTTCGGAATCTTCAAGCTTCCCGATGAGGTCCTTGGTCCCAACAACAAGGTCACTGCCCAGGACCTTCTCCGCCCCGGCACGGAGATGGTGGCCTCCGGCTTCACCATGTACGGTGCCTCCGCACAGCTGGTGATCACCATGCGCAACGGTGGTGTCAACGGCTTCACCATGGAGAACTCTCTGGGTGAGTTCATCCTGACACACCCCAACATGCAGCTTCCTGCCAAGCGGGCCATCTACTCGGTCAACGAGGGTAACAGCATGTACTGGGATGACTGGGTGAACAAGTACCTCCACTCGCTGAAGTACCCCGGCGAGGGCCAGAAGCCCTACAGCGCGCGTTATATTGGTAGCATGGTGGCCGATGCCTACCGGACTCTCCTCTACGGCGGTATTTTCGCCTACCCGGCTGATTCCAAGAGCCGCAAGGGCAAGCTGCGTATCCTCTACGAGTGTGCTCCCATGGCTATGCTCTTTGAGAACGCAGGCGGTCTGGCAGTGAACTCCCAGATGGAGCGTCTTCTGGAGGTGGTTCCGGAACACATTCACGACCGGAGCGGTGTCTTCCTGGGCTCGAAGGACGAGGTACAGAAGATCATCGACACGTACAACCAGCACCACAAATGAATTCATGGCACATAGGAACAGCACTAGGGTGGAGTTTAATGGTTTCATGTTACTTAATGCGAGTCTGCCAGTGCGTACAGCAGGTACCCGGTGACACCTTTGCACTGGCATGTCCTTTATGATCCACAGACATTCAAATATTTCGAAATACAAATAAAAAAAATTCTATAATTATACATGTTGACTCACAACTGATAAAAACGTTTTTCTAGTCACTCGTAGGCTACAATATCGAGCCGTTAATCTTTCAGTCTCAAATTCAATCTGTTATATCTGCATTCCTCCCGCCTTGCCCCGCCCCCGCACCATTAGCCCAATCTATCTTTCTCTCTCCTACTCACAGATGATTACATCAGTAGCTATGTAATAAGAACGTGGCATTCAACGGGGTCAAAGATAGCTATGTAATTTCTGACCTGGTGTAGAATAATAAACTGATACTATAGGTCTATACTAGTATTAGTTCAGATAGGTACACCCTGCTTAGACAGCTCAGCTTGCTGATATATTTACCCAACACCTACCTAGTAGAACTGAAATACTAGTAGTACCATGCGTAACTCCTGAATTAACAGATCCAACTCATCAGGTACTTACTAGTCTGCTACTACGATTATGATCATAGGGCACCTTTAACAAACAGTCATAGAAGGTAAGTTTTACTACTATTACTATGACATTCATCACATGCTCTTCCATACATGTATCCAGCGACAAGTAATCCACCATAAAGCGAGTCATTCACGTATCTTGCTCTACTATCTATTGTTAGTGATACTCTCGCTCAACAGAACAGCAGTTTCAACACAGTCCAGAAAATATGTTCCTCTTTCTATTTACTCTGATTTAAACATAACTATGATATATCTCCACTACTATTCATGATCCAACATTACTCTCTCAACATTTGCCATATCTCACTGAAATCCTTCCACCACAATCCACAAACGAAGCTTCACCAAGTCGAAACGTTACCCCTAGTTCTAGCCAATATGCTCAAGATTTCACCCTTTCATGGATTGCAGTTATACTGTCTCTCAAAAAATACAACCAACCAATCGGAGAGTTTCGGATCACTCCTTAAACCCCCGATCTGAGCTGAGCTAACTTCCTTGGGTAGTACGTAGATAGAAAGGAAGAAAAGACTTAACTAGATACCTATGAGATGGAAGTGCCCACTATAGAAGAAAAATTGGTGTTTGGTTTGGTATAAGGGAAATTCTCTCAAGCAAGATCCAATCACAGTGCAGCGGACTCAGTAAGTAAATACTACTTCAATGTGTGCTTGAGTGATTTCATTTCTTTGATAATGGGTTGTCCATGTAGTATGGTGGAATATACTACTGATAGATAAATATATCCCAAGTGCAACTACTACTATACTAATAGCTACCAGCTGCGAGCAGCACTCGTAGAACAGTGGCTAAAGTAGCCTTCCCCATTTAATGGCTAGATATTAAATCATTCCCAAGTACGTGGAATGATCCTGTCAATCACTCCGTGGTCTAGATGCCGAAGAGATTGTGTGAAGCATACTAGTCTAGCAAAGCCCGTAATTGGTGGAATAATAAATTTCCTTCATCAATGCTGGCAGAATGCAGTGAACTCGGCAAAGATTCCATAGTTGGACACTCGTGTTCATTCAAGCAATAGATAGAAATAAACATACTATGCTACAAGTGTCAATTAATTCTGATGAGGCGTTGAAGGAATGCTCTATTTCCTAGTGGCAATCCGGGCAGGACTCCTTTCCCTTAGTACCCGCTTTCCAGTTTCGCACATAATCAAAACAGAGACGTACTGCTGATTTCTCTGAATGCGGAGTGACCATTAACTTTGGTCTACTTTCTCTGTAGGGACATGGAGTAGAATTCTACGGCATATGACATTTACTGGTATAACCTACAACTCGTTGCGTGTACAATTCGACATATATATTTCCGATCATCTAGTAGCACAGCCAAAAGAAAGACACGGATAAAGGGACAAGACGCCATGAATATCTAGATTCGATCGAATTCCCTCAGGGAATGGAATAATGTGACATCTCGATCCAAAAGTGTGAAAGGAAAGGAATATGCAACGCATGCAGTCAGAAAAAGAGAGACTAATCAACAGGATCCTCTTCGAGGAGGGTCTTGAAGCTGAACGGGGTGAAAGGTATACCTTCACCCATGAAATGCTTGCTCATGGCTTCGACCCAGTGTAGACGGAGGGAGTGGAGCATGGCACTGGTACCCTCCATGACACAGAGAATTGCAATGGTCAAGGTGAACCAGAGGTAGAAGGTGACAACGATCATGATGACCCGCATGGTGGCGGACTCTTGCTCGAAGGCGCCGCCAATGGTCATGTCCCACAGCACAATGGAAAGCTGCTGGTGGGCCAGAGACAGAGCCCACAGACGCAGGTAGGAGGCGGTGTGGGAGATACAGTTCAGACAGAACTCAATGGTGTGGATGACTTGGTGAATCATGATCTCGCCGAAGTCGAACTCCTCGTGCTCTTCGTCTCCAAGATCCTGAGCGATCATGGCAACACCTTCACCATCGCTAGCCATGCTGTCGCGATTGCCATCGGCATCGTCTTCTAACGCACTAACCCGGGATGGCTCACCAAGGCCGCGGTATCCAAGAGCGCGGGCACGGTTGTGCTCCCAACGGAGGTAGAACGGCTTGAAGAAGAGCATGATCGGCACCTGAATGACAGCAAGAAGCAAGAGCAGAACCTGAACGCTTGCCTGACCGGGGTAGAGCTGCTCCTCAACAGTTCCCGGAGAGAGGAACATGAAGATAAGCATGTTAAGAAGTCCGGGAGGAGACTGGCCTCGGGCGTTCCAATCAACGGACCACTTGTAGATGATGGTAAGAACAAGGTAACCGAAGATTGACTGGAAGAAGATCATGCCGGGAATGAAGTTACCAATAACATCAACCTTCGACTTGAAATGCCGAGCGTTGACGTATTGCAAGCAGAGAGCGTAGGTCATCTGTGAACAAGGTTAATACTTGGTTATGAGATGTGGGTGAAGAGTCTTACGTGTGCCCAACCGAGACAAATACTCATCTTCATCTTCAGACTGTTTGTGAAGAGAAGAGAGTTCTCGGCTTCGTGCCAGTTCCAGTCCAGACCAAAAGGGAAACGATAACCTGTCTTCAAAGATGCCTCGACGGTCTGTCCCTGCTTAATATCGTCGGGCCACTGCCATTGACTGGGGAAGACGGTGAAGGACTTGGAAAAGACATCGTTGTAGAGAAGACCGGTGTACATAGAGAAGATACCCATCATAAGCATGATGTAACGACCGTAGAATGCCATGTATGTCAGCTCGTCCAGCTTGGTCTTCGCCAGCTTGCGTTCCCAGAAGATCATAGCGGCGGCAGCCATGGTCATCAAGGCACCGTGGCCAAAATCACCGAACATGACGGCAAAAAGGAAGGGAAATGTGACGATGGTGTACAATCCGGGGTTGGCTTCGGAGTACTTCGAGATACCGTAGGCGTCGACGATAGTCTGGAAAGCTTGAGTGAACTTGTTCGTCCGCATGTAGGTTGGTGGGGTCTTGTTGGTCCGGATTTGATTGACAATGGTAGGCACACTCAACCCAGCACGGTCGTTGACGTCCTGCAATGTCGACTTGATCAAGCCCAGCGAATTGGTCGGACACCATGCTTCCGCGATAAGAGTCTTTCTCGCCTGATCGTAAGAGAATTTGTTCAGTGTATCATACACAGCCTTCTCCTTCTTGACAATGATCATCCAAGCTGCAAGCGAGCGGGCAATCTGCGTGAGCTCCGCGTCGAGGGTGTTCTTGGTGTTACGCAGGACATTGCCAACATCACCCAGGCGGGTGTTGACCTCATGAATCTGGTCCCGTCTCAGCTCACTGTTCTCATCGACGTTGTAGAGGGAGGCCCCAAGCGACTCAGAAATCTTCCGAATCTTAGCGATGATACTCTTTCCGTGAGCAAAAATGACGAAGACGTTCTTGTGGGACTCCTCGTTGGTGGTTGGGTCGATGATGGCCTCAGGGATTTCCGACTGGTTCATGTAAAGGTTACCACGCAGAGTACGCCACAAGATGCGCTCGAAGGCTCCGATCCTGTCCCGCGGAATCACACCGGCCACAAACCCGATGTTCATCTCAAGGAAGGACTGCTGGCCCTGCGCATCGCTGTTGGGGCCGCGGCTCTGCTGTTCGACATCGCGGAGGAGAGGGGCTTCGTCGTTATCGAAAGATTGGCGGATTTCCTCCGTGTGGCTGTGAGCGCGATCGAAGAAACCACCAGCTTCCCTCAGCACCCAGCGCCACTCAGTCAACTCCACCTCACGTTTCTTCAAGGTCTCGTAGCTATCGTTCAGCGAAGCGATCCGTTGTTCGAGGCTTTCACTGCGCTCGGCGAGCTCGTCGATTTCGGAGGCCAAGGGAGCAGCCAGGGTGTCGGAGAATTCGGACGAAGATCTCATGGGAATGCTTGCCTTGTCCATCTGAGCGTGGAAGTAGCCTGGCGTGCGAGACGGGTTAGGTCGAAGTCCATGGAAACTTTATCACTGATCATAGAACATACGCAGCTGTCTTTCCACATTGTCCAAACGACGAATCTCCTTCGTAAAAGTACGCTGGAACGCATTGGTGTCGGGGTTAAGCTAGTGACAGACGTAACAGATATCAGCCGGGTTCGTTTCGTGCATGTCAACCAAGATATCAGAGAACCAACTCACATCTCTGAATTGAACCTGACCGAGTTCTCCCAGAGCACTGACAACCTCTCTTCCGATCTCGTTGGCGATGTAGAGCTGGGTTAAGCTCATCTCCGACGAGCGGAACAAGGTGTCCCTTGGAGCCATGGTGAAAGCAAGACTGCCTTGAGCAGTACTTCTACACCACAGAGACAAAACTGCGCAGAAGCGCTGGAACCAGAGATTGAATGACTAGCTATGGGATAAAGATATGTTTCCCAAGCCGAACTGGCAAAGGATTAACTGTAAGGGAGAACTTGAAGCTGTCCAGCGCCCCTGGAGTTCGATTGATGATGCGGTTCGATGGCCGCCGAGCCGCGTGGCTGCTTCCGGCACGTGATGTTGCTCACTCCGGCTGACTAAACTTGGCCTCCATTTGATCTGCGACCACAACCAGTACACTTACTACTACTATACCAACTATACAATAGAGCTGCTGCGTAAATTGATAGTGCTAGAAGTATTACTTTGTGAGCAGGCGTCGCAATGCGAATATTGAGGTATCAAACAATATATGTCTTTTGTGGATTTAAACATGCTAAGTCCCTTCGTATACTACCCAATGCTGGCCAGCTCCCGTATCCACTCAATACTGTAACCCAGACAAGCCTATAATGATATGCAAATCTTGAACGGGTCTTGCGAATAAAAAATTGCATAACGGACTCATCCACCCATGCATGGTTATCTTCCCTCATTTTCACACTATGCGAAATAACTCTTCCAAAGAACTCCAGAAAGATCCTCAAGCTGATCCGACGTGAAAGCCTAGATAAACAAGTCAGTGACTTATTACTCATAGGCTTGATTACTCCTCTATGGTGGCTGAAACTTACCTTTGCATCAATATGCCAAGTGTCTTGCCTTGTCTTTTTGAACTCACTGATGATAGACTTGACGCTAGAACCAACAATACCTGGATCACTGGCAGCACGAACACTAAGAGTCGTCAGCGCCTCCGGCATCCAGCTCGGGGGCGGACTGTTGTATGGGAACGCTTGGATGAGCGCACCGAGACCCAGAACAGCACCGTGCCTGACTAAGATGAGTCGAGTATGTTCAGGGGTCGGTGTACCAGCCCCTGAGGAGACCGGAGTCGATAGGCCAGAGCGGAATCCCTTGGGTTTCTTCGGAAGGGGATTGTCGACCAACACCTTAGTGAACCGCTCTCTGAGTCGGATGACCATCTCTTGCCGCAGAGAAACGGGTGAACAACGGATCATGCCGGATAGTGTGGCCGATGCACCCACTCTCACTTCATGCTGAGGGTCTTCCAACATGCTCGCGACACACTCGAACAGCTTGTCTCGATCACCGTTGGAGAGCAAGAAAAGACGACGGAAATATATGATTTGGATATTGATCATAACTCGCAGGCGTTGATGCCACGAGGGGGAGGTCTGTCCGATGTGGATGAGTGTCTTGATGAACCCAGAATTGTCTTCAGCAGGATAAGGAATGTTGGGCAGATGACGGAAAACATGATATGCCAAGGACTGCAGCTCTGGGTCCTCCTTGACATCCATCATGTGCAAGAGCTGCCCCGTGAACAAATCCGGGAAGAAGGGAACCAGTTGCGTGCACTCGTGAGACGAAAGAGTCGAGTCGAGCCACAGAAGAACTGTCTTGCAGCCCGACGTGTAGGAAGAGGGCGCTTGTTGGCCAGGAGTCCTCTCATGGCGCCATTTCTCAATGCGGCCAAAGACCTCATGGACCATCTTTGTGAAATCCTCGGTCGGAAGGTAAGGGTAGGTACCCACCGATGAGGCCGACTCTTGGGCTGATAGTAGACGTTTGAGATCGGCATATGACTCGTGGTATCTGGTGCGGAATATCGTCGCGATCGTCTGGCCCATCGCTTCGCGAACGCCCTTGTAAGGATGATCAAGGTGGGCAAGGAAATCCTTGATGATCGGCTTTTCGAGTTGGAAGTGCCATCCAGCGTCGATGATAGACTGGTGTAGCAAATTGATCTTGGAGCTTTCCTTGAAAGCGGCGTTTGTACCCATGTCCAGCCGGAAACTGGCAAGCCAGTCAACCAATGGCCAAGCTCGCCGAGGATCCCGGCACTGAAGAATCATATGGAGGAAAGTCGTCCAGTAGCCAGAGTTCTCGGGAGTCAAGCCATCAGTGAAAATCTTTTGGACGATTGGGAACGCGTATTCCCAGACCATTGTGCGTTTCTCGACGCTTGTATCTGCCACAGAGCTCACCAGGGCGCCAAGAATCTCGGCGGTAGCCCTATGCTGATGTTTGTCGCTACCATCTTCAAAGACAATCTGAATTTCCTCCTGAATGTCTTGGAAAGTGGCTGCCGTGAGGCCATCTCGAAGCATCAATTCGAACGCGTAGAGAAGCATCATAGCGCAGGGCATGCGGAATTTATCCGCCGAAGGATCCCGGGGCTCCTGCTTCAAGTACATGAAGAACTTGGAGAACCAGCTTCGGTCGAACAATTTACCCATATAGGCGCGAACCTTCCACTCCACTTCGTCATATTCGATATCCCGTGCCACGTTTGACTTGTAGGCAGGCATGCTGTCTGCCCACACCAGCCAACCAGGGAAATCATGGTCAACGTAGTACTCCGCTTCGGGATTCCCAAAACTCGAAAGATATTCCTTGGTCCATCCTTCTTCGTACCGTTTGGTGGCAACCTTGATTTTAGAAGGGAAATGTTGATGTCCCAAGATGTAATTTTTGTAATCATGGCTGCAAATTGCCCGCACATCTATCATCGTGAACAATGCGATGAGCGCTTGAGAATACATGCCCCTTAGACCGGGGTGATCGTCAATTGAGCCGTGAGTCACCAACTCTATGAGGTTTTCGCTCGCAACATAATCGAACCTGAGGCCCATTGTGATGACAATAGTAGCCGCACGGCTGGCCACCTTCCAATGGGAGACCCGGGCAAGGTTGACAAGCTCTTCTGACAAGTCAGCCTTCTTCTTCTCGATAAGCACACGCTTTTTGTTGATGGTCTCCCGTTTCTCTGTGATCTCATCTGCCACGTTCTCTTGTGGGGCGATTGCCTCGACGATATCGCGATCTAAAATGGCCATTCTTTCCATGGAACGACCATAATCCATGATCTGGAACACAGCGCTAGAGCAGATCCTTTGCACAGACGGTTTGTCGACGGCGCTTGCGTCTATAAAGGTTCGGACCAAAGTAGGCGCGAACTTCCAGTGACGACCGACTGTCTTGGCGACGCTACCAAGCAATAGAGAGAACAATGCTCCTTTAATCCGTGCGTGGTCATTCTCCCTGATGCCCTTTTGGAGAGCTTTGAGAAGAGGAGGGATGACAAGAAGCCGGGAACCCCATACAGCCTTGAGGGCCGATTCACCCGCACTTTGAGCATTGCGCCGCGTTTCGGTGTAAAGCGAGACGCAGGACTCAGCAATATCTAGTAGTAAAATCTCATCCAGCTTAGACCGACGCCGAGGCGCTGCATTGTGCCTCAAGCGCTGCAGGTGGTACACATTGGCCCTGCGTACGAGCAGAGGACGAGGGTAGTCCTTACGAATACCGCTCATCTTATAAGGGTGAATATCGGCCGCAAGGAGACGTGTTACTCTGTCAAGGACATGGGCGGACCTCTCAATACCCACGTCCACAAACCATGACCGGTAAGCCGAGTAGAGGGCTGCAAAGCAAGGCACATCGTCCTCTTGCTTATCTGAGAGGAATCTGTGGACATCGTGAAGAACCCAGCCTGCCTTCTCTCGGATCTCGTGAATGGTAGTGTACATCTGGTCCGTCTCACGCAGTGGGTAATTCGTCGGGTATGAAAAAGATTCCCGGACAGCCGCTTCATCAGAGCTGTCCAGGGCCGAGTCGGCATCTTCATCGTCAACGGTGTGCGAATCTGGTTTGGCATCTGCCATTTCCACATCATTGGAGGATGTAGTAGATCTGTTGACGGTTGTTGTTGATGCTGCCTTCGGGTCAAAGAGCACTGAGATACCCGAAAGAATAAGTCGTAGTAGGACAAGATTTCTGGTTACTTCGTCTGACCAATCTTTACCACTTCCATCACGCTTGACGCTGGATGTCTCAGTGGTCAGTGCCGTCAGCTGCTTGAGAGCAGACTGAGCCTGATTCTGGAATAGCTCAACGGCAAATTCGAGCTCTTCACGCTTTGGAATATGCCACTTTACGCTCAGTTTACAAGGATCCTGTCGGTAGCTCCACAAATCAGGCTGTATACCCTTGGCAACCACATCAGGCTCATACAATGAGTAGTCCGATGTATATGTTCCCGTCAGGTTGAGAAGGAGATGGTGAATGAAATTGGAGATATGAACCGTCGGTATTCCCCTACACTTCTGCTGCATGTACACAGCTATGTCGAAGAGTTCTTTCTTATGCGCCAGAACTGCATCTCCGACGTGAACGACACACATGCTCAGCATGCTGACGTTCCATACCAGGCCACGGTCGCGAGGGAGGACATCTGTGCCTGTTGTCCTAGTTGATCCTGCGCCATTATCATCGATCTCAGTACGAATAGCCTGGGTCAACACGGGGATGAAGCGTTTCAAAGCCTTTGCAGGGCTGACTTTGCACACAGAGTTACAGATGAAGGCCATTGCATCCCGAGCTTGGTGGATAACATGGTTCGACACGAAGTCGACAACCTTCGAGAGGGCAATATCGTAGTACTCCGGAGAGAGAGATGAGAGTAACGGCATGAAGGTGGCGGGGAGAGTATTCACAATATTCTCTTCAGGAGACCCATTTCGGACTCTGGTCACGTCCGGCAGGTTCTCTAGGAGGGTGAAAACACGACCCAAAAACGATACAATGAAGTCCCCAAACCCGCACGTAGAGGACCGCAGTATCATCTCTTCCGTCTCATCGTCCAGCTCGGTGTCGTAGTTCAGCTGCACCTCGACGCCTTGCTCTTCCATGCGTTCCATCTCGCCGGTAATCCATTGCATGGCGAGCATGTTACAATTTACATCATCCCCTTCCCTCGTCAAATCGGCCATGGGAATGTTATAGCATGCGGATTGGATGAAGGACAATGCATGCAGGGATTTTTCGAGGTCATTAGCGTCGACTCCTGGTAGTGCAAGACCCAGTAAAGTAGTCATATGGCAGCGGTAGCCCTTTGTCCTGGAGATAATACGCGAGAGGACCTGCAGAGCGCGGAGCGAAGAGGTAGTACGATGTACCTCTACAAGTCCTTGAAGTGACGGGTATATCCGCTGCAGAGCTCCTGGAAGGATCAGGTGAGGCTCCAAGAATGCCAGACTCTGGAGGGTAGACAGAGAAAAGCTCATTGCGGTACCACTTTTGGCATATATACCCATGAAAATGACGTCGCGTAGACAGAGCACGAAACGGCGCTTCAAAGGCTCCGTCAGCCTCCGCTCTGGTGGTATATCCATCTCCCCACTCTGCTCGCGGTTCCAGCGCATGACGAAAAAGTCGGCTAGATAGTACACCAACTGGGACAAGGTCTTGGTCCAACTACCGGAATTGGAAGGATGGAAGAAGGTCTCTACAGCTTGTATGAGGCCCTCAAGCTGAGTAAGCACTGACTCCTCGGCTTCAAGGCAAGCGGGCGAGAGTGACATCACGATCCATCGAGCAATGTGATGAGCCACAGGGTGCTTCCGAGTGTCTCGATCCAGCATTATTCCCAGCCCAGAAGAGATGTCCACAAGAGCGCTGTAAGGCGATGTGGACTGCCCAACCGGAATTTCCAGTAATCGGAGGATAGCCGTAAAAATGAGCGATGACTGTTCCTTCGTGAACAAGCCATACTCTGAGAAGGGTATATGGCCAGCGGGCAATGAGTCTCGAGCTAGACGAGACAGATAGTCGAGGAATGTGATGTCAAATGTCTTCGAGCGGCTCACAAGTGACCAGAGATGGAAATGAGTGGGGAGATAATGATGCGGAAGGAGATCCTCTCTGGCTTCGGGCGGGGGAGAAGTGGGAAGAAGGAGATTGATCAACCCAACGACGACAAAGGCACCTTCCGAGAAGGACGTAGTGTAATGAGGAAGGAATTCTTCCAGCATGGCTGGCAGCTCACAAGGGTCAATATACAGCTGAACGAAGGCGCAGAGCTTGGTCAATGTCTTGACATTGCGCTTCAAGTTAGTTGAATGCACAAGCCCAGACTCTGTCGGTAGAACGAATGACTTTAATTCCCTGTATAGCGGTCTCCAATCTAGTGTTAAATCTTTGACTGGTCTGAGATAATGCTTGCGCCTGTAGCCAAATTTAGTTCCGATGTCTCCGAGCGACAAAAAGAACGGGCGCACTTACTTGGTAAGGAGCATGAACATGCTTGCGAACCGCTCTGAAACATTAGGATCGATCCCAGGAGCAAGTGATAGCTCATAGTACAGCTTAACAAGGTTGATCCGCTCGCTTCGAGTCGGATCAAACTTGAGTGACAGCCATCCTCTGAGCTCTCGCGTCCAGTGCACTGCACCAGGGCTAAAGTCACCAGCCTCCACCGCGATATATAGCTGTTTCAAAATCTCTCGCAGGTTGCGCTGCCTTTCCGATTCGTCTTCCGGCGTGTATGGTAGGTATTTGAAGTATGGGTATGTACGAGGCCGGACCCGTGCCTTGGGCTCGCCCTCTCCGTTTAAGGCGACAGGCTCACCTCCCGGAGAGGTAGCTCGCGATATCTCGTGAACATTTTGGAAGTTATCGGATGTTAGAATGGCCTTAGGACCTGAATGATCCATAGTCGAGCGATCAGTCCGGCGATTACTGGGGTACAAAGGTTGAGAACGTGGGAGGAGGTTCGGGGGGACTCTGAGGACCGCGGTGTGTTAGCTAGCTTTATCTTGACCGACTGAAACGGAGTATGTGGCAATGAATGGAGTCGCACCTTAAACATGAAGGTTGGAAGCAAATCCTAAGCTGCAGATATCGATGCCCAAACAGTGATCTGCTATCAGTCTTCGCATGAGCGATTTACTAAGACTTGGCTAACAGGGCGACCAGGAATGTCAGAGGCGCCAAACTGCACAAGATGAAAGACCCAAGAGTAAGGTGTCAGGTATCACTTGTATGAGATGCGATTTCGGCCAGGAAAGCTTCTTTGCACAGAATTACGCTCGGGGTCGCGATAAATTCGAGCTCAGACGTAGCAATCCGACGGTGGAGGTGTCCGTCAAGTGAATCTGGCTCAGTTTTGTAGGATCGGTGATGACATAATTCCACGTAACGGCCGCAGCCTAATTGGGCCCCGTCTCCAGAACAACCACCGAGTGGTTTGCGCCGCGGCGAGGCAAGTCCTACTCACGGTAAATCCTCTGAGATTGACTTTTCGGAGATGAATCCATTCACTGGATAGTGGGGTTTACATCCTACAACTTCGAGCGGCAAGAACAATTCTGGAAAGAGGAATAGAACCCGTGAGACTCGATGTTCGAGGCCACTTTCTCCATGGTTCGCCGCGCGTGATTACAAGAAAGACCCTTTGACCGGGGAAAGGAGAGCAGAAGCGCAGGCCGTGGTACTTTTCTTATATTATGAGTTATATTATCCTTCATATACCCTATTATAGACCTGCGATTGGATCACGCGGGCGGGAGGAAAGACCCAAACAGAATGGCCTGGATCAGTGCATAGGCTACCATGCCCCGCACAGCCACAGTAAAGGTGCGGCGGTCTTGTAGGGAAGGTCGCATTTGCCCCCAGTTGCCCGACACCAAATATACGAGGTACCAGTACCACAGTGGATATCCTGAGGATATCCTGTTGATTATCTGAACATGGTAAGAGGTAAGAGCCATCAGGGCAAGCAGTCCTTGCGGCACAGCTAGTCGGAGAAGAAGGGAGGCTGTCGTGGCTGACGACGACGCTTGGTCCACTCCGCTTAAGGCTCTCGGAAAGATAAAGGGCACTGCCACATCCAGTGCCCATAGCGACGACCGGCAAAGTATGGCCAGCATCGGCATTGCCAGGATGAAGAGTGGGATATTGGAGACGGTCCAATACCGAAGGAATCCTACATTCCTGTATTTCATTTTAGTAGTGCGTTTTGCGGTGCTTGACAGCCATCCCAACGTACCAGTAATGTCCTTGAACATAGCGATAGATACTAGGGACAAGCCATTGACACCACGGACGTGAAGCATCGTCCTCCACACAGTATGTGGAATAGGCCACGATTTGCGGAACGACAAGTCCCAGGGCAATGACACAGCCACTGATGATAATAACGGAGAGATGGGCACAAGCGTCAATTGATAACCTTTGGCACCAAACCCGCCGAAGCTGCAAAAGAGCATCATAAGCATACAGAATACCGCTTAAGATTCCATTGCTACGAACTGCAGTAGCTGCCGAGAACAAGATCGCAGCTACCAGCAGTTTCACGTCGCCGGATAGACGCTTCCCCGCCTTGTTATCGAGAAACGAGGACGAGTAGACATAGAAACCTGTGATGTTGAGGAAAGAAAACAAAGACTCCCCATACGGCGCAGAAAGAAATGCTCCTGCAGGGCAAATGACGTGCAGAACTGCTGAAAGAAAACAGATTAGTCTTTGGGTGGCCGTGTCACGGCCAAATACGTTGACGGAGAGTCTATACAAGGCTAAGACGGCAAGATAATGGGCAATATGAGACAGAGCAGTCGCCACGACAGCGGTCCTGGCCGCTCCACTAGGGCCGATTAATCGTTGCAATGCTACATCCACAATTAGTGCTCGAATGACACAGCGATACACCTTCGGTGAGGAAGACAGGTAGATCTACCAGTGGCAATATAGGCAAGGACTCTAGTGTACCCGTAGCCAAACGCCCACTCTTGCTCAAAGACATAGCCATTTTCGGCGATATGCAAGAAGTAAACGGAATCCCACCGGACGAACTTAAGCGGGATGGGAAGGTGCGCATAAGTGATGTCTTCTGAGGTGACATCAGGGCGACTGTGGCTATGGTAGAGATGGCTTGTGGAAGTGTCGTAGCCAAGGCCAGGGCAACTGATGATGACCAGATATACTAGAGCCTTCCAGAGACAGAAAGCTACCGTCAACGCCTTGATGGGCTGGCGGGGATTAAGGAGACTCGGGCGACTTGTCGCTGGGGAGCTCAAAGAGGAGCTCATGGTCACCAGGCAGTACTTGCGTGTGTAATTTTCACTAGTTCTGTGCAGCTACCAGATTTGCAAACATCGTAAGATGACTGTCAAAACCGATAATTGGTCGCCAAGGAGGTTCCCATTCGCCCATTCACCTTAGAAAGAGGGATTTTTGATCAACCCGACAAAATCATGACAAAGAAACCGAGGTAAAGCTAAAGGGGATCTGGAGAAGGCAAGACGCGTCGAAGCTCACCAGACGGGATGACGGACTGTGGATTGATCGGTCGGAATCCTCGGCACGCATAAGTCCCCCTTATTCAGCATCCACCGCTGCACAACTACGTAATGTTTGTGGACTGTGAGGGGGACCAAATGAAACCATGACGGTTTGAGTCTCCATAATTGAAGTGGCGAGTGGGTGGAAACCCAGTCGATTGGTACACTGTTCTGAAGAAGAGTTTTTACTCGATACTAGCCATATCTTTTCCAGTCGCTTTAGCTAGTACTTTACATAAGTAATACAAAATAGCTAGTTGTTTGACCCGAGTAGAGACATCCTACACTTTTTAAGATACATCATCATAACTAGTTGAAAGGGATGATGATGATGATGATGATGATGTCAGACCACTTTGCCTCTCTGCACTGGTGAAGTCGTTACTGTTCAGGTAACTACTTTTTAGGTATTATTCAGAACAGTCAGTTGACAGGGTCCAGTAGCCATCGACTGTTCTGGATTGGGTGAACAGGTCATCCAACCTTGGATCATCCCGCTAAATCCGCGGGCAGGTCAGCCCTACGGCGCGCTCGGAACTGATGGAGCCCGACTGCTTCAGTTCCAATCATCCGTATTCAAATCTGCTGCAGGTTCACATGACGGGGAATGCCCGAAGGGCTTCGGCATAGTAGGAATTAGATAAGATTATTCTCGTCGGCGCTGGAGAGAATGTCTTAGCGCCATTGTCTCAACGGCGACAAGGCAAATCTAGACGCCGACAAGCGCTAGTAGGGAAATGATCGAGACATTTAATTACATTGGGTCGAGTTAAGGAACTTCAGTGTGTGGAAAAGGGAGCACCAGCTATGCCAATTTCCAGAATGTTATGGTACTTAATAAATTGCACTCACATCAAATGATGACTGCCGCTGCTAGCCCGCTACATCAAATGGCCAGTACTAGTTGAAGTATCTACGCCCAAAGTAGTTCACAACGTACAGTTTTCTTAATTTCAAGGGGCGCTTACACAGGGCACCCACCTACTTACTGGTATCTTGTGATAGGTATAGCTAGTTATACACCTTAGGGCTCAGCTGGACGGACGAAGGAAGTATCCACCACCTACCCCCTTCAGCACTGCCCTGGGCGATATCTAAAGCGAACTCCTGCTCCCCTCTATTTCTCTGAGCTAGCTCGAGCCTCAGTCGAATGTAGTGGTCAGTAAACCATGCGGTGTTCGAAGCTTGATGAAATGAACAGCTGTGCGTTTCTTTGATATCGCCCACCTCATCATATTGCCTTGCCGCGGGAAGCCTGTGTTCTTCCGAAATATAGTTCCAATAGATTTTCGTACGATTAAGTTGAAAGACCAGCTGACCAACCAAACTTTCTCCATAACTATATCCGCTCTCAGCCTCGCCCTCAGCAGCTAGCGACCTTTTTTCCTTTCATGCAAGATAGGAGGGTCCACGATGGCATGGTTACAAGACTAAAGAGAAAAGTTTGCCATTTAGTCCCCGCCAGAACCAGACCCTCGTTTGTTAGATCGTAATGCCAAGCCCGACCCAGGAAGTCATTCGGTCGGACTGGACTGCCTCGGGGAGACAACGAGGGATTTCAGGATGGCATCCGACACTGCCAAGTAGTCTCAGGATCGGTCAATACGAAAAGTAAGCTTAGCTGGACAAGGCTTAGACGGTTACCAGATACTAGATCAGAAGATAGTATACCTATCGCTGCTGTGTTGGGCAAGGGAGCAGAAAGTCTCATGGCACCAACGATCTGATCTACCGTTTTCAGCCAGGTGAGGGGGTGAAAAAGAGAGGAGTGTGATTAGTGATTACTGTACTTTAGTCCCAATTCAGCCTTACGCTGGTCTCCGTCACCAGTGGCACTGAGTCAGCGGCGTGTCTGCCTCAAATTTGCAGACCCAGAGGTCCAAACTCTTTTTGCTTGCTGCCTCTAAAATCCGACATCCGGTCCCATGGCACGGTGCGGACCTTACCGGCATGTCGGAGCTTCCGGTTCCGTTGCAGCAAGTTGTCGAAAACCCGAAGTCCGCGGGGACACCGCGATGGAGGGGGTGTTGCTCTCCCCGAAACTAATCATCATCATACCGCGGCAGAGGAAACTTAAGATACCAGAGCCCGACTGAGCTGGGATACTTTTCTTTGTTGGTACCTGATAGGGATGTAGTCTGAGGTAAGTAAAGTAAGCAATGTGAGAGGTGCGTTGCGAGTTCCTATGGAGGTAAGGCAAGTATGAGGGTTGATAATGCTTATTACACCACAGGGGGATAATTAACCACGCTTAAGCAGAAAGTAGTATGTATGCATATAGTAGCAGCGGCATGGTCTTCCCTCTCTCCATTACCTAATCGCGATTGCATAATCCAGCTCCGATGCTCCGAAAAATGCTGTTGTCGGTCAACGGGTCGGTCAAGCTACTCATCTTCCGTTTCTTCACTGTAATACTAGATAGTTCTGCTCCATGGAAGCATTCGGATGATCTTCGTCATAATAATAGGAACAATTAATTGATTAATGAATTGATTAATTCTGCAGGGCACAGTTCATACTAACTATGTACTTACTGTGCTGTAGTAATCATCCTCGCTGAATTGATACGAGCCAAGCAATACGAGAGGATTACGATGCAGCCAATAAACCGCCGATGGAGGTTGCCATCCAATGAAGAAATGTTAGTGTCGGCGTTTGGTTAGTTCCGAAAGAAGAGGATCGTCGGCTAGCTGCTTGGGGCCATGGATGCGAGCTGCCGGCCATGGATGGTCAGGACCCAGTTCATGCAACGAGACCAGACGACCCAGCCTGTTCCTAGAAACATTAATTTTCACTTTCATTCTCACGATTTGGCTTGGCTGACTCGCTCTTGACCGTAGATTCCGATGGACATCGCTGCGGAGGAGTATACCCAGATCAGACTGGCAGAGACACTAAGGGGAAAGAACAGCCCCCCAGCGGGATCTTGACCAGATGTGACCTACTAAACCGTCATTGTCACTTCTGGTTCCATGTGGGTTCCTTTTGCTGTAATTTTTGCTTTTCCTTTTTTTTCATACCCTTTTTTTCTTTTCTTTTCTTTTTCCCACTTTGACCCTCCCCCATTTATTTAGTTCGATTCAAGAAGCATGATGGATGATTCTTATTTATGACTATTTGCCCACCAGATTCATGGTGGGATCTTGACCGCCATCTTTTCGCCCCTCTAATCGATGATCCATCGATCCCATCTGACAGGCGATTCGTATTCTCTTTCTTTCTCCTCGCACATCTGAAAGTCTGAATATTAAGGCGCTTCTGGACCCCCTAACCCACACTGTCCGGCCTCCCTTGCATACTTCCGCCCACTCTTTGCTCTTTGCTCCTCCAATGTCCACGTCGTACAACATCTGAATTTCCCCATTCATCCATCTATCCGGTTTGCCTCCTGCGCTGACCTCAATCCCCTCCTTCGCTATATTTCATCTGCAGCTTCAGCCTTATTCTGGTGGAGGGGCTGATAGTTCCCGTGCAGGTCACGCTCATTCTATCTACTTACTATATCCTCCATTCATCCTCCCCCTTCCTTGTCTCGTTATATCCTCTCTTACTACTTACTACCACTACTACTACCGCCACTCTTCCTGACCCGGGTCTTTTCCTTGTCTTTGTTCTCTTGCCTTCCATTGCTCTGAATTATTCAGCATATCTCTGGTATAACGAGGTACCAAACCAGTGAACTACGGCAACTTGTTAACTAGCTGCATCGGCTTAGGCTGACGTATTCTGTCAGCCACAGCCACCCCCGTCACTGTCATCATTGATAATCCCCGTCACTGCCACCGATCTATGCCGTCCATGTTGATCGGGGAGAATTAACAGACGTTGTCGCATCCCAAGAGATAATGCTATTCAACCTTGGCTTAACAGCGGATGCGGCAGCAGCTCACGAAAACGAATACCCCGGGTTACCATCCGAAACCCAGATCCCTAGCCCGACGCGTCATTCGTCCCCGGCAATTTCATTCGCTTCCCTGCCATCGTGGGGACTAGGCAGCATCTATAACCGGCGCAAACCCACGGAACCAGAAACGACGCAGCGTACAATGCCGCGCAAAGCTGCCATTGATACATTATCCTCGAGCGATGACGAGCGTTCGACAGTCACCCCAGTCCTAGCTCCATCAAGGATCGCCCGTTCGCAATCAGTTCGGAAACAATCGTCGCGCCCTAAAACGTCATACCAGCTAGCGCATCCCGCGGCCCACGCACGCCATAGGCGATTAAAGCTCCGGCCTAAGCTTCTCCTGCAGCTTCAACGTGTGTCGCAAACCCCACGACCTCTCCCACTTTTGGATGTGCTTCCCTCCACCGTGTTCCTGCCACCTCTAGCTCGCAAGTTCCCGACGATCTTCCGCGGTAAAAAAGGACTAGGCCCCAATGACCTCATTGTCGTAACTAGTGACCTCTATGAGCGGGCACCGGGCGATAATGGGGATAGGTCCCTAAGCTCTGATGATGAAGGCGGAGAACAACGTGAGGTGGTCGCAACGATATGCCAGCTCTTCAGGGACGATGCTCTGTCGAAAGGGAAGGCGGAGATCTGTTTGAACCATGGACCAGTTTGGGAGGCCACGCCTCTTGCCAATGGCTCCTATGAGTTTGTGGCCAATACAGATGATGGTATCCAGGTCCTGCGGTGGGTTCTGAGAGGTGGGAGGAATCGTCGCGTGTCTGCGCCCCCAGGCTTCTCGCAAGAGGACAGCAAGCGGTTTACGTTCAGCGTGATCAATCCTAGCACTCGCCGTCACCCGGTTGTTGGTACGATGACACGCAATCACCTCGAGGTGTATGATGAGTACTCGATTCCGACCACACCGGGTATTGCTGGCTCGCCAACTTCCGCCATGTCCGTGCTCAGCGACTTCTCCGAGATGGATGATCCACTGGACCGAAAGGTTCTGAAAACCGACAATGACCTTCGCATGCTGATCATTATCACCAGCATATGGGTAGCCTTTAGGGAAGGCTGGTCTCATAACTTCACTTACGACGATTCAGCCTTGGCGATCAACACTAAGACAATGTGTCCGTCGAGACACAGCTCGCCAACTGCGATTAGAAGTGAGACTGACAGATTCACCGAGAGGGAGGATGGTCATGATGATGTTCCCCCGCTAAATGGTCGAAGACATCGCCTCTCGACATCCAGCTATGTCCCTACACAATCCACGGTGTCCGACCGATCGACGACCTTTGGGAGCTTATCGAGACGGTCCAACTCAACTGGTGCGGCCTTCATTGAGCGGACTAACCGACGTGCTTCGGGTAGCAACGGTCGTCTCACCCGACACAGTACGCTCTCCAGTCCTCGCGAGCAGAGACAGGACGAAACCGTCGAAGCCAAGCCTGCCCGACAAGACTCCAAGAGCCGCAGGTTATTTTCCCATAGGAAATCCGACGTCCAAGATTTCAAGATGACAGCTTCCCCGGATCAAGCGATAGACGGGTCCAGGGGATACGAAAACAACCAGTCACGCCAAGCCGATTCTTTTCGCGACAAAGGTATTGACTCCCCGCCAGACTCGGCGCCGAGCAAGGGAAAGCGTCGGCATCGGATTAGCAGCCTCTTCGAATATATTATTCGCAAGACCGGACATCATCATTGAGCCAAGCCTGGAGCTTAAAACCACATACCCATTTCACAAATATCTCCATTCATTGTTTTATCTGCTCTGGACAGTTGTCTTCTTTTCGTATCTCCCTCTTGCAGAGGCGAGAATATCTGTCCCAGACACTACAATAGTGACACGAAAGCCTGGAGCTGCGGTTGTATTATTGTATGCAAGTGGATGGCAAGGTCTCCGTTGTAAGGCCGGAAGCTATCGCTACTTCTTATCGCACTGGGTGTCTGGCCTCTCCCATTTTTCAACTTTGCATGACACTTGTCTCTCCCACATTATCTCTCAGCTCTTTTGCACTTCCCAGCGATATGAATACCACGACATATATCTGATATAGCGCTCCTTTTCTCTTACTCTCTTATTTTCTTACCCTCCTGATTCCTCTTTCCCGTCCTCACCATCAATATTCACACCACCTTTTTGTCCGTGTATATGTACAAACTAAGCTCCGCAGCATTGATTGTTTTGGGGAGATATACCTGGTATTTTGTAGAGTACGTACAAATAGCTTGAAAAATACATATAACTGGCACATACGACACATTATTGTTTGAACTCATAGTATATGCAGGGAATAGGATAAGAAGGCATTTTCCAGCCAGAAACGTAGTGGGTTTAGTTTCCGAGGGATCGCATACTTACTACAATTGGTTTGTGGGGTTTGTTGTAACCGATCGTCATAAATGAGGGGGAACAAGCCTTAGTTCATAGATCCAGCCGATCGCAAATATGTTCATTCAAGCGCATGAAGACCACGAGTTCTTTCGTCCTTTATGTCATTGCAATTGGATTATATGAATGGTAGCTCATTTGTGTGACTGAACAGATTGATTTTACTGTGTATATAGTGACATTGATTAGATGATCATATTCTAACCTTTACCGGTCCAGAGCAGTGATAGCCTTAGGGATGTAAGGCTCCTCCAGGTACTTAATCTCCTCATCAGTCAACTTGACCTTGGTAGCGGCAACAGCCTCGTCAATGCGCTCCTTGCTGTTGAGGCCAAGAATCGGGTTCTCATTGGGATGGCTCAGCGACCAAGCGATGGCCACCTGGGCCATGCTGATACCCCTCTTCTTAGCGATCTCTTCGACACGGTCGACGATAGCCTTGTCTGACTCCGTCTCGCGGCTGCGGATGAGGAACTTGAGTGCCCCGTCTGTCGCCTCACGCACAGTAGAACGAGAGCCCCACGGGCGGGTCAGCACACCACGAGCCATGGGCGACCAGGGGATCAGGCCCACGCCGGTGTCACGGCAGTACGGGATCATCTCGCGCTCTTCTTCTCTGGCGATTAGGTTGTGGTAGTTTTGCATGGAGATGAACTGGTGCCAGCCATTGCGGGCGGCGATGTTCTGGAGGGTCTGGAATTCCCACGCAGCCATCTTGATAGGCGTAAGCATGCGTCGCTGGAGGAAAAGAGGGAAAGGAAAGACGTACCGTGCTAGCTCCGATGTATCGGACCTTGCCGCTTTCAACCACGTCGTTGAGAGCCCGCATGATTTCCTCACGGGGAGTATCGCGATCCAGCCGGTGAATCTGCAGCACGTCGATGTAGGTTCCCAGTCTCTCGACACTGGCGTCAACGGCGTCGAAGATGTGCTTGCGGGACAGGCCGACCCGGTTGACGAAATCACCGTCGTTAGCACCGGAAGCAGAAATCGGAGGGAAGTTGCCTTGGTCATCCACACCGAAGTAGCACTTGGTCAGGATGACAACCCGGTTACGGGGAATAGAGAACTTCTTCAGGGCTTTGCCAATGACCTCCTCGGAACGGCCGTGGGAGTAGACATCAGCCTGGAAGCTAGTTAGTAACGTATTGAGGCAAAAGGGAGATAGTAGTTTGAATGTACCGTATCCCATGTGTTGATTCCGCGCTTGTAAGCATGCTCAATCAAAGGGAGAGCTTCTTCCTCGTCTAGAACCCAATCTTGCCACTGTTTGGCGCCATAGGACATGGCGCCTAAAATGATTTTGGAGATCTTCAGTCCCGAGTTTCCCAGGCTAACATGCCAATTCCGTCAGCTAAGTCAGAGTCCATGAGATGAGTCACAATCACAATTTACATACCGGACGTATTCCATGTCGTTGTTGGTGGCCATGATGGATCAGTTTGAATGACTGTAACGCCATGTTAGTCACTTCCACAAGCACGCGGAAAGATGCGGGGAGGTTATGAGATGTGAAATTCACGTACAAATAAGGCTCTAAGTGACCAATTGCTGGAGCGAAGTAATGTAGAAGAGTTTACGAGAAAATCCAGTACCTTGATGGGACTGCAAGCAGCTTATCAATACTTCGTAGCAACCACTGACTGAAGTCCAAAATAAAGGAGCGGGGCTAGCTAGTCAGACTCAATTGAGTTGCCGAAGCATAAATGAGCCATGAGCCAGCTGGTTGACCCCATTATTAAGCTCCCCACCGAATTGCCGAAAGTGCGAAGCGATGAGTTGCCAGAGCCGATGAGTTACCGACAGCCTTTCTCGGGTTGAGCTGCGCTTGGCCCATCGGTCAAGAGGGTCGGGAAGCTTATGCGGGGTTCATCATGAAGATCATCCATTCCTACGGCACAATGTGTGTCTATGGAAGACAATAGAGGGCTTTCACGATGCAAATATACAGCACACTGGGGACCGATGGAGAGGAATGGCTTCTTAATACTAATAGACAAGAAAAAGAAAGGAGGGGCAGCCAAGGAGGGAATCCCGTGATCCGCAGCTTTGCTTGTTTGCTGCTGCTGCTTCTTCTTCTTCTTCTTCTTCTTCTTCTTCTTCTTCTCTCTCTCTCACTTTCTAGATAATCCTATTCGGTTCAATCTTCTTTGCTTTTCACCTCAGTCACACCACTACCTCTACTCTCTTCTGATAGAATGAATGTACCGCTGCTGCACGTGCCTTGTGGAAATCATCATCGCCGTCTCGTCTAAGTAAGTAGGCAGCGATCTCCTGATAGGATAACCTGCTAGAGTTATACCTGGGCACACTCCAACCCCTGCGGAAGCCACAACAAAGTCACGGTGGTTCTTCGCTCGGAAAGCAGAGGAATAAGACGCCGGGGTAGGATCCCGTTCGAGCAAGGCGACCCCGCCAATGAACGGTGCTGGTGGCGGTGGCGCCAGCCACTGCTTCATGATTCACTGGTTTTCTGGGGAAAGACTGGTCCGATGTAACCATCAGGCGACTGAAGGCTGCATAGCGACAATAGCTGGGGCACCCTCAGCTTTGCGCAACAGTCAATGAGCTATTCTGCACGTGGTGCAGGTATTGCAGAGTATCCGACTTGGCCACAGACCTGGCTAAGCTGCCTCTTCCGTACGAAAAACCGGACAGACGTCTGTAGCATCAAGGGCTGGCTGAACTGTTACGTCGTGGGGCTATGCGCTCTGAATCCAAGCTCTGTATGTCATGGCTGAACAGTCCGGACATCCCGGCAGGTCCGAAGGAAATCTGGTAAAAATTCCCGAGCTGGATCTGATCGCAGCCTGTCGAACGTTGACTCTACTCATGTCACTGCTCGTCAGTGGTTCACGCGGCTTCCTGCAGAATACTGGCTGCATGAACTTTTCCAGCACCCAGATCAGTTCCCAATATCACCAATCGGTGGATTTGGCAGTTCTGAGAGGACTCGATGACATTCCCACCCAGTGCAGCCTGACGTTTAGGGACAATAAACGGTCTTGAATCGACAGACATCTAGGTAGTATTCATATACATCTAGAAAGCTATGAGGAGAAGACCGCCGTTCACCGCTGACTCGTCGGGTGAGCATCGTTCCTCTTACTGAGAAATTCTTTTGCATGTATGTGGCTACTAAGATGCGCAAACTGCCATGGATATGTATACCTGATTATGTCTTCGATAATTCTGATTGGAGATGCGTTATTTCATGTCCTTCGACAGACACCGTTGAGAGAATCTCACTGGACAGTCTATATCCAAGCCAGGTACAGACTAGACCGTCTGTCCATCAGATTCCAGCACGGCGTTGTGATCCTTCGTCAAAACAAACGAGTGCGTCTATATGGCTAGCAGCTTTGCTTCATGTAAGAACTTATCGTTCTCTGTAGGTCTGACTATGTACAGACATCTAGCCGCATATGAACCACCAATGATGACCAGTAGCCAAAATAGCCGATGAGAAACGGGATTTATGGGAAGAGTAGTGCCTGCTCCTGTATTGGCTGAGAGCCAATAGCTTCATGCCAATGCCTATAACTTCTCACCTTGGAGATGAGAATGTGGCTAGCTGGACTGTATACTCCAAGGTCATGCTTTCGAAGATGGAGACACCCATCGCAAGCAGCGTCGCAGCGCATAGCCGAATTCATGCCCAACGAAGACATCAGACTTGCTATCGTGAGATCCGAGTGCTCAAGGACAGCTGAAATGTGATTCATCGTGCAGATGGAAGTTCGTAGCGAAGTTTCCACTCGACATCCAGGTCCGAGACAGGCGTGCCTCGAGGTGTTTACTCGAAGTGACTCTACCAGTCGCGAATTCGCATCGCTCAAAGCATCTGGACAGAAGTCGGAGCTGAATGTCAAATCTTAGTCTCCTCTCAGTCTCAAAACCTATATAAGGAAGGCAGATTCTCCTCCATTCCTTCTTCCCAGCATCATCACCAACAGAGCTCGCAAAGCAAGCAACAGTACACAAGAATAACCTCTGACTCTACTCTTTTCAATCCAAGAAATCAAATTTTTGCAATGTCTACCGTTGTGACCACTGCTCCTCCTGTGCAGACCATGTCTCTCCAGGCAGTTTCGCACTCGGGCTCTTCGGACGAGGAGCTCTTGCAGCTTTTTCGCCGAGTGACCATCAGCAGTTCTGATGGCCACGATGTGTCTGAGATACAAATCAAGAAGGCCTTCCAGCAGGAGATCAGCCGGCCCCTGGGTCGACAGATGCTGGAGGCATCCTTGGCGCATGCGAATGGCTGCTCTTGCTATCACTGGAACTACCATGACCGGATCAGCGGCAAAGTCAACATCTCTCGGGTTGACTTGACTTTTGACCTGACTTCAAAGAGCATGGGACAGGCCGTGAAGGGTGAAGCTGCTGGATTCTACAGGCCCAACAGTGCTTTTATCAAGTAAGTCTTGCCCTTTCTTCATACAAATCATCACATTCTAATAGCCAGCAGTGCAACCGTCTACTATGACGACCAACAATATCTCCAGGGCAACCAGAGCGTCCAGATCTACATGGATGGAAGCGTATGCACTCCCATTTCCATTTTTCAGGACAATAGTAAGGCATGCTGCTAACCCGCAATCCAGAAATTCATCATCGACTTCTTCACCACCGACCAGTCGGACAAGCCAGTCGCGCGTATCGTCCAGAACGCCTCATCCTTCACCTTCCAGGGCACTGACACTGGTGACGCTACCTGGGGTACTAGCTAGTGACTGAGTCGATGGCCGCTGGAAGAAGCCCTTTGGGGTTCCCTGATGACAATACTCATCTATGGCAATCAATTTGGAGATGACGGGGTGATGCGGATCACGATGGAGATGATGACGATGATTATGTCTCGGGCTTTGTCTTGTTATTTGTTGCTTTTCAGTCGATCCTTACTTATCAGTTTTGTTTAGTCTTGCTTGCTAGGAAGAATAAGAATTGATCCGCATAGAACTGTGTTGCACCGTAAAACCGAGGAAACCTTCACCGTAGCAAAGCACTTCATTAGACACTACACCCGCTGCGTGGGCCCCTTCCTGATCTTCCTGGATTCGAAGGTCTAGAATGACACCAAGGGATCTCTGACATTTTGCTGTTTGGACAGAGAGGCTCATAATTTTCAGTAACGAAATAATGTATTGATCAAATAAGATACTTGACTACGTATTCATAGAAACATCTGAACTCGTCCATCATCCATTGATGAAATAGGGAAATCCTTTACCTCTAAACCAACCCACCCACCTCATATACAGTCCTTTCTATACATTTCTTTTCAACTTCCCCATCAAGTCATACAAGAACTTTTATGTCACCCAAGAAAGGAAAAAAAGGTCATAACCTCATACAATGTGCCACACAAATTAAGCAACCCACGTAACCCCAAAGCGAAAACCCATGTAGCAAAGCACGCTAGACAGTGACAAACTTATATGTATAAACTTAAGAGGAACCACCACGACCACCAACGTTCGACAAGGCCTTCTTCTGGTCCTCGCTCAGCTGGGTCGTAGGCAGAGGCCGAGCTGCGGTCGAAGCGGCAGACGGGGGAGGAAGGAATCCAGTTTGAACGAGGTAAGAGGCGTACAGACCGACTAGCTCCTCGGTGACACCGGCGCCGGCGGAGGCGTCGATGCCGGACCAGGCGGCGTCGGCACGGAGAGAGGCGGCGGCGTTGACGTCGTCCAGTTCGGGGGCCTTGGTATTGGAGGGGAGGTCGGAGGTAACGAAGTGGTAGAGGGGCATACTGGGACGGGATGTTAGTATCGTGATGGGGTATAACGTGGGATTATTGGGGTAGGGTTAAAGCTTACAGTGCGTGCTGAGACTCGGGGTCGTCGTGCTGTCCGTCATTGACGTACTGTTCCAGGGACTTGGACCAGGGGACGTAGTCAACCTGCGGGACGTCGTATCCGTACAGTTGGAGAGCACCCAAGAACTGGTTGAAGCGGAGACGCGGGTGTCCAGTGACCTGGGCGACGCCGATGGGAGTGCAGGGAGGCTGGAATGCGGCAGCGATGACCACACGGGCAACGTGGTCCACAGGAACCATGTTGACGGTGTTGTTAATGTTGGGGCGGGAAGACAGCTGGATGCATCCCTTGATCATACGGATGAGGAAGTCATCGGTGTTGGTAGCTAGAGTTTACATGTTAGCATGATCTGGGTATCAATATGTTAGAGGTTCGCTTACTTCCGGTCTTGGAGTCACCAAGAACGTAACCAGGACGAACGACGGTTCCCTTCAGGCCCCTGCGACCTGCCTCACGGACCAGGTACTCTCCAGCCCACTTGCTCTGGCCGTATCCGGTTCCAAGCCCGACGGCACTGCCCTCGAGATCGTCCTCCTCGCTGATACCCGCTCCACCGGCTGCAACGATGCGCTCGGATTCAGAGACATAGTGGTCGCTGTCGAGAACACTGGTGGAACTGACAAAAGAGAACTGCTTGGGCTTTCCACTAGCGCAAAGCTTCAGCGCATCGATGGTGCCCTGGACATTGGCTGGCTTAAGGGTAGAATAAGGGTAGACCCAGTGGACAAGAGCGCCGTTGTGAATAACGGCATCCACACGCTTGGTCAAGTCGTCCCAGAGAGCATCCGAGAACCCGAAGCGTGGCTCACCCAGGTTACCGCAAACACACTGCAGTCTGCTGGTCCAGGCCTCATCCCAGAAGCCGTAGGCGCGGCAGGTGGAGCGGATACGTTCAAGCGCCTGCTCATCGGTCTTACCACGAACCAGGGTCACAACCTTGGCCATGGGTGACTTGCGAGTGAGAAGGTCACGAAGGATGTGCGCACCCAAGAAGCCAGTGGCACCAGTCAGGAAGATGGTTGGCTCACTGGACAGGAGAGGCTCGGTACGCGTGGGGAAAGAGGCGGGCAAGGAAGTCTCTGCCAGCTTCCGGGCATCCTTCGAGTACTCATCATCAAGCTCGTCAGGAGTAGCCGAGGCATCTGCCTTAGCAGCGGTCTTGTCATCATTGCTGGCGAAAGACTCGAAGTTCTGCAGACGGTCAATCTCGGCGGCGAATCCCCTGAGGGTTGGGCTACGGAAGATGGCGTTCATGCTAACGTCAATTCCGCGCCACTTGCGGCGAATGTCGAAGAACATCTGCTGGGCAAGGATACTGTGCCCTCCAAGGTCGAAGAAGGAGTCATCAGGACCGATCATGCGAGCAGTAAGGTTGGGGATGCGTGAGGCCCAGATTGAAGCCAGCGCCTGCTCGGTTTCAGATAGAGCCTGGACCACAGATGACTTGCGACGAGGAGCTGCGGCACTAAGCTCTGCAGTATCGGGGAAGGGCAACGCAGGCTTGTCGATCTTGCCGTTAGGGTTGAGAGGCATGCGCTTGAGGGGGATGAACACCGTCGGCACGGCGTAGGAGGCGAGCTTGGTCCGCAGCAAGTCACGAATGTCGTCACGAAGAGGACGGAACCGTCTAAGCATGCCGACCATTCCTTCAGCAGAGTCATCATCCTCGAGACCCTTCTCTTGCAGCCAAGCAGCCCACTTGCTCATGTCCGGCACGAAATAACTGACCAGAGTCCGCTCCTCAAACTTGTCACGACGCACCAGGGTGACGTTCTCTCTCACCAGGGGATGGCGAGACAGATGGGTATCGATCTCACCAAGCTCGATACGGAACCCACGGATCTTGACCTGATCATCTGCACGTCCGGAACACTCGACATCTCCCGAAGGAGTGTACCGGCCAAGGTCACCACTGCGGTACAAGCGATCTCTAGGACCTTGGTAGAACTGCCTCCAGGGCTCGTTCGCGCTGTCTGCCTTGGCCTGGTCTTTCTGAACCCAGGTCTGGTTATCAACAAACCAGTTGTTGAGGAACTTCTTTTGGTTCAATTCAGGCGAACCCAGGTAGCCTTCGGCAAGACCACCGGCACGGACGTAGATTTCGCCAACTTCACCGATGGCGCAAATGCGGCTGGGCTCGAAGCGGTTGACAACCAGCATTTGAACGTCAAGCATTCCCCGACCTGCCGGAATGACGTCCTTCATAGTATCCAGGTAGCCCTCGTCGCTCGAGTAGCTCGGGATTTCGAAGTAACTGACCGCACGCTGTGTCTCAGTCGTTCCGTACATGTTAACGATGTTGACATTGGGAGCCAAGCCCTGCAGAGAGCGGCAGTCTCTCTTAATCAGGATATCACCGACGAAGAAGGCATGGTGAAGCGAGGGGAACTGTGCCGAAGCACCGCCGACGAGAATCTGACCCATGGCAGGGGTAAGGTGAGTGACAGTAGCTCCATACTCGCGCATCCACTCGGCAAGCTTTTCGTTCTGAATATCCTCCCGGGCAGGAACCAGCAGCTGAGCTCCCAGGAAAAGAGGGGTGAAAATATCTCTTTGGATCGGGTCGTGAGCGATACCGCTGAGCATAGTAAACCGATCGTTGGGCGTAAGCTTGAAAGTCTCGGACATCCATGGGAAGTAGTATGCGAGAGAAAAGTGACGACCCTTGACACCCTTGGGCCTGCCCTCCGAGCCAGAAGTGAAGGACAAAGTCGGGGTGGAGTCTGGACCGACAACGACGCCAACAGACTTGGCTTTCAGAGGAACTTGGTTGGCCAAGACATCCTGGCCGTTGATCGATCCTCCGACGAGGGAGCCGTCGTCGCGAAGGGCCAGGGCAGGGACTTCCGTGCGCAGCTCCAGGTTCTCGTTAATGAATGAGCGGACCACATCGGAGAGCTCGCCGGCATCCTTTGTGGCCTTCTCAATGTTGATCAGTGCCCGAGGGCGAGCCACATCCAGATAGATGCACTGTCTTTCCGGGGGGTAGGCTGGATCGATGACGGAGAAGGTCGCGCCAGCCTTCAGGATACCCATAACGGCCACCACCAGGTCGACACCACGGTAAGCGTACACCATGACGACCTCTCCTCTCTCCACGCCCGATTGGACCAGATGATGACCCAAGATATTCGAAGCCTCATTGATTTGCTTGTACGTGAACTCCCGGTGAGGAGACCGCTCGGACTTGGTCTCCACTACACAGAGTCTCTCGGGGTGCTTCTCAGCGTTAGCGGCGAAGATATCGTGGATAGCACCGCGGAAATTGGACCAGTTCAGATCGGAGGTCGGGTCCGGAAGAAGGGCCAATTGATCTTCAGTCATGAAGTCAATGCGGCCAATTGCTTGTTCCGGGTTGCTGGTCGCATTTTCAACCAAACGGGCAAGCTGCTTGAGGATGGTGGAAATTCTCGAGCTAGAGAAGAGTCTTTGGTTGTAGTAAGCTCCCAATTCCGCCTGGTTTGTGGAGCCATCCGATGCACTGATCGGGGCAATGTTGACAACCAGATCTGTTGTCTCGAAAGTGTTGGCAGGGTAATCCTGAGAGGCAGCAGGGGCATCGTAGGCAGCAAAGCGGAAGAGGACGGGGGAGCGTTCAGACTGGGACTTTTCTTGGATATAGGATCGTAGACTGCCCAGAGGTACGATCTCGGCCGAGCCTTGCTCGAATGCCTGAACAAAGGTTAGATGAGCGACTATGATAACATACGCTACCTTAATTTTTTTTTTTTTTCCTAGTCATACCTTCTGGACCTTGGCATACAGCTGTAGGAAGGTTTCAGATGCCTCAATTGGGACCCTCAGGACGAAAGGACGACCATCGTCGCTGGAGCTGGTTCCGACGGCAATATCCTCGTCACCGGTGAGCCGTGCAACGAGCACGATGAACGCTGTCAGGAAGACAGTAAATCCGGACGAAGAGCCTGAGATCTTCTGCAAGTCCGATTGCGTCTCCTTGGACAGCTGAATGGACTCGAAGGCTTCAATTGCCCTCTTGGGAAGCTCCTGCTTCTGGTTGTCGGGATAGTCTCGGGTGAGGGGAGACACTGTGAGGTTTTGGAGTCTCTGAGCCCATCGCTCGAGGCGCTCCTGCAAGGAGACTGATTCGACAGCCATTGTTACAGTTGCGA